TCTCTGTGGCATGATCTGGCGGTCGGTTGAATCTGAGCAGAGATTTTCAGGCGCATCTTCCAATATGCACCAGACACCCCAACCAGCCCGACCGTCCTTAGAGATGAAATCCGACAGAAAAGACCAGAAGCGGGAGAAGCAGGCTAAATCCCAGTTCCGAGCCTCATTTTCCTGTAGACCAGGAGTACCAAGGGGTCTGTCTCTATCAAGCTGCAGAATATTGATGCGAAGGTACCAATGGCCCCGCTCCAACTGCTGCAGGTCCCTACTTTGTTTCACAGGCTTATACGTTCGTGCTGGCTTCAAACGCCTTGTCAACATGGCCAGAGTGGGGGTGACATGGGTTACAAATTGCTCCTTGGACACCGGAGGAAGCGAGGGCTTGATGGCTAATGGAAGACCATCAAGGCATACTTGTAGTGGTCTCTGGGGATCCGGTTGTGGGGTGATCTGCAGAACAGGATGAGGATCAACCAGCTCGCAATTTCCGTGGCGCTCTTCGTTCAGCTTGGGAGCAAGTATGAGAGCGTCAGAGACTGGTGCAACTTCCTGTAGCATCGACGATAACCCTGAGCAATGTCGTTTGGTGGGAGGAGAGCCAAGGGCTACATAGGGGACCGGGCGAAGCAGGCCTTCAGCTTGGCTACGTATCGCTTCTGGCTGCGAGTCGGGTATGACACTGAGCGGACTCTCGAGCGAATCTTTTACAGCGCGCTCATTTTGCGGCTGAGGGAGTAGCGAGACGGGGCTGATTTGATGGCCATTATCAGCCTCGGAATCTGGAAGAATCGTCGAGTCTTTGATCGTTAGTATTGTTGAACCAGCAGTAGCGTTGAATAGTCCCTCTTGTCCTGGGGTAGATCTTGCTGCATTGGAGCGTTCCACTCCCACATCTCCATCGGAAATCGTGCTCTGTGAGTTAGGAAAGAACGGTTGAATGCATTTCGATTCTCCCCTGAGGTCTGCATCAACGGGTTGATCCGTAGACATTGACTGCCCCGTAGCAGGTCCACCATGGCTCCCTCGACGCTCATCGGACGACAAGGTGATGAGCTGCCGTGACAGACTCTGAAATCCAAGAATAGCCTCGACCTGCGCTCGATATCGGACATCATCCCGGGCTCCGCTGGGAGCGGAGATGTGGATGAGGATCTCGGAATACTTCATGGCAAGGACATCGGGATTTCTGATTGGGCATCGTGATCACCTTTAAATCAGCCTGAATGCAGAAAAAGGAAAATCTGCTGATCTTCGCCCAACCTGCGAATAATGATGAGCGGACGATGCTCAGATCGCAGCTAGTGCATCGTCATGATCAACTCAAGGACGTGTTCGATTGGTGCCGTTGGAAGAAGCAAAAAAAGTTGGAGATCCAAGACTTGGCCTTCTCAGGCTGCAAGGCACCAATCTCAGTCAGCTGAGGGGACGTGGTTTCCCACTCGGGACTGACCCGTTGATTTTCCTCTATGGGCGCCTCACGGCCTGAGGCTAGCGATCGACCTTCGACAGTCAATAGTCTCTTCCTGGGGGGTCTGAGCATCGCCGATCACCCAGCCTCGACTCAAAAGGAGTACGCTTCTCGGTTCCAGGAATCCAGGGTTCTGTGTTCCAATCGGGAACCTTGAGTATCGATCTGGTTTAGGTAAGTTTCACAGCTATGGTCATACTCGGTGATGATAGCTGTTCATCATTAGCTTCCTTATGCTATGCTATGCTATGCTGTTGGTGGTCATGCGCTACCAAGTAGTACCGTACTACCAACAAGCAAGAACCAGATTTCGTATTTCTGCATTCGGGATTCTGACAATTACTTTTGAAGATCGGTCTTCGAACGTGTTCGCCCATACCCGGAAAAAGGTGGTCCAGACAGTAATTTATTGATACCGGCGATTGTCCTGGTCCCCGACGGGAATCGAAAGCGTCACGCAAGGTTGCACCAACGAGGGAGAGAGGTGGGCAACAAAATAAAGAGGGAAAAAAGGGAATTGAAGACGCTAATAATCAGGTTAAGTTACATCACCTTTGTCGGCTTCCAACGCTCATAGTATCGACTTCGAGTATTTGCAGGGAAGCATGCGAAATACTGAAGCAGGCAAATAATGGGTTTCTTCTATGCAACAACTCTGTTCTGCCGTTTCCTTTCCGTCACACTTCAGGTCCCGCTGCATGTCACCATTGCTTAGCTTGGTAAAGAGCAACGTTCCAACTTGCGTTCCTGTCAGACAGCTGAACTGCTCAACTGCTTGCATTCCTCCCCCTTACGCAGAAAGGAGGGGAAAAAAGGACAGAAGTAGAGACTGAGAAGAGAACCCAACGAATGGTGTCCGGATGATGTTAGACGCTCTCTTGGAAGAGAAGACACAAGGCCGAACGAGTCTACAAAATTAGTCTATCTATTGAGATTGCTACTCTATCCTGTCTAGTGTGGCGACAGACGGGCCGAGCGCTGAGATCTCTCAATCTATCTAGGCTAATGCTGGTCTAGAGAGAAATCAAGCGCTCTGAATGGCCAACAAAAGCGATAGATCTCGTCAATCAGATCCATTGTTGACACACATGGTGCGTGACGCAGCATGACTGATCTAACTCCGACACATGAAATGCTGGAGAATGAGGTCGAATCCAAGTCGATGGACCTTGCGTCCACAGTTACACTACCCAGTCGGAAGTCTGAAGGGAACACTGACAGGGGCAGAATGCAGCCTACGACAGCTCTTGCGAACAAGAATCAGGGACACGAGCATTGCTTCTCCAGAAGGATCCTATCTTATCATTGGTCAGTAATGTGAACGACCATAACCATACCTTAGGCAATAACCTTCACTGGCATTGAAATTGAAGTGGGAAGGTAAGAACACGACTATTGTCTGCAGAGTTAGTACCCTCTGTAGCCGATCGCACATGAGGTGATGCGAACATCTTGGGTCTTCTGCTCCTCCACACGGGTGGATGCATTTCTTCTTGCAAGGGTTTCCAACCGTCCATGTTTGCTTTTGTCACTGTCCTTATTGATTACCTATTGATTTTGGGGGAAGATCGCTGTCGAATAGCCTTCTCGGTTCTCACAACTGAGAGGGTACTAAGGTATTAGTAATGACGGGAGTCGTTAGTGTGCTCCGTATTATTACTCTATCAGTATCTGAGGGGCAGAAATTAGCACAGAGAGAGAGAGAGAGAGAGAGAAACCGGGTGGCGCGGTGCTAAAAGAATAACGAGATCTCCACTTTTCGTCGACCCGCGGCCAGATCTGTTGAGCTTCGCGCCGGACCATGGATTGAAGCTCGAAGGAGTTACCCGGTATCTAGTCTATGCTTACTTGGTAAAGAATATAGATAAACAGATTTACGGGGTCTCCGAGGCAGGTGGCAATAGTGAGCACAGATCAAGTCTTAACATTATTAGTATCTCAAATTAATACATTGTTACTGAATGAATTCCTCGAGATTATTGAGGAACGGATCTCCCCGGCATTCTCCAGCGTGCCGGGCCACTCATCCTAGTTACCATAGTACGGAGTGGTAACCACTAGATGACTAGCGTCGGGAATTCAGATATCCAAGACTCCAACTCCAAAGTCAAAAAGTCAAAAAGTCGATCAAGTAAAGTAGACGCTGAGGAACAATGGAGTATTCATGATTATTTTATTGCACAACAAAGATCAGGTGTCCGCGGGTTGTCCCCATTTCTGGCCTTGACCCATGGACCATCGCCTGGTCCAGGTGGGATCCGCGTTCCTAGTTTAGTTCATCTACACAGTACAGTAGTAGTAAGTAGCACTCTAGATCGATAATAATAATAAGAATGATGGTTCGCAAGGCGCATTACGGAGTTGTTAGCCACCGATCTATCCGTAAATCGAACTCTACTACATCACGATCATACATTCATACTAATAAATAGTTGACCCTACTGGGTGCCGTCGACTTTACCAGTCACTTTAGTCGACTCCGTACACTTTCAGTCGATCTTTCTCAAGTCTCTCCCACTCCTAGTTCCCCGTCCCACTTCCGTTCCTCTTCCACTCCTCTTAGTCTTTGGGGCCCTCTCTGCCTTTCAGACTCCAGAAACCGTTCGAAACCTTAAAAAAAAATCCATTCCTTGAACTCATCACTCTTCCATCTCTGCGTTGCTACACTATCCGTTGCTGCACTCTCCGTTCCTTTATCATTTCATTTGTTCTTCATTGTCCTCCATCACGTCGCCATCTAAGGATTGTCTGGACTTCTCCCAACCATCTATTTGAAACTTGTGGCCTGCTCTTTAACTCAATTCTATCGTGTGCGCATCGGGGAAGACTTATCTGTTCGCTCCGTGCGTTCAAATCGTGGGAGTTGAAGTTTCAATGGTGAGAACGCCGGGTGCCATATATTCTTTCTCTTATAATCCCTAGGAGAAAATTGACAGACTGTCTAGATGCTCTGAATGCCAATATTTACGCCCAAGGGTATTCTTAGAGCCGCCTTTAATTCTCGACTACGTCCAATCGAAGTTGCGACCCTCCATCTACTTTGAAACGCGCCGGTCGCATCCGACATCTCTGAGCCTGTTCGCAGATAAATATCACCACAATGGCTTCGATGAACGGAGGGGTTGTGCCCGTGGACTATGGACACACACGGGGTAGGTCATAGCCCTGCGCGTTCCTGTTCTTGGATCTCAAATCATTGTACCTCCCTGGCCGCCGGTGTACTTGAGCCATCACAAGCCCCATTGTTTTACCCATGTGCAATATAAACCATCCGCAATGCTTAATTCCAAATTCATGGAATGTGGCCGGGTGATCGTCATGTCAAACTCGGAGATGGACATTCTCTGGCCATGCAGGGTCGATTATCATTGATCAGATGACATTCCATCCATCATTCGGTTTGTCAGTTCCGGAATGCTTCAGAGTGATGTCGTCGGGCTCTCTTAGATCTGTTGCTTCCTGCTTCTTCGTGTTGAGATTTAGTATACATACATGAGCTAATCAGATGCTGTTGCAGGAGCCCCCTCACAAACCAGCCTGAAAACCCCCACCTCAATGAGCACAAACTTCTTTCAATTTTTTGGAGGGCAGAAAAAGGTTACCCGAGGTTTGTATTCCACATCTTTATGGGTGCCTCCTGGCCACCGTTAATCGAGATGGTACCTACTAGATGGCCAACCCGCCAAACGACGAGGTCCCAAGCCAGACAGCAGGCCTGCCTTGACACGACGACAGGAACTGAATCGGCAGGCACAAAGAACCCACCGCGAGCGCAAAGAGCAATACATCCGGTCCCTGGAAACTGAAGTTTCCCGACTCCGGGAGGCTTTCACTCAGGAGATGTCTGCAGCGAACCTTGCCGTTGTCCAGCATCGAGAAATGCTACAGACGGTGAACGATGAGAATACGATCTTGAAGGAACTTCTTACCGCACATGGGGTTCAATTTGAGGCGGAGTTGGAGCGTCGCAGGGCGGAACGACGCTCAGCAGGCCGAGGTTTCCAGTCGAGCCCGTTGGCCGGCAGTAGTGTGGTATTCCAGGCGCCGGCAGCACCAGCAGCCTCCAACGGCAACACCTATACCACACCACCAACCACAGTATCGAACGTCTCGTCAGACGTGAGTCCTCTGGCAAGTGGGATAGAACGGGTGGGAATATCCCCACGCACGAAATCACTCCTCCACCCCCTATTGCCATGACGGCTTCGTCGTGCGAAATACCAGCCAATCTCGATCTATCGGCCATTGCTCGAAATCAAGAACCTGTCCAGGCTGTTGGGGGTGTATTCGAGGTGGACCCCCAGCTTCAGATCGATTTTATACTCACGTATGCTACCCGCGACTACCCCGTCTTTATCTATCAATGCTAACAAGTGCAGATTGGAATCCCCATGCCGCGAACACACCGACTATTTGTGTCGAAGATCTGTCACCGAAGCAGACGACGAGGACATGCCATTCTCAGGCCACGCTCTGATGGCCACCTGCCCCCGCCGAGTTACATTGCCAACACAACGCCAGAGCAAGCCTATCCACACAAGACCTACGATCTTCCGCATGCAAACCTGACAACTCTACTCAATCTCAGCCGACAGCTAGTGACAGAGGGCCAGATCACCCCAATCATGGCGCTGCAATGTCTGAAGAACCACGAACTGTATCGCACCCTGACCAAGGATGATGTCAAGATCATCATCGAGACGCTCAACACCAAAGTACGATGTTACGGCTTTGGAGCCGTTGTCGAAGACTTTGAGCTCATGGACTGTCTAAGCAGTGTCCTGGGGTCCAAGGTGGATACCAGGTTCTCCTGCTCGGGCGACGATACGATGTACTCGTGATGATATCTGATACCTCTTTTTCTCAAGCGGACCGGGGAGTGTGGAGTTCCTTTCTTCTCAGAAAAAGTGGATGTAAGTGAATGGAAGGTTTGGCAATTCTTTCTTTTCAAGCCTCCTTTCGTTTCTTTTTCTTTTGTTTTTTCTTTCATGGAACAGATGACTGGTTCTTGGTTCTTTATCTTCTGGCGTCTGGGATGCCTGACTTGCCACTCTTTGCTCTTCGATCTCTCCTTGACCTTTGTCTCTACTGGTCTTCCCTTTTTTTCGGATTCAGCCCGAGGATTACCTTGATCCTCATGTCTAATTTCTGCAGGCCAAAGTATGGCATGTAAAACAGCTACTCGCTAGCTTTTCATTGTTGAACTGTTGAAGTCGGTCACGTATATCAAGATGGGTTTCACCCTACGATCTAGACATCCATGTACAGCCTGTCAGTCTCGACGCTCTCCCGCCCTGACAGCATTCTTGACCAATCCAGCACACAGGCAAGAACCTGCAGTCAACAACCTGCAGTCCTGCAGTTCTGCACGCTACCGCCGCTGCATACCACACACCTACAGTCCTCCCTTATTCGTACTCCAATTTCGAGACAAACCATGCCGCATCCCCACATGCACCCATAAGAAAATTTGGCTGCCACGATCAACGACGTCCCATCACATACCATATTCCCCAGTGCTAGTAGTAGTAAACCTCCTTCCCAAACCCGGTAATCGACCAGTTGTCCTGGCTGACGATTCTAACGCATGACTGAGATTCCTAATGTCGAATCATCCATATTTTGGCACATATGGAAACAAGACGAGGCTACGGAGTAAAAATGTCGTGGTTTTGGTGTACCTTGAACCCGAAATGCCATGGTCGCTCGACAGTCTGGATTGATCCACTGGAAGTGAAACCTTGATAGGGTTCGATGCTGGGAACGAACGGGTTGTCCGTGCGGAATGCGGAGCGCGGCCGCCGGGACTGGGGATCAAGGTTTGGCTTGTTTCACTTCGGAGGAGTAGCCTATTGTGGAGAATGAGTCGAGAAGGAGGGATGAATCATGACGTTTTGGGAAGTAACTCCGAGCGGGAAGGTTTTGACGACTGAACCTCAAGGCGCTGGACGCCGAACGAAGACGGGTTTGCTATCTGTATCGAAGAATGAGGGATACTGTATATGAGAGACCACCGAATATCTACAGTGCTCTACAGCAGGGATGATTATGTAGACCAAGGTAGAAGGCAGTCTTGCAATGCCAGATATGCCATCAATCTAAACAACTTTTGAATATGCACACTATAATCGGAAAGACATCATTATACTCCGTGCGATCATGGCAAATCAAATCACATCAACAGATCTACTCCTCGGACTCCTCCTCGGCCTTCTCCTCCTGCTCCTCGGCGGCCTCGTCGTCCTCCTCAAAAGTGTTGGGGGCACGCTGTACAGACGGATGACAGGGCGGTTGGGGTCCTTGATGAGGACGTACTTCTTGACCTTGTCCTCCTCCTCTTCGGCATCGAGGGTGCGGATACGGTCGACGATAGTACGGACGATACCCCATCCGTTGCCGAGGTTCAAGTTCATCTGGGCGGCGAACTCACGGGGCTTGTAGCCGACAACACCCAGGACGACGTGGGAGGTGGCGGAACGGGGGTTGGCACGCGAGACGAAACCAAGCTTCATGGCGTCAGCCTTGGCGAGGATGGCCTGGGTGGTCCAGCGGGCGAGCTTGATGCTGTTGTTCTTCATCTCGGTGGCCACGACGGCACCGCGCTGAGACCAGAGCTTGCTGCGCCAGTCCAGAGCGCCACCGGAGCCGGGGGCCTTGCTGTCGAACTCGTTGAGAGCCTTGATGATCAGCTGCTGGTCCTCGCCGCCGACGGGGTTCTTCATGACGGCGTCGACCTCGGTACGGACGATCATGTTGAGAGGCTCCTCGTCACCCTGCAGGGACAGGTCGAACCGTCTGTACTTGTATCCCTTGGAGGCAAGGGGTTCTGTCTCCTCGGCGGCGTTGTAGAAGGGGTTCGGGTGGCTGAAGGTGACCTTGGATTCCTCGGATTCCACCACGGTCTGCAGAGCAAAGTTGTGGTTGATGAATGTGGCCTCCAGAGCAAGAGCACTGGGGGTGTTGATCGACTCCTGCTTGCCGGAAGAATCAGTTGCCTCCATAGGGGCATCTATAGCATTCTCGTTGACGGTGACCAAGTCGATGGAAGCACCCTCGCGCTTGTCGAAGTAGATCTTGTCGCCCTGGTGGACGATAACAATGTCCCACGAGTAGAGACTGCGAGGAGCGCACATGAGCATGGACAGAATGTCCGAGGTGGCGAAGACAGTCGCCTCGTTCTTCTCGGCGAGCTCCTGGATAACAGGATCCTGAGAAGTGGTGACGTTGTAAGCGGCACGTTCCAGAGCCTGCAGCTTGCGCTCGGCGTTCTTGACGGGGGCCTTGTCGTAGGACCGGTCGTAGTAGTAGAGGAAACCATAGGAGTCCAGATCCTCACCCTCGGGAGCCTCAAGGTTCAACTTGGACAGCCGGTTGAAGTCAACCTCCTCCAGCATGGTCCAGTCGGGACGGACGTTGACCGAGGGCTCACGGGTTCTCTGCGGCTTGTCGTAGTCCTTCCAGCCAAAACGACGGCCACGGTTGCCGCGTGCAGAGCGGTTGTCGTAGTAGCGATCGCCGCCCTGGCCACGGCCAGCACCGACTCTCTGGAAGCCAGCGCGACCACCTCTCTGGCCAACACCGCGCTGACCGCGGCCACGGAAGACAGTGCCACCGCCACGGGCGAAGGTACGCTTGGTCGATGTGCGGGTGTTGTCGACAACGGAGAAGGAAGACTCGTCCTCAGCGACCTGGATGTTGAACAAGCTGGAGGTGCCTGCGCCGTAAACCTGTTGATCTGGTCGGGGTCAGTACACCATCTCAAAGACGTGCGGGACAATTGGACTCACCTCTGTAATTCCGGTTGTAGGCCTGACGACCACCCCTGTCACGGTCCTTGCCATCCCCGGTCCAGTCAGCCATACGGCCAAGCTTGTCACCCTTGGAGAAGGGAGCGTAGGGAACGCCATCGAGCATGTTGTCGGAGGGAGTGGCGGGGCCCCAGGTGTCCTCAGCGGGGAGGGCAGCCACAAGGTCTGCAATGGACATAGGCGCCATGATGTCTGATCGATACTAGGATAGATACCTAGTGACAGAAAAAGTCGGTGGTATCAAGAAGAAACGGCGAACGGTGTGTGCGCTGGCGGCGGGACGATTCTCACGATCCCGAATTTTTGTGTTGCGGGTTGTGTGTCCCTGTGGCTGGTGGTCTTGGCTCCATCAGCCACACTCGCTTTGGGCGCCACCACCACTATACCCGATTTGGAATATATACTCCTTTAAGTGTATAGCTTCATGATTTGACCTGCTCTACTCTGTGGTCTGTGGTGATGGTGAATTAATACTGCAAGGTGACCATATTCTATAGTAGTGGAACTATTTATAGTCTGAAGGAAAGGTAAGGTGAAAGGACAGTGAGAAAAAATTATGGTTAAGGCTAATAATATCTTAGTTCATTCTTACTATTCGCTGACCTTGACTCTGTTCAATCTGCTCATTGAAAGTAGTGGATATCAATTATCAAACATGATTGTATATACATACTTTTCTTCCGCTTCGCATCTCCCCGTCTCCATCTTTCCCTCTCATCTCCATCTCCCAGCTCCATCTCCCCATCTGCCAGAAACGCTTTCCAACGTCTACCATGAGCAACGCAGGGGATGACGATCTACAATTTGACTTTTACTTCACGGCCATACCCGATACTGAACAGAAGAACACAGGCCCAAAACAAAGAAAGTGGAAAACACCGAGAGGGAACTACAGGAGGTACTCACCTCGAAGACAATGATGGATGGCTCGAATGGCTCCGTTCGAAAATGGAGAGGCCCTGGTGGGTAGAGCTCTGGAATGATCACTTGAGTCAGGAGCAGACGAAGGAGCGAGGCAAAGTGATTGGCGACATTCAGAACCGGATAGTGAGTGGCGGGTCACACGGTGTCCTAAAGTACAGCATGCCACAGCCCAAGAAAGGCGACTTGGGACGCTGCGGATCACCTGGTACGCCTTCACTTTAACGTCAAGAATATCAACCCGCGATCACGGTAGGGGGCCATATTTGGCAAGATTCGGCGATGAGATGATGGACAGGATTGTGTGGGGCTTAAAAGGCTGGCCCTGCAAAACGCATGCACCATCATACATCAAAAAGGCATATGGTGGCACAGCATTCGTGGGAACAAAACACCACCAAGGTAATGTGCTCTAGGCCCAACCTGAAAAAGCTTTTCCAGACGCGACCTAAAAGATCATCTAAGTGAAAGGGGTCGCTCTAAAGAGAAAGACCCAGTCGGCGGACGGACAATCAAGGACAAAAAAGGCCAGGGGTGATCAAAATGGCACAGCAACCATGACACAAAGAACTAGCCACGAGAAGGATACTGGCGACGAGGAAATCGACGAACTCAGTAAGATGAAAAAGATGATGATATTCGAGTCTGAAAGCACCCGAATGGAAGACTGAAATACTGAACCCAAGACAGCAGGTGCTCCTTGAAAAGAAATCGGATGTCTTTGATCCAACCGAGACGTACTGGAGGTTTCGCCATATCATCGAGGCGCTAAAATACGTCGAACTAGCCCTAGATGCAGACTGCCCGTCCATGGTTATGCCTGCAAGGCGGGCGCATCTTCTATCAATAATAGCTCTGGCCTCTTACACTGTAACTCGCCAAGTACCTTCAGAACAACAGCTCGTATTTTGGCATCCTCGGTAAGATGCTCTCTCTCGCCTCACCCACATTTTACCCCTGATTTCCTCGATCTTTTATGCTTGGTTTTTGATTCTAATCATTGCTTAAGATCGTCGTTTCTGCGCGTGATCACACCCTATTCGTCCAGCTGACCAAGAACTGGTATGCGAGCGCCACCATGCAAGATCCTCAAAACCAAAAACAACTCATTATTGTGTCAATGCTTCGCTTAGGTCCAAAGTAAAGCCGCAGTATACAGCACTTATGTTCTATGCAGCTCTTTATCATTGGGACTCCATAGACTCTGTAGATCGCCGGTACCTTACTGTCGATCATCAGCGTATCACTGGTCCGATTCGGCGCCAGTCCGTAGTCGCCCTTAGGGTTCCAGATCCACTGAGATAAGGAATTCTCACATGAGTTGCTGGATTACTCTATTCCCTCGAACTACTGTTCTCTTGCCGAAATATTGGATCTACCTATTCTTGGACTTCAGTGCCGTCCGCCTCCGAAAGTGCTACGGACCTGACCAATTGTTTCATTGGGATATAGTGGTTCCTGGCGACGATTTCAGTGCCGAGCCATGATATATCTTTGGTTCTCGGTTACAGCATCATTGTTCTCTATCTATTGCCAAACTCGATTCCGCTTATATTGAACTCTTTAGTGGGCAGATCACCTTTAGACCGAATCTTGCGAATGTGACGCTGGCTATCAGCGCCGTCTTTCCGGTTGAATATCGTTGTATACTCACTGGCCCCCAAGGCCCAACCTCATATTTCCGGATGTTCGAGATAAGGATCATGACAACATGATTGGGTTAATGGATCGTCTCATAGGTTTTCTCAAAGGGCTCCCTGGGTAACTTCCTCTGCCAGTGAGGATATAAAGAGCTCGAAATCATCTCGAGGTCCTTTCAAATCAAGACACCATCCAACCGAGACTCTCAAACATCCTCTATCTCCACGTACCTCAGCAGTACCATCGAACCATTCAATATGAAGCTCTCCATTGTCACCTTCCTCACACTTGCAGCCGTCACCGCGGCCATCCCGGCCGAGGATCCGACCACCTCTGCTCTGAAGTCGCGGGTGGAGGAGATCGCTGGCCAGGTCCATGGAGTCGAGGACCAGGAAACAGTCACAGATCTGTCCCAATGCGTTGAACCCAAACTGTGCTGCGGCTCCTTGACCACTCCCCTGGATCCCATTTTGGACCCTATTCTGCTCGCTCTCGGCATCAATGCTGCCCAGATTGTTGGTTCTGTTGGACTGCTCTGTGAGTGACCAGAATATACTCTGGCATTCAACCTGTGCTAACGGATTCCTGTAAAGGTCACCCATGGACTGAAGGATGTTCTTCTGCTCCTCAATGCTGCACCGAAGCCAACCTCTTGGTATGTTCTCTTTCGAGCTTTCGTTGGCTCTTGAGAAGCATTGATCCTAACTTAGATCACAGGGTGGCACCCTTGCTCTCGGCTGCTCCAGGCTTTAGATACACGGTCTTGAGGTTCAAGAATACATATCAACTGTCCTCGCCGAATTGACCTTTTGAGTGTCGAACCCGAATAGAAGGTCAGGAAATGAGTGCGAATTTGCCATTCGATTGTATTTATATAAATACTGAGTTGGTTTGGTGTGTTCTGAAAGATCCTACCAACTGGTACCCTTTTTGACAACGAACTTCCCTCATCTGAGAGAAAGATCTACAACAGGCCAGCTGGTACGGAGCTTCTAACCATGCATGCTGTATCCTGGCGTTTTAATGCTGGTATTTCTGGAAGAGAAATTGATTCTCAGCTGATAAATATGTTGATTTTTTCGAGCAATCTAATCCTCCATTTATCTTAAAGGCCCCCTTTAAAGCGACCTGATGAAACACAAGATAAGATTGGGCCATTGCCTTGATACAGGAACTCCCTCCCTCTGTTTTGAACCAATATACGCAACTGACGGGACACGAAGCCTGCAATGCATGGAGACCAAGATACCGCCAATCAGTTCTTGTTGCCAATTAGAAATGTATCAGGCCAATAAACATGCTACATGGAACATCCAGAAGTCTACACAATGCAACCTGGAATACCCAAAGCAATCAATAACAGCTCGACAAGGTGAACACCCCAGTAACCATTTCTTATTCCTTCTTTAGAAATCTTTGGTCATCTGCCATCATTGCCTAAGTAAGGTATTGCATTAAAGCCTGATGCAGCCTTGCATCCATCCATCCTCCTCTATCCCAACACCTATGCACCACGTCGCCAACGATCTCCAATCCTATCCCCCAAGACCACCGGCAAATCCGCGTCGAACACCCATCCAACGCATCCACTACACGAACAAGCAAACAAATGGCACCGCATATCATGGAACGGGCACTTACTCTCAAGCAAAAGCAAGGAGAGAAGAGATGCGGCTCAATCACGCAAGAACAACATAAATCAAGGCTGAATCCAACACCATACCTAACTAGACCCTCAGCCCATACCCATAATCAAGAGCATCAGCATCGCATCGGCATCACCCGATGACCTGACCAGACCCAACCAAGCCACAGGGGCAAACGAAGCAATGGTCGAGCAGTCATTCACAAACCGCTACATCGACGAACAGAAGCTACTGGCGCTGCTGAGGGCGCGATTTCCCAGGAAGACCTACACGGTCCAAGTAAGTACGGAGTACCTACTTGTCCATGTTCCAAGTCTCTGCCCTATGCCCTATGGAGTAGTTTGCGATGAATCGGCCTCGTGTTTGTTTTTTGCCCTAAGGATGCCACCCCTGGGTGCTTGCTTTTTGACTTCCCGTCATCCCGCGCTACCAGGGGCTGTGCAAGCCACCACCCTGCAGTAACAGGCTAATGCGACTCTCAGATAAAGATGGGCATATGGTACATCACAGCGCCGCAGAGTCTTACACAGGTTGGTTGGCTACTCACATGCAAGATTGGAAGGGACGAGTCCTTGATGACTGGATGTCGATGACGGCTTTGTTGGGTGTATCTGCGTGCGTTAAGAGTCACAAGGCGCTAATAATGCTTTCTTGCGCTAGGATGAAATTCTATCATGCACCACTCAGCCTGATTCTGATGGATCCGGCTGACACAGTGAACAGTATGGCAAGTTGGGTCATGCATTTTGCTTATCATTGTTGTTGATGTCAGACACGGGGTTGATACTTAAAATGCTCATCCCCATCATTAGCGTAGCTATGGCTTCTATCATACATGGTTGACAGCGCATATACGCATTTCGTCTTGCTTCTGTCCTCTATTGTTTCTCGTGGGTAAATCTTAGAAATATATGTTAAACGCATCCTAAGATGAGCCGAAGTTGTCCTTACAGCCCCACTCCCTTTCGAATCGTCGAGGGGAAATATATGGATCCCCGGAAACTGGTGAAAATGCTCAGGAAAGAATATGGTCAGTCAAATTTTCGAGTAGAGGTGACTGCCATTTGTTCGATGAGTGATATCAGGAAAATGCTGATCAACACGCAACAGTTACGCCTGGATCAATACAAAATTTACATTCCCGACCATCAAAGAGAGCAAACATCGATTTCGATAGATGTGAGTGTTGTTTGCGTTTTCTTTTTTTGAGCCTGCTCAACAGACTGACCTCTGATACAGGATATGATCAAGGACTGCCGGGTGTACTTTTAGCTGCAAGCCACGCTGGACTGGCATACGAAACATCAAGGCAAAGGCTCAAACACACTGAATACGAGGTCCATAAACGAACCGACCAGAGAAAATATCTGGACCTACAAGAATCTGCATAGGCACACCGCGGGTACTGGTGGCACATCCCTAATACGCTTGCTTCAATTGTTCTTCTTCGGGCTCCCAAGCAGCTCGTCGGACGACTCCATATAGTCTATATTCGGGTTAGCTTGTACGATGATATAATGGAATCGACTGGTGGCTGGTCACACCATACATATACCTCTCCTCTCCATAGACATCTTCTGATCGTAGCAGCCTTCCCGGAGACGATATCAAGGTCTGCATAGCCCTGGGTCGTTGTGACGGTCTGACTGCCCACTTGCATGAAACAGGGATCATCATTGAATCATGACCAATCATATGTACAGGCACATGCCGTAGAGCTGAGCGATACCAACCTAGTTGACGACTAATAAAGGAATTTTGTGGCGGTTGGTCACACTACCTGGCGCAAAACATGCCTTGGCCAGACAGGAAGGTAGCAGAGCCCCTCGTCGTTTTTGGCCGAGTTTGCCGGTAGCACAAAGCATATCGCCCGTATTCTTTTCCGCCATCTTTCAGCCTGATCGTCAAGCAAACATCATCTCCTTCGTACCTTAGTCTACTCATTATTCTGCCTTCAGGGGCTGATAGAGACAGAATACGGCACGGGCAAGTTGTCCGCCTCGTCAGATGGGAGTCATCATGATCTGACTCTCCCACGCGTGGCTAAAGAGACACAGTTGCGCCTCAACTAAGCCTCACGTTAAGTAAAGCAGACATGTATCCCATGTAGTAACAGACCAGAGTTCACAGAGCTCGGCTTCTTATCGAGTGGTATATATTATGCCATGTCACCCATGCAGTCAAGGACCAGATCGGCTGCGACATTATCGCACCAGACACCCCCACCATGGTCTGCCTGTCTAATCCGTCTCGGGTTGACCAGTATTTGATAGACAAGGTTCAGTCCAAAAAAGACCGGCTCTTCAAGGCCCATAAAAATCGACCGCAACTGGAACTCACGTCAATATTCAAGTCGAAAGACGCCGAGGGCCGCTGGTCTGTCCGACTGGGATCACCGGTCAAAATCAATGGCATCCCAGAGTTGCGCCAAGTCGGAGAGGTACATCGGTCGAAGAACAGCTTTTAAGGAATCCCAATGCTAATTGGTAACTCTTCCGGATACAGACGGAAAACGACGCCTCCAGCTGCATTCATATCTACAAAATTCGCCATCTACGATCTTGGACGACCCTGGACATCTCATACGAGACTATCGAGCACCTCTTAGCAGCCCATAATGTGTTCGATCACTTTTGGCGATGCATATTGGCGTTTGGGATCAAATTTCAGGAGAATGAGTACGATTTCCCACCTTTCCGAGCGAACAACGAGCAAAATACGCACAGTCGAGTTGATGGTGAGGATCCTGTATACTCTTGGTTGCTTCTAAGAGGGAGGGGCGTTGACTGATGGGATAGAGCTCGCCTACGTGATCCGACGTGTGGAACCCAATAATAGTCCGACGGATAAAGGAGTGTGTCCATGGTCGATACGTCAAACGGGAGTTTACCACAAAATGGTATATCCCAACCGACATAGTCAAAACTCAATACGCGGCACGTCTGTCTTCATCCTCATTGCGCCTTCGCATGCGGCAGAAAAATCCGTCGTGCACCGTCTTCCCGAAAACGTGTCTCAGGGTGACATAGACGGCCCGGATTTTCTTATCCATGAATGCATCGTCAGTGACAGTTTGAAAGGCTGGATGGACTATCAGGCCTGGCTAGAGGCCGAGTCGAAGCAAATAGTATGCTGCTGGCTTCTACTATTCATTGTCAGAAGCGAATGTCAAGAGAGATAGCACTGACCAAGATGGATTCCAGGCAAACCGAGTTTTAGTCCTCGATATCCTTCAGAGAGGAAACAATGGGGGGCCTCGCAGCATATATGTCAGTGCCGAAGACCGGCAGCGTCTGAAGCAATTGGAAGATTACATCACCGATATGCTGGTTATCCTCCAGACAATGGTCGACTCTATCAGTCGTATCGGCAAGGCCTGCAGACGGCACTGCCAAACCAGTTGCAATGGCACAAGCTTTTGCCTCTGTGGTCACAAGATCGAAGGATTTGAAGAGTATGCTGCAGAAGCTCAGGCATCTTTGAACCGCGCGAAGGTGCTACGAGAGCGCGTTCAATCTACAGAGCAACTGGTAAGACATCTACCAGCTCGAGCCAGAAAATTCGTCACCCTTATGACCTGTTGCGCAGTGCTTGCACCTCTCAGATCTGCTTGCTTATGAAGAAGCTGCCGCTTTGACACAGCTCGCGTATGCCTCCCGTATTGAGAGTGAGGAGATGGTTAAGCTGGCGGTCAGTACAGGCGGCCTTCATATAGTCACATATCCCTCTTAGACGGCTGACGGTAAAGGCGTTAATGTAGGCTCAAAGTGCTCGGGATGCCGCAGCGGTCAAGGTCTTGACAATCATCGGCCTCGTGTATCTGCCAACGACAATAGTATCAGTAAGCGAAAGAACAGCAAACGAAGGTTTTCACTGACACTGGGACAGAATTTCTTCTCAACGGAGTTTGTGCATCTCAACGACAAGGGCAGATTGCAGATCTCTCACCAAGTCTGGATATTAGCCGTCGTATCTGTTCCTCTGACAGTTTTAACAGTCATCATCTGGTGGCTGTGCGACCGATACCAAGTTATCGAGGCAGTGCTTGGAAGGAAAGAGGGGAGCAACGTAGAGAACGGCGGCAGGCGAGGCCGATCTGAGGAAGGTACACCGGCTCGGTCGAGCTCGGTCTCATTAGACACATTAGCAAGACCACGATGAGATCGAGGAACGGCTTCGCCTACCCAGGAAGATGCCTCTCTTCCTCGTTCACGTCTATCCATCACTCGAAATGTAGTGATGCCTTTAGAAAAATACCTCCCCATATCTGTATGGCTTTTGTAGGACTCTTCGACCTCAATCGGTGCCATCAGTTCTTTGCCTGTGTAAGCAGGATCAGTAGCAAAAGAAACGATAGTTGACAAGCAGAGAAAGGCTCTGATGCTCTCAACGCGGGGATAACGCAAGAGACTCGACTCACTCTACGCTAATGCAGCCGACTGCGCAGTGCACGATGTAGGCCATAACTCTTCGAGTCCTGTCCTCTTACTGCTTACTGGCGCACCTACCTACGGTACTGAAGTAGGTACGAGATTGCGGCCAATACAAATGCATGCGTCCAAGCCGCGCCTCTATTAGTGCGAGTTCGACTTCAGAAAAGCGTGGCACACCATCGAGCTGTCCGATAAAACGAGTCAACTCAGAAGCACCCGCATTTTGCCACTTGTTTAAACTTTGTCAGTGTAAACATCGCTGGGAGAAGGAACGTCATTCTAAGAAGCTTGGAAGCAAAAGGTAATCCTGAGAGCCGAAGCCGGCAATATGATTGACTCGTTCCTGACCTGACATCCATTGTAGATATCCTGACTGGTCATCTCGAGAGGCAGTCTCTGTTCTTGGCTTTCTCACCTGCACACACAGCCCCGGTGCCCGTTCTCGTCGCCCGTGGGTGTCAACCATGATCATGATTAAATGCGACCATTCACATCCAAATTATTCTGCACTCTGACGAGCCCGTTCACTTCTTCTGTCAAATTTTTCCCCGTCAACTGGTCATCACCTCTCCATTTCTCCTTAGCTTTTCTGTTCTCAACCTTCGATCGCAGTCCCGCCATCGCCTTATAAAATTGCCCTTCCAGTCTTGTCATTTTATATTACAGCCTTTTGACCTGCTTTGAGGGGTTTTTCTCCCTCAGCCGGCGTTGTACTGATCTTTGCCCATGTTTCCTCTGATACTCTACGCCAGGCAAGGCTACGAACAATCATCAAACAAATCCTGATACATTGAGTTTGTGCGCGTTGTTATACATTTCAACAATGACTTTCCCGCGCTGTCTTTTTCAACCGTTCATACGTTTGTTTCGACACCTTCTTCGCGACAAGCAGTCTTCCCGGTCTGGAACGAATCCTAATTCCGCTGATCATCCATCCTTCCCACCAGCGAACGTATCGGTCGTTGACAGTCAGGTCAGAGTAGATGGACTCAGTACGCATTACTCCCGTGCTGCTTTGGACCGTCAGTCCTCATCCGGAGGACAATCTGATCGCTCCATCTCGAGGCGATCTTCCTTGCTGGATGTGGCCTCTAGCCCTTTTAGTCCTCTTCACGAGCTTCAAGAGTCCTTATCCAGTGCGAGCATCGAGTCTGACAGTTCAGGGCACGTAATGTATCTCCCACTGTCCAGTCTTAGAGAACAGATCACCGAATCCAAAGTGGAGGACATACTTCGTGACGAGGGGTTGGTGCAAGATCGCAATGCAGAGAAAGAAGCCATGAGAATTGTTCAGACGGCTATGAAACTATTCGCAATCCTGGTCAGCAGGAAAAGAGGTGCTGATATCTTGAGGTTTCTGGATGAGGGGATAAGTGACACCGATTTGCCTTTCGTCATGAAGCCTGCAAGAACTGGAAGCGAGCGAATGACACTGCAGACAAACGGAGGCCGCGATATCAAAGCTCTAAGTGAATGGACTGACCCTGAAATCAAGAGCCTGGCGAAAAAGCAATGGCGTATGTTGGCTCCGGTGTTTGAGCAGGGCAAACATTACGATTTCCCAGTTGCTCAAATCTTACCTATCACGAATTCGGGACGAATTGAGATTGAAAGCGGCTTCAGTGAGGTCTTTCAAGCCTTTATACATCCTGCTCATCATACCTTCGGGAATTTTCCTGGTTGCCGGGTAAGTGGACATCTCTACTTTAGCGATGCCTGTGAGAAAGACCGCTTAACGCCATGGCTTGATGGCTAGGATCGACAAGTCGTAGTTGCAGTCAAGAAACTCTTTTCTATCGACCCTTCACGTTTTCAAATTGAGCGCGATATGCATATGACTCTTGGGAAAACGTCCGGGCCCCATCCTCATCTGATCAGTCTTCTATTTACCTATAAGGAGGGGTCCAAGTTTCACCTGGTATTTCCATGGGCAGACGTGAACCTACGAAGTTATTGGAAGAGGATCCCACTCGAACAGATTGAGCATCGCAAAGTCTTGTGGTCGTTGAAGCAAATGACAGGCCTCGCAAGCGCGCTGTCTTTGATCCATGGGTTTCAGCTGCCGGACGACCGTCAGCCTGGCCGTTATTTCGGACGTCATGGTGATTTGAAAGCAGAGAACATCGTGTGGTTCCCGTCTTACCCAGGATGCACTGACTCGGACGGAATATTGCAAATCACGGACCTAGGCCTGGCTAGTCTTCATACCATCGGATCTGTATCCAATGGTGACCCGGCCGGCATGCTTGGTACTAAAACTTATAGGCCTCCAGACAATCATCGCAACTTGCGCATATCCCGGAAGTGGGACATTTGGAGTCTTGGATGCCTATATTTGGAGTTCATTACCTGGATAGTACTTGGGTTCGATGCTATCGTGGAGTTTGCCGAGCTTCGCGGTGCCGAACGTGGGGAGACGGATGAATTCAGCGAAGATTACTTTTACACGGCTGATCTCAGAGACATACGGCCGTCAGTGAAGGCATGGGTAACCCGCTTATCAGAAGATGAACGATGTTCTGATATGCTTTATGATCTCTTGTGTTTGATCATGCGGGAAATGATTCGCATCGAGCCTAAGGACCGAATCGATTCTCAGCAACTCCACCAACAATTACTTAACCTCCTTGAACAAGCATCGAGTAATAAAACCTATCTCGTCAGGGCTATTGAAAGACCTCCAATCTGATCACGAGATCAAAAGTCAATTGTTTTCTCCGGAGAGACCGCCGCTCCCCGATCCGCAGATATGTGACATTCTAGCCCTTCGCTGCTGTCATATTAGTGAATGGCATATATAGACTTCTTGGGAACTGTGGAACTGTGGCTATAACTGAACACTTGTATATGACTGTTGCATACATCAGATGTGGAATATCTCTGCTTCGGTGTTGACTGTCGGGATTTGGACTTGGGTTGTCATACACTTGGTCGGAGTTTTGGATGAGCATTTGCAGGCTCAAATTTTTGCAAACTTTCAGAGCATTTCTTTCAGAGCGTAAATTTTCTTTCGTTTTCCTTTCTTTTTGGTTATTTATATGTTTGATTCGTAATGTGCATGTCAAAATAAGGTCGGTCAGAAGTCACACAGCGTGCATCAGCAGATCCGTGTGCCTTGCATTTGCATACTGTTCAGCTATTCGATGTGGATAAGTCATCATTTGTGATCCTACCTAGTTACTTATTGCTGGTGACAGTACAGGCAGCCAAGTCCCATTTGTGTATGACATGTCATACATCCACCAGTGGCGCATTGACAGCCGGACACGGAATTCCTCGCTCCCAGTGAGTAAAGAGCTAGGAATCAAGTGCATTTTGTCAGTATTACCACAATTCATCATTATCCTGAACAATTTGCTATATTTTCAGGGTGCCAATCTCTTGGCTATCAATGAGCTGCTCGCACTCGTTGTCCAAGAATAGTAGAGACTGGACCTGAACGCCTTCATGAAGACATACCCGAGTGTTTCACAACTTCCTCGACGATCCTCTGTACCCTCCCCAATGTGTATGACCGTATTGCCACCGTATAGTTTGGATGTCTCATCTGGCTGCGAAGCAGGATTTGAATCCTCATCAAAGTATCCAACCGACAGACAATAATGACTTCCAGAATCCCAGAGTGAATATCGACGGCATTGGAGCGTGTGCGAGCCACCGGCTTCAACGAAGGCACTCGTTGCCCGAGGTATTTGTCTCTGTCCACAGCTGTGAGTGGTCAACGACCCATCAGGGACATGACGTCTGCAGAAGCCATTGAAAGTTCGTTGCCTCCTAAACAATGCCAGTGCAGTGACGGCCTTGGCTTCGTTAACAAGAAAGACAAGCATTTTCTGAAATTGAGTGACCTCTCGCCTAAACCAAGTCGACGGAAACAGCAAAATCTTCAGGCTAATTGACTCTGACTGTTTGGTGTCGCCATCTGTGGTATCACAAACCTGTTGTATTTCGAAAGTGTAACCACCAGAGCTAGTCTCCCTTTATCAACATGCGGTGGTCACCTTCATATGGAGCGTCAGTAAAGGCTCCATGATGGACACTGACACAGTCACTCCGGATGTCTAGGTACCGGTATGATAGTTTTGAAGGTGGGTTCTGTCCTCAACATTTCTTGAATATTTGTACCCCTGAACGTCAGGTGAATGATCTAGCTGTATAAATATTAGTTCAGCTGTACCAAAAAAAAAAATATATAATTCAACCTAAACAGTCCATGCCGAGTAGCCACATTGTTAATGCCAGGCTTGCCAGCAGTGCTTCACCATGGCTGAGAGCCAACGGCTCGTCCTGTCCACACCAGAGCTGCTCGAATATATTCTCCTTTACCTTGATATCGAATCCCTGCTGACCTCAGCCCAGCGAGTTTGTCACTCCTGGACCAGGTTGATTCAAACTTCCCCGAGGCTACAGCAGGCCCTGTTCTTTAAGCCCACCCCACCAGAAAAGTGCCGCGAAAAGCTGCGTAATCCACTCCTAGCAGAACATTTTTGGAATTTCTTTCCCTATCACCTGGACCCATTCAGCATGAGAGAATACACCTACCGGATGCTGTCCTGGGGGGAGCAGAGTGACAGGCGCCAGAAACGTTTCCGCCGCGAAGCTAGTTGGCGCCGGATGTTGGTGCAGCACCCCCTGCATCTCTTGCCTATGTGCAAACTTCTCATCCTCATCAGGAATTGGATCTTTAAGCGCTATTATCACCCATGCGATGCCGCTCCCACAACTCACTGGGTTACTGATGGGGTTCAGATGGATCTGATAGGGCTAAGGATGAATATGCTCTACGACCTTGTCCTTGACAGCATTTTGGGAAGCCTACACCAGCACTGGATCTGCTGGGAGGGCCATATGCCTCTACGGATTCCCTGGACGGCGTTAACAGGGGAGTTCATGTCTGGTCTTGCTTGCTTGGAGCTGCGGGAGGAGAAGTTCATCCCCAGGGAAGATAGCGACGACGAGTAATGACATATAAAGTCACTTATCTATTAGTTTTTCTCACCATCGGATGGGCGATCACAGTTTCTGATGAAGAGCCTGTCGGTCCAGTCAGCACAACCAGAGCAACTCCTCGTCCCTATCAAGCGAGCACGAGTGGATCTGAACGATACACAGATCGACTAGCACCAACGACACTTGGAAACCAGCACGAACAACGACGTGAAATAGTTATTACTATTCCTACCAGAACCAGGTCACGGCCAACGGTGTGTTGACCGCGTGACCGCGTCCGGACGGTCGTGGGGTCAGCCAATGCTAAAGTATCGGACAGTCCAACCGCCCTGAGCTCCTCTACAATTGGCAAGAAAACCGCCTCAAGGTAGTGAGCCTGGCCTCGCATTGTCGGAGAGACCGAGTCGAGTTTAAGAGTACCAGAACCCGTCTCACTATGACAGCAACGACCCGAATCATTTTTGTGGGTCTACTTCCTCGAAGGATAGCACCGACTACAGAGACTCGGATAGTTTATACCGAGGCCATCGTGTCTGACCGACTAACAAAGACCTGAAGAAAATAACCCTTTGAGCAAGGGTTAAGCACAGGCTTTACTACTAAGAAGCGTTTTGTTATAGCAAGCTCGCTTATGTATAGTGAAAGCTATAAGAATTAAATAGCCTCATCTAATCTATCAGTTTCTCGCGACCAAAAGAGTGCCAGATGCTTTATAATGCAGTTGCACCTCCTCCAACATTAAAAGCAGCTCGGATTCCCGAATAGTAAACGCATTGACTGGGCACTTCAACTTCTCATTAGTAACCTATAATAATAACAACACCCTAGGTCATTTTGCATCACAGCAAGCTCAGCAGTCACCACTTAAGTGAAAATTCCAGAGAATCATTCACTACTCACATTAACTAGTCAGATCGCCGCTGACATGGTTACATTAATTATTTGCTAATAGATTGCCATATAATGAGGCTTAGACATTTAGTCTATTTATATTTAGTGCCTGTCCTCGGTAGTCGGTGATCCCCGTTGCAGGCCTTGCTAAGAACAGTCTAGCACAGGGACTCAGGGTCCACCATAGATCGCTCCAGACTAGACCGGCCCTAAGGCTACCAGTCTATCCATACCGCATCATTCACATGTAAAATTCGGTGAGACAAAGGGTCCACTTGCAAACATGTCCTGTTGGATGGAATGAGACATGTCTGCTTCGCTAATCGTACTTGGTTAGACTGAGCTTGTCAGTTTAATTTGGACCCTGTGGGGATGCAAAATTGAGTCCTGACCCTTGAGGTTGAGCGGAGTGCGTTGAAATGCCCCAGAATGGTAAAAGCGCTTTTCGATGATAAACTTGCCTGTCATGCATGTCATTTATAGGACTCTATTTTGTGGGCTCTGACTTCGAAAGGTGAATATACTAGTTACAGTGTGACTCCTCGGTAGACTACTCGCCGTTTGTAAGGGCTTGTCCTTGATTCAATAGTATCTGCTATAGGGGATATAACCAGAGAAAGAGTCCTATCTTCGTAACAGCAAGAGACTACATCCAGTATCTCTAGTATAACCAGGGTCATCGACAAAAATATACAGAGCCCTGTTGCCTGGTATCTCCACCCCAAATTTGATCGACTTGGTCGTGCCGCGCGTGCGATGCATGCCAGAGCAAGGCCGTTAGGCAACTATATTCTATCGTCCAACTCCACCAACTACCAATCACGAAGAATTGCTCATTCTGAGCTTGACCTCAATAAGGTTAGGGACAAGCCTTCCGGAGAATAATGCACTGCGTCCAGTTGTTTCACAGTGCTCGGCTGTGATGTAGTCCAGTCATCGCCATTGACATGCATGCTGAGAAGAATCCAGCGGCCTGGAGATTTTACTTTGGCCAAGTCTGACGTGACGCCACGAAAATTCTCTGAAACACAGGCTCAGTATATCCCGGCAATTCGGGAGCCGAGTCTCTGTCAGGTAATGCGATGCTTCGGTGTCTGCTCTGAGGCTGGCCAGGACGCCATCGTGTGGCCATCGCTCCATCGGCTGTGCTATACGTTTCCATATGATTGAGAATTGCAAAAGAGGGTATAGAAAATAATCACAGTTCGTTCAATTCGTTGTTATCCTCGTAGACTGTCGGGTCTTGCTGTCGCTGGGATGCCTCTTGTATCTGTCTCTCGACGTCTCTTCGTCGTCGGGATGCGCGAATGAGCGAGACCACGAACATCCGCATGACCAGTATGACTACCAAGACAGCGCAGAAAAACGTGATGCCTCGAACTAGCCCTTGCGAATGTGCAATTCTTCGATGATGACGGGTATGTCCGGATGGCATATGGCGCTGGTCATTGCTGCGTTTGTTAGACGGACACAAGCAATAGCAATGGAGGATGGTGCCTACAACATGAGCTGGCGATCTGGAGCAAATCGGACAGACGAATCATCAACATAGCGGTGCGTTCTATCGGGCCCGTATTTTGGAGGAGAGGAGGGATCTTCATCGGGATTGAAATTGAGCCATCGTTCATAATCAGTTACTGGCCGTTCTCTAGCCCGTATCTTTGATAGGGGCGGCATGATATTGATGACTTTGTTGTTTTGATTGATCAATGTTGATTGATGATGGTATGAATGGATAGATAGATTCACAGTAGTGATAGAGCTGGTGATCAAAGAGTGAACTAGTGGACTGAAAGTAGTCCGCTGGATGAGCGCTTTCTTGATTATAACCTAGTCATTCCTACCAAACCTATTCCATGATCATACTAAGGAAAAAGACGCAGGGTCGATTGACAGATCCACACGACTAGGCTGCGATCTAAGGTGAACGTAAACACTGCGCCAAGCTGAGACAAGGCTTCCCTTTGGTTGGTTGGAGGCTTAGGTGGAAGACGAACAAAGAATCATCCATCTTTTATCACCCATCCAGCTAAGCTCGATCAAGAACAATGATTGATTCCATTTTCTCTGACACCTCCTGTTCACTTGAAGGACCCATGGTCTATATAACTTCGCTCTAATTCTATCTACCCCTCAGTTCTTTCTGGCCACGACTCAGACGCCACCATCGGTAAGGTTTTCCCCCGGTCAGGTGAGTTCGTTTTCCAAAGATTAATCTTACGCTACAGTATATTAGTCCGTGATGGACTTACGAGGAATCCCGCTTTTCCGAAAAAGGTTTGCAATCCTAGGAACATGTCTCACTGTCACACTCAAATTTGACTCAGCCATGTGAGCTATTTAAATGCTCCGGAGTCCGAGGAATCCCGCCAAGTTTTGGTCCGCTTCCTTGTCTTGCACGTCTGTCATCCCTTCTCTCTATTGTTTCGAAGCAGCCTCAATCTCATAACTGGCATACATGAAAGGTCCGGCGCCCTTATAATCATCCTGCACCACGGGAACCGAGATATAATACTAACAACCGTCAGATCATTTCTTTGCATCGGATATAGGCGCATACTCACCTCGAAGGTGCCATTGCTGACCAAACTGCCGACCTGCACTGTGCCAAGCCAATTCAGTGTGCCGTTCGCATTCTTCTCAACGAACTTGTCCACCATGAGGTTGTACGCCTTCTTCGCGGGAGCCATATAGTCCTTGGAGCGGATATATCCCTTACGAATGCCCTTGAGGAATCCATACGCAAACATGGCGGTGCCGCTGCTCTCGATGTAGTTGCGGGGATCACTCGGGTACTCCCCGTCCATGATGAGCCACCATCCACCGGACTTGTCCTGTGTCTTCTTGAGGGCCTTTGCCAGGGACTGGAAACGACGCAGGCTCTTCTCATAGCCGGAATGCGATCGAGGCAGGTAGTCGAGTATGTCGACCAGCGACATGAAGTACCAGCCCACTGCGCGGTCCCAGACATGGGGTGCGCCGCCGGTAACAGGGTCTAACAGTGTTAGGATCACGGTGAGGTCAGGGAGGTTTCTCGGAGACATACCAGCCCAGACTGCCACTTTACTCTCGTCATATCCGTGCACCAACAATCCGGACTTCAGCAGGCAGTGCTCCTCGATCAAGTCAAACTGCAGCACGATGTCGTCCCATGCGGTAGCATTGTTTGGCTGGAACCACGCGGTGTACTGCGCATAGAAGTTCTCCGCCATATAAATCCCGTCCAGCCACATCTGGTTCGGGTACGTGGGTTTGCGATGCCAGAACCCACCCGCCTTGTTGCGTGGGGTGAAGTTGAGCTGCTCGCGGAGGGTATCAGCCGCAATCTTGTACCTGTCATCTCCTGTCTTTGTCCAAAGCCAAAGGAGGTTGAGTCCAATGCGGATGTCGTCGAGCGAGACGGTTGACGCGGGGTAGTTAATCAGCCCGCCGGAGGGGTCAACAACAGCATCGACCTGCGACTTGATGTAGGTGAAGTAGCGTTCGTCCTTAGTCTTGTTATAGGCGAACTCCATACCCGTGTAGAGGACGCCGTTGGCGTAGTTGCGGGACAGGGAGATGTTCTTAGTCATGAAGGACGAAGCCATCCATTCGGTATAGTTGGCTGCCTGGGAGAGGCCGCTCAGGGCCGCTACGAGCAGCGCGGACTTGCTGATTGAACTCATTCTCGTGTGTATGATACTATCTTACTCTACCATATACAATCCTGCAGGAAGAAGGATCACAATTCTCTCGCTCTTATACCAGGTTCCAAGAATTTCCAAGACATCCTGAGGATTGTTTACATTGCCTCGGGCCTGGAGACAGGAGAGCCAAGGCCCCTACGCAGACGGAGAAATGTCAAAACGGAGAATTAGCTAGCCATCTTGGCAAGGAGCATCCACCAGAGTGGTGGAGAAATATCAAAAATCTTTCACGATAGTCGTCCGGCATAATATCTGATGTGGAGATTGTGGGGCATGGAGTTGGGGATAGTGCTGACAAAGAACAAAAATACAATTAAGGGGGAAAAAAGTACTGACAAGAGTGGGATTCGAACCCACGCCATCATACGATGATGAGGAAACTCTGGGAGTTTGGTATTAAGGTGTACCTTAACCTCACGCCTTAGACCAACTCGGCCATCTTGCCTTATAATGACTATTTGGTCAGCTATTTAAGTATAATACAATATCCTCGATGTTCTCTCAACTTGAGCTGGAGCTGTTAAGCAATATATTCTTCAACGCCAATACAGAGTATACCAAGAGAATCTTATCTTAGCTAAATCTAGATTTAATGACATATTCAAAGGCAGGGATATCCTCACTATCCATACTGGCAACTACCTGGGTAGTAATGGCTGTGCACTATTACATAGTAATAGAACCACAGCCACAAACCTCGTAACAAACAATGAATAGCCAGTCGCAACATATATTCTTTACCAGGATCAGGCCGTCAGCAACCAGGCAGCCATATTCCAGAATACATATCTTCACCCTCATATACCTTCTCAATCATCCTCATCCAACATAGCAACAGCAGGCAACAGACAAGACACCAGCAAAATGACAAAACCACCTACTGAAACAACCACCTCCTCCCCCACCATCACCCGCTCCACCACCACCAAAACAACCTTCACCAATCTCACCCCCGCAGACTCCATATTCCGCTCCACAGTGGAAAACACCTCCGTCACCAGAACACCTGATGCTACAAGCAACGCCAGCATCAGCATCAAACGCAGCAAACTCCACTCCTGCACACTAACCAACTCCTCCGCCCGCCGCTGCACACTCACCAACACAACCCTCTTCAACGTCCCCGCCGCGCGCTCCCTCGACGCAAGCAACTCCTCGCTATCAAATATCCGCCGTCTGCGCCGGAGCGAGATCCGCGCCAGCACGGTTAGCGATGGCACTGTCCGGCGGAGCACGATTGTGGACTCGAGCGTGAAGCACTCTCTCCTACGGCGGAGTAAGCTGGACCGTGTGGACATGTACAAGAGCCGGGTGAAGAGGGCGGTGCTGGCGGACTGTGAGGTGAGTGAGTGTGTGGTTATCGGGACGGAGTTTAGGGGGATGAGGTTGCGGTTCGGGGTTTGGAAGAATGGGAGGTTGGTGGGGAGGGTTGGGGAGGGGAGGTTGTTTTTGAGGAGATAGATGTAAGCTATCCAATTTTTCTATTCTCACTCTGGGGTTAGGTTATGCTGATGCTGATGTGATGACTAGAAGAGCAAGAAGGGCAAGCATGCTGATGCTGCCGCTGCCGCTCCCGATGCAAAAGTTGAGAGGCTTGATTACAAGGTTTTACAAGAGGAGAGCGAGTCAGAGGACGATGATAAGTCCAGTGTCAGTGATGAGGAGGCGGAGCTGCCGCCGCCGTATGCGCCTTGATTGATTCAACTCGTCCATGATTGATATGTACTTGTTATGTACGTTATCCGTTATCCAGCAACAACATACTGCTTATCCGTCTTCAACTTGCTCAAGGTCTCATTGCTCAGCTTCAGCGTATCTGCCACGATCTGCCGCGGCGTAGATGCAACCCACTGCCCTAGTGCGATGTCTGTATCCGTTAGCATGACTCAGAGACAGCTGCGAGGAGAGGAGAGGAGAGCTACCGGTGAACTTGTCTGCCTGCAACACCTCAAGGAACAGCAGATCCTCATCCCCCGTGTTCTCGATATAGTGACTGTTCGATTGAGGGAAGTACCCCACATCTCCGGCACGGTAGTCAAATGTCGTCGCCGTACTGGGTGCCGAGAACAGCGTCGCGCGGCCCTGGCCACGGATGAAAAACGTCCACTCATCGCTGCTCGGATGCCAGTGGATCTCACGCATCCCACCCGGCTTGACGGTCACGACGGCAGCAGAAAAGTTACTGGCAATGGGGAAGGTGACGGGATCCACGATCTTGACTGATCCGCCGGCGACTTCGTGGGCCGGCTGCTCGGAGAAGTGGTACGAGTAGCTCTGCGTTCTGGGGACAACGCCGGCGGCTGTCGAGACGTTCTGGGCTTCGATGTCCTTAGGGGCTGGCGTGCCGGGGAAGATGTACAGTTCGTCTTCGGGGAGGTTTTCGAATGCGGTGATGGGGACACCCAGGTCTTTAGCTAGGACTTCTTTCTGCAGCCTGTCAGCAAACATCGCTCGTCCTGGTGGTGTGCAGGCGCATACCGGGTTGTGTGCAAAGACTTCAGAGGCGAGAAAGGTATTATCCTCAGAGAAGGATCCGTCATCGAAGACGAGAAGGAACTCGACGCCTGTGTCGAGGGCTTGGATGGAGTGAGGAACGCCCCTAGTCGATTAGCCTCTGTCCATTGAGGGTGTGAGGTGTGACTTGGTGACTTACGGAGGGAAGAACCAGACATCACCTTCGCTCACATCGTCGATGAACGTTTCCCCATTCTCATTGACGGCCTGACGGTCAGCAACGTCGATTAAACGACGGGAAATCATACCTGAATACGACAAGATCCATTGAGGACCAACGACCACTCCGCCGCGACATGCCAATGCAGCTCCCGATACGCACCGGGTTCAAGCCTCATGTCAACACCGGCCATGGCTGTTGCGTCCGGCATGACGTTGGTATTCTCCTGCCGGGCCCATCCAGCCCCATCATGCCCGAGTCTACTTCATAAGCAACCTCCTTCAAGCTGAGAGGGCAAGCCTACCTGTTATGACTGAGTCCTGTGGCAAGTTAGCATGCTCCACCGCCATCTAGGTAAGACATACCTACCCATCGGCCACTGCGCATTGATCGTCTGACCGTGATCCGTCCCAGGAGGAGCCAGCTTATCACTATTGATCTGATCATAGTACGTATTCCCTGCGCTGTCAGCCACTTCCACTCTCCTTCCATGCAGGCCAAACGACAACATACTTGGTCCTGGGTCCGACCCTCCCAGATCTCCCCGGATAGGCTGGGGATTGTCCACGCCCTCAAAGTCAAGATACACCCCGTTGTTGGCATCGTCCTTTTGCCCAGTCACCAGGGTATACTTGACCTCGGTTGACTGCTCCGTGATCGTATTCGAGGAGGAATAACCGAGCAGATCCTCCGATCCTCTCAATGGAGGATTCGAAGGCTGAGCCGTGGGAGCTCCATTGGCACAGGGGAGAACAAAAAAGAAAGCGTGCAGAATGTGGATAGACTTCATTGTGACTCTGCTCATTTGGTTCGAAATCGGACTCGCTGCGTGAGTTGACTCCCTTATATACCACAGTTCAGTGAGGAGAAGAAGAGGGTCGAACTCGACAGTCTGTACCCTCACCGTCGCATGATAGACGGATGCTACCTGTCCAGTCCAGTCCGGTCCAGGCATTCTCGACTGGCAACGGTTACCCCTCATGAGAGAAGATCTTCGGGATAGCAGACAGGCAGAGGACCAGTCCCGTGAGGGGGGAAAGTGAACATAGCAGGCCAATGGGCCGTTTGAGGGGTTAGATAGCCTCTAGAATCAAGAATGTGACAGCAGACATTAGTGGGACTATTGCTCGTTCTGAGGTATGACAGAAACATCAGTCGATACCTGCAGTACCGGTCAGTACATTATCCAGGTGGATCCCAGCAGTGTACACATGTACACATTCTCAACACCAACACACATATCACAAACAGTACTATAAACCAAGCACTTATGACAGGTACCAACATACTATTCCATCCCATCTCATATCACACGGTTCACACAAACTCAAACAAGCGAACCAAGCCAGCCAAGCTACAAGCCAAGCCGACGCATCCCACCTTATCCCAACCCTAACTCAGTACGGAAACCCCTCCGAAACCGATCTCCAAATATAGGTAACTATAACCATAAAACCCGGTATATGTAAAACCCGCTCTCCACCTGCACTGCACTGCACTGCACCACACTACGGCCTGTACTTACCCAGCACGTCACCACATCCTTACTATAGCACTGTATACTATAGCAACGGTAGGAATAGTACTTGATATCCCCGCACGACGAGTCACACCCGCTACCAAGAATAGGTACACCCCTGCAGGATCTCCACTTCGACTTTCGCTTCGTAGGCTACATTATTTCCAGTTTCCAGTTTCTGTTAGGCGATGTTGTCGGTATCTGGGTAGGTACGGCATGGGGATTGAGACGATCGTTGGGTATGATGTCCATTTCTAAGATTGAAATGGTGTGGCGATGGGATGGTAGCCTACCCACCCCGCACGAGGGCAATGTCGTACTCGACTGTGTACCTGTCGAGGGAAATATCTTGATACCGGATCCTGGATATATTGGGCGTACGTATGCTCTAGTCCTTGTAGGAAGGCTAGGTTAGCCTGGTATGCGGTCTGGTCACGCGCTAGGCAGCTATGTTAATTGCATTCTGTGTGGTTGGTGGCTTGGGAATGACGTGACTGGGGAGGTATAGGTATAGTCTATGAATTAGATATGCTGTATATATGCAATGTCTATTGAACATCGAAGTAAACCAATCATATCTCATCGCCGTCAAGTCATTAATGTAAAGGCCCGTGTCATGGAACACCCTTTGGAACCCGACAGTACTTCCGCGCCTCCTCCGGCATGGTCATGTATATAACATCTCGCACCTCCTTACCCACCTGGTCCACCGCATCCATGGCCCACAGTACATCCAGATGCTCATACTCCTCGACCACCTTGGAATGCACCACTTGGACATGCGGCTCGCGTCCGCTTCGGAACCGCTGAAGGAGACGCCGCCCGTCGACCAGCGCATCAGACCCCGCAACCCACAGCGCAAACGGGGGCGTCTGCGGCCCGTACCAGGCGGTATCGGTCCGCGAGCCCGATTGGTCTCCGTCTTGTTGCAGACGGAGATCCTCCTCCATCTCGGCGAGGGTGTCTTCCATCCTCGCCAGAATGCACCGCTGCGTCGCGAAGCAGCCCTGACCCAACCACCACCGGATCGTCTCGCTGCTTATATACACCGGCGCGAATTGGAACATGCGATCGCGTAGTCCGCGATCCCAGCGGACGTCGCTCCAGCCGAACAGGTGCGCAAAGACATGATACCCCAACGCCCCGTAGATGCGGGGATGGAGAAAGCGGTGGACGGTCATCATGATCGGGATGAAGGCGTGGATGCCGAAAATAGTCCGGAACATGCCTGCCGGTATGACGCGCATGAATCGAAAGTACAATCTCTCGATCAGAGGTCCGGCATATACTGCCGGCGCCAGGGCACAAAACACAGATATCTTTTTACCCAGCTCCGGGCGGTGGTGTTTGGACAACGCCACGAATGTCTGCGCGGTGCCTTGCGAGTGGCACACAAGCCCCAGCTTCTCAAACCCGGTCTCAAACAGCACCCGCGAAATAAGCGCGGTCAAGTCCAGCACACCCATGTGCCGGATGTTCCACGCCCACATCCGCGGATCACCGATCGACAGCGTTGTATGCTCCGGCGTCATCCCGCAGCGATTATTGCCTAACCAGACGTCGTACCCGGCTTTGCAAAGATAGAAAGCCAGACTGTCATCGTCGTTCACACAGAATGCACCAGCGCTCTGCAATAGCCCATGAACCAGCAGAACAGGATACCGGCGGTTTCGACTAGAAGCATCCAGCCTTCTCCGCCCAGTAAACACATCAGGGCCTCGCGGCCCCCTCTCCTCTTCAGACGAAGGCGTATACTCCTGCGGGTTATAAACATGCCACAACGTAATAATAAACCCATCCTCCGTCTGGACTTTGAACGTCTCCACGTCGAGTCCCACCCGCCTCGCGTAATACCCAACGTCACAAACAAGCAAGTCCCTCCCGCCCTCCAACGGCGGACACTCATCCGGCGCCTCCTCGTCCACATCCCTCTTCGCCTGCCGTCGCTTCCACCTCCGAAGCTCCTTCTCACGATTTAACTGCCGCTCGCGCTCCTCGGCATAGAATTTCCGCCGCGCGTTAGGATCCTCACCACTAATCCTCATCCGCAGATTATCCAGCTGGGTCCCAGCGAAACCCACAAGCGCACCGATCACAACAATCCCCAGAAACAACAGCGACAGAACGAACGAGACACACTGCAGCGCCACGCAGCGCACGGTGAGCGCAAACGAAGGCGGACTGTACGAGGGAAGCGGCGGGAACAGCGGATGCTCCGAAAGAGTGGTGTCGGGGTGGTACCGTTGCTGCTGCTGCGGCGGCTGCAATTGCTTCTGCGTGTCTCCCAGGAGTCCGTCCGCCACCACCGCGGTCACCGCTGATTCGACCTTTTCGTCTTCGCGACTGGTCCGCAGGTTCCTTAGTTCAATGTCGGGACTGGAGCGGAGGAGGTTGCCAGTTGCTTTCGGTGTGGGAGGTCGGACGTCGATGGGGTTCGGGTCACTGTGGAGGAGGATCCTCGGGGCCCGATTGTGTATTGTAGCATCTTCAGCTTCCTGTGTGGGTTCGAGGCTGGTGCGCCGTTCTGCGATGCGTGGTGCCATCGATATGGTGTCGGAGGGTAGTCAATGTAGCAAAGACTGGAAAAGGCCCTCATTTTGCCATATTCAAGGTGAAGGACGGGAAAAGGGAAACCCAAGTGAACGAGTGGCGCAGAACAGGTCATTGTGGACATTGACCCGGGTTTCGGTCATCCTCCATGAATAGTTATATCGACGAGATTGCGCACGGACTCCTTGCTGATTCCGGTTTCAGAACAAGCTCAGGGCCTTTCATGTGCAAGAACTTGGAGAGCGGGCCCGTTGCTGGGCCCACCGGCCAATCATATTACCCCTCCACAGCCATGCGGTCATAGTGCCTGACCCGGCCTGAGGCGTCCATGGGATAGTTATAGTGCGCCTCAGGTGTCATCGAGGAAACTATTTTAGGAATTCATGGATGCGACGTAAAAATTCAAGAATGATCTAATGATCTATCATTCATCTAACATATCAGTCATCAAAGTCCAGGTATCTCCATATGCGCCATAATAACTGCCAGTAAACCAAATATGCATGCTTCCAAAGATAAGAGGGAAAAAAACAGATTACGCCTTCTCCAGATGCTCAAGCTTGTGCTTCTCTTGAGCATCGGCCTCAAGCTGGGAAAGACTGGCCTTCCGGTGTCCCTCGGCCACATCCCGGACATCGGTGAAGTGGACCGTGGGGACGAAACCGTTAGAGTTCCAGGCCCTGGAGACCTTGCCATAAAGCTCATCGACTTGCTCGAGAGAGAGACCCTTGGTCTCGTAGATGCAGGTGTACACAAAGACAAGCGCGATGAAGCAGAAGCCACCCCAGATGAAGAATACCTTGGACTGCAGGTTGGCATTGCCCGGGCCGCTGTTGACCATGTAAGGAGTGGCGTAGGCGATGGCCCAGTTGAGCAGCCAGTTGGTGGCGGTTGTGATGGAGAGACACTTGGCACGGGCCTTGAGTGGGAACAGCTCACCAGTCACAACCCAAGCCACAGGTCCCCAGGAGCAGGCGAAGAAGAAGATGTAGATGCAGACGAAGGCGATCAGGACCTTGTTGGCCGCGTCGGACGAGGTTGCAGTGCCAACGATGGCGACGATAAGCTGGCTGACGCACATGCCAATGGCTCCAAACATCAACAGAGGACGACGACCCCACTTCTCAACCATGTAGAGACCGGGGAAAGTAGATGACACGTTGACAATGTTGGTGATGAGTGTAATGATAAAGGGGTTGCTGATGCCAGAGGCCTTGAAAAAGGTAGTTCCGTAGTAGACTAGACAAATTAGCAGAGTTCGAGTACTAGAAGAAATGAGGAACATACAGATGAAGTTGACACCGGCCAACTGCTGCAGAGCCTGGATACCGCAACCGGTAGCCAAACGCTTGCCGATGGAGCCGCGAAGGATCTCGAGGTAGCTTGCAGTACCCATGCTGAGCTCGTATTCATGGTTGGCCTGGATCTCGGACAGTTCCTCAATGAGGGCTGGATCGTTGACATCCATGCGGCGAAGGCGGGCTAGAGCCCTAGCGGCGGCCTCGTGCTTATCCTTCTTGATCAGGAAACGCGGGGTTTCTGGAAGAACCAGCATACCAGTCACCAGGATAATAGCCCAGGCAAACTGGATGGCAACTGGAATCCGGTAGCAGCCGGTATCCATACGGTCCTTGGTGGCATTGTTCACAATAGCAGCAACCAGCAGACCAAGGGTAATGGCCAGCTGATAGGCTCCGACGATGGTACCACGGATCCACTTGGGAGCTGTCTCGGATTGATACAAGGGAACTGGTTCTGTCAGTACACGGCCATCAGGATGGACAAAAAGATGAGTCACATACCAGTAGCCGAAAGAAGACCGACGCCCAATCCGGCGAAGAATCTGCCAGCGACGAACAACGGAATCGAAGTGGCGGCGGTCTGAAGAACGACACCAACGCAGAAGACGACCGAGTTGATAATCATACCAAGGCGTCGTCCAAAGTAATCAGCAACAGGCGCGGCGCCCAGAGCTCCAAAGAAAGTGCCAGCAGACAACAGGGAGACAATCATCGACGATTGAGAGGATGTGATATCCGGATAGTTGTCGTCAGGATTGATGTAGCCGGTGGAGAAGAGCTTGCGCCAGTACGGCATGGCAAGGATGCCGCTGATGGTGCCGGTATCATAGCTATGTGCAGTCCTCTGATCAGCTGTTGTGCCAAGGTCAATGAGCCTGAGAGACTTACCCGAACAGAATACCACCAAACGCAACGAACAAACCAATAATGATGGCAGGAGCCGCAGAGCCCACTGCATCATCGGGCTTTCTGATCATGAAGCCCATGATGAAAATCTAGTCGAGTAGTGTGCAAAGGACAAGTGAGATGACTAGAAACCCAAGAGTATTGGAGGAGTATGGAAGTCTCGACGGGAAACAAGATATCCAAAATAATGGCACAATGGCAGGTGAGGATGGGAATGGAAGAGAACAAAGAGGTCAAGGATTGACGATCACCCCGGGGTACACGAGAGATTTTATACTCCCCGAACCGGCTTCCTGAGAGTCAACGTGAGTGAAAAGGAGAACCTGGGGTCCCTCGGCCTGGGGATAACCCCGCCATATCCACAGAGGCAAAGCACGACTGCTGGTTGGCCGCAATCAGCTTCCTGGCGCAGTTATTTTCAAAACAACGGCCATTCCACGGGACAGCGTAACAGCAGCCAGCTGCGTGTTTGAATTTTGGACTCCACTATCCCGGCCGTGTCTGGAGTCTGGAGTCCGGAGTTTCTCTGGAGGAAAACGGGGACTGGAGGAGGTCACCGTATGGGATGCCGAATCGGTCTGCAGCCCGTGGGGACTGGAGGACACATACGAGGCCGTTTGCATTCGGAATGGGGAAGTAGTCCGAGGTGCTGAGGCTTCATTGGCCAGTGGCACCAAGGTCAGACCGTATCTGAGACAGAAAAAAACAAATAGTCGGTGCAGTAGACGAATTCCAGAAACCCACTCGGTTCGGGAGCACCGAATGGTTCATTGGTTGTTGGGGTTGATCAGCTACGTCGATGGCGGGATAAACTTTTCCTTTTTTTTTTAATTAGGGGCCCCTGAAGGCCTGGACGGTGCCAACTTCTCGCCGGTGTACACTCTGAGCGGCATCATCGAGATGTGGCCAGAATTAGAGTCAAAGTGAGACGGTCTGCACTCGCACAGTTTGGTTAGTTCTGTTCTACTGACTGGGGAAGAATAACCGAGAGAGGGCCGAATGCGGGACCTGTAGAGTGTTTCTAAAGTAAGGTGTAGAGCAACACCGGAGTCGGGAAGAAAACCTGGAGATGCCGGAATCGGGCATGATTGTCGGCCCCCTCGTGACATTTCGGGCCAGTTACACCAGCACGATCCCGGCCACTTTTCGGCAAAACATCCAATTTACACTTGTGCGTAATAATAGAAAACCCAAAAGAATTTAATTGCCAAGTGGAAATTATTTCAGTGGCGTGGCTTGACTACTGAGAATCAAGTCTTGTTGGTATCTAGTCTAGTCTATCTACTAGCTGAGACCGAGAGAATATTCTCGCACCCGACAGTTGATCCTAATCTGGGCCCTCGAGGCAAATTCCCCCCTTGCTTGCGGCCGTCTGACATGCTTTCAGACTTACAGTACGGAGGGACAAAACGGGGACTCTCGGTAAAACTTCAATTTCTGTCCATACACTTAGGTAACAATAATACAATCTAATAACAGACCAGAATCTGGATCAATCTGAAGCAGTCAGAAACCGGTTGAATATGAGAAAGTAGAAACAAATAGAACCCCAACCATGGATCCAACAGTTTTGTCTTTTCCTGCGCCACGGATATTGTGGGTTTGTTTTTATCAGGATACAGTATGATACCAAGGTTTCTTCAAGTCAAGTCAATGTCTGACAGTCTACCTCTCGAGAGGTAGTAGCCTATGCTGGCCTGATCACTTCGAGAATAGTCCTTAGACTAATATGTCTCTGAGATAAATCACTCATTCACAAGGACGTAGAACTGACTACTGCAGGCTCCCCCGCCTGGGGTGTAACCCTACGAAGCAAGGGATATCACATCTTTCATATTCCTCTCAATCGACATCCAAATTGATGGTACACAGTTCCTGTCCCGTCCCTTCCTCGTGGTGTCTTATTTTCTTCCCATGACAAGTAGTCTAATATTCGGTAACCGTAGATTGGAATGCTTCAAGCCACAAAACAAGAACCACCAAGAATCAGGATCATCAAGCCCAAACGCTATTAAGTGATTTCTTGCCGCCACCATGAACCTTGCCGATCATTAATTGCCACCGAACTTAGAATGCTGACTCGAGTTCCAAGTTTCTGGCTAGTAACCAGACCCAGGAAATGTTAAAAAGTGATCTGGCAGCTCTTGTCGATTTCTAGGTACAGTAAAAAGCTCCAGGTACAGTAAATGATATTGCGTACGGTTGTCCTCTAGGATGAAAGTGCTTTGTATGATTCAATATCATACCATGCCTGAAAAAAAAAATACTTCTACTTTATTAAGGTAGCCAAATTACCACCTCCAGATCAAAAAGAAATACCATGCAAACACGACGCTGGCCACAAGCTGCACCGAACCAATTAGCTCCCTTCTGATCCTGGCAAGAGTCGAACGGCCTGCCCCGTGTTTCCGCCGATATTCATCGCTCGGCGGTCTCCACTTGGAGTTCTGCTCGGCCTCGTACTCTGCTAGTCCAGGGTAAGCATCATGGTAGGGTTTGGGCCGGGGTGGTGCGTTCACAGCGCGACTGGCCAGACCGCGCGGTGACGGAAGTGTAGAGCTGGACGTACTGGAGGATGGGGGAATGGAGCTGATCGATGGCGAAGAGGTGTGCAAGTCTTGTTCGGAGAGAGGCAGGACAGGATCGGCTGAGGTCGGCTTTGGGAAGTACAGCACTAAAACAATTGCCCGGATGAGAAGGATGGTAAATGTAAATCCAAAAAGAAGTCCGTAGTGGATGAAAATCCCCAGCTGATCCGGGAGGAGGCAAAGATGGTTCTGGATCGTAGACGAAGCGCGCTCACTCGGCTTCCCCGTTGTCGGATCAATAGGATTCCAGAGACTGGTGAGTAAAAAGCCAGGGTAACGGACGCCCATTGCCCAGCTGAGACTCTTCACGGTGATTTCCTTAGGCGAACCACTGAACTCGCGGTGGGAAATCTCGCAGTAGTCATGGTCGTCGCCAGAATACACCTGCACCAGATTGGAACCAATCTTGGAAACCAGATCCTTTGAAATGGTCTGTGTCAAAACATTCTGGTACTGATAGCCTCCACCAAGCCTCAATGAGTTTCGCTCGTCCTCCTCAAGCTCCCCATCTGAGGAGGGAGGATAGCGTTCTCTAAAAGGCCCGCATGGTGTAGCCGGCCTGCGGTACAACGGCACATGGGTCAAGAGAATCGTCGGAAGACCAAGAGCTTCCCACTGCGGTTCCTTGACGACCGCATTTTCCAACACCTGCACGGCGTCGTGCTTGAAGAGACGGCCTTTGCTCGCTTGAGTCTCATTGCGCAACATAAGCAGTTCCTCCGTCTCGGCCTTGGCCATATGCCGAGGTACTTCATCGAGGAAGTCCTTCGCCTCCCTCCAAATATGCTCATTAGGCTGCTCTCCATCCCCTGCTCCAGTACCGGAGCTGCCTGTCTGCGGATCGGGCTGATCCATCGCGCTCAATGAGACCGTATCGACCGATACAAACGTGTGGTTCCCAATCACGTCGACACGATTCCCTTGGCCAAAGAATGACTGGAACCGGTCACGAACGGGCACCTGAACACCCGATCCGAAGCCCAGGTCATGATTGCCCGGTAGACTGGCAATCATCCGTCGACCTCGCGGCTCCGTAGAATGTCCGTCACCCTCATGAAACCGATCAGAGAAGATTTTAACGAATCGATGATATTCCTGCTTCCAGAAGGAATCCTTGTATTGCTGATAGCGCTTCTCAGGGCTCGTCGTCGACGATGTGCCCCACTCCCTCCCTCCGTCGAACAGGTCACCAAGGAATACGACCGAGTCGGGCCCTAGCTTTCTTTGGATAGATGTAAAAGAGCGGCGCATATACTGGTCCGTGTACTTGACCGTCAAGGTTGAAAGGGGCCATGGCCGACCGGGGTAGGTATGAGGATCGACAAGTTGAGGGTCTGCGATAAACACAACGTGATGGGGTGTGGCATCCCGGGGCTACCAAAAGTTAGCACTCCATCGATACAGAGATACGTCCAGATCACTAACCCACTTCTCCCATTTGTCCCAGACACACTTGTCCAGACTCTCCTGGAAAACAGTCCGTTCTCCCCACCACAGCGTCAAAACCCACAAGAGTATCAAGGCGATCGGCACACTGAACACACGACTCACGAATCGTCGGCAGATCTTTTGAAGTCCAGCTCCATTGTAATCATTTCGGGCCTCGCTGAGTGCTGCAGGCATTCTCCCTTCGCGTAGACTCGTAACCCATGTTCTGGCCCACAACGGTAGCGCTTGGGTTAGACACTCGTGAAGACTGGTAGGCTCGGCAAAGCGATCGCGGCGGGACGGTCGATAAGCATGGGCACTGTCACTGCGCGGATAGGAGTAGCTCATCGTTGTGTTGTTGAGTCGAGGAGATAAGCAGGGGGCCTAGTGTGTAGGCCGCATTGCTCGAAACTCGATGACACGAAGTGAAACAGGAGGGTTTGGCGATTCAAATGAATAAGGGTATCATACTGCAAAAAGGAAAGTAAAGGAGTGTAACTGATGAGTAGGATGAAATGTCAGAAAATACAAGTAGGCTGTGGTTGGCAACATTTAAGCCATCATTGTCGTGGCCAAGGAGATCTCAGCTGACAATAATAGTACCTAGGAGCAAAAAGCTACGGCCGCCAAGACCATTGCCATTCCTGATTTAGTAGATGAGCAGTGCCGCCCTAAGGTCACGCGGGACCGGGGTTTAGTGGGGTAACAATGTACCCAGAGGTAGGGCGATAACAATGACTGAATGGGACTGTGGGGGACAGCTCACATAGGATGAATCATCATCTAATTGTGATGCCATAGTTGAGGGGGACTTTGTCCTTGGGATTATTTATTGATATTCTCTGAAAAACAGGCAAATGAACAGGTTACTATCATGTGAGTTTCTCCCAAGGCACGGGCTTTGGATAATGCTCGACCTAACGCGGGAAAGCGTTCTTGATCTCAACCGCCATATAACCCTTATGGATATTTAAGAGCGTTGGAAGAAGCAAGCCACCAATCTTTATGGATAATGAGCTATCTCAGTGAAGCCTATCATGTGATGTTCGAGGGTACCTGGGCCGAAATATTGCATGCGCAAGGCGTCTAGAATATGTGGCACATGCTTATACCTAATCAGCCCGTGGATCATTAGAAGCAAGCGAATCAGCTTTAGAAGCATTCCATTGCAGTTGATAAGAATCTATATTAGGGACATTGAAATTGACATCCAAGATGCAGTTGAAGCCTGTCAACTGATGTAGTCACCCATTATCCGTCCATTCAGAAGGACCATCCGAACTCGAATGGATCTATAAGGAGCAAGGATGGAGGCATCGAGATAACATGTCGTAATAATACAATGACAGGGTATGGAAAAATAAGGGATAACGGAAGAGCATGCTTTTAAGGACCGTTAATAAAAATGCCAAGACCAAACATCATAATGAATTGATTGCACATAGGCATGAGATCAAATCGATTATCTACGACTTCTTGGGGCAGCATTGGCCCTTTTGGGCGCATTCCTCCCCGCATTCAAGAAGACACGCCTGAGGATCTCCTTCTCGGAAGCTTGGGGCTAGACTTGGCAGCTTGCTGGACCCGGAGGGTTCATCATTGCTTCCACGAGACGATGAAGGAAGCGCATGATTGTCCTCCGCATCGCTGTCCGGGGCGAACTCGGGCTGGATGGTGGACGAATGGATTCCATAAGCATGTAGGCATTTCCTCACCTGTCTGGCAAGACGCATGTAACGCTCGGATCCTTCACCCTTGATCTCCGTGTCCACCTGAATGTGGATCGAAGCAACAAGCTTGGTGTCACTGAGTTGCCACACATGCAAGTGATGGGATCCGATGACGCCAGGAAGACGCTCGATGTCTTCTTTGATGTGATCAATACTCAATCCTGCAGGCACTGCTTGCAAAAGGATGCGAGACGCGGCCTTGCAGAGCGGAATTGCAGATGCAAGGATGATCACTGTAATCACCAGAGAGATACCAGGATCGACGTAGAACCGCCATGAGTAGTCGGTCAGCCAGATAATTAAAGCTGAAACGATCACACCGATATTGCCAAGCGCATCGCCCATAACGTGGAGGAAGACCCCACGCATGTTAAGATCGTGTCCATGTGCGTGAGTATGCTTGCCTTCCTTGGGCTTTGGTTGCGCGTGGTTGTGGGACTCGTGGATGTGGTCATCACCTGTGGGTTCTCGCCGCTTGTGAGCTGTATCGCTCTCATTGGTGTAGTTGGTCGCTCTGTCCTTGCTGCCAAGAAGGTTCGTTCGCTCCGACGGCTGACCGTCCCCCTCGTCACCTTCTCGCTGGTCACTGTCCGATTCGGAAGACACGTCATCGAAGCGATTCCGACTGGCAGCAATGATCTCCTGTCTCATCGTAGCAGGGTGAACCTGAATGTCTTCAACACCCAAGATACCACGCCCGGTCCCAGTGCTGTACCGACGAGAACTGCGTTGAGAATCCAGAGTCCGGCGCTTTCGCGAGAAAGGAGAAGATGGTTCGGTACCACCGTTTGCATCGTCGCGCTTTTACTTCAGTTAGCCAGAGGAGTGTAGATAGTGGACGGGAAGTAATTACAGTAGCTGTAGAAGCCCGCTTGTCCGCCACAGTAGTTTCCCCATGACCATGAGCAATCCCTTGTTCCGCCGCATCGACATCTTCGATATCTTCGTTCGAATGGTCATCTCCATGTCCATGGCCGTGAGAGTGCTCATGAAAGAGGAGGAGACCAAGTATATTCGATAGGAGGCCCAAGCATCCAACAATGCAAACCAACTTCGGATTCTTCACTTCCTGTGGCTCGACGAGTCTCTGAATTGCTTCTAGGAAAATGGACATACACAAGGCGACGAGGAAGACACCGTTCACCAAGGCACCGAGAGTTTCCGCACGTTGCCACTGTTACAGAGAGAAAGATCAGCCTCGCTCTTGTTGATCTGATTGCATAGGCGAAAGATATGGGAAAATCTTACCCCGTAGGTGTACGTGTTCGACTTGGTTTCCTGATTGGCAACCTTGACAGCCCATAATCCGACCAATAACGATATGACATCATTCAACTTTGCCCAGTAAGTATGCGATTTATAATCTCAGGTAGTATCTTCAGGATCAAGGGCTCACCATATGAAAGGAGTCGGCCACGAGAGCGAGTGAATGAACCGAATAACCTATGAATGGCATCAGCCAAAAGACACATCTTGCGCATGGTGACGAGAGCGGACAGACCGGCTATTAATTCCAGGAGGAAAAATGCGGTGTCAATGACCAGCAGGATCAAAATCCTGTTCGTTTTTGAGAGGCCCATGATTGCTGTAGCCTTGCGACGCGCACAGTGGCGCGATTATCTGTATAGAGAGATAGATGATGCTGATTGAATCAGTCTGACGGGTCCTACCGAGGTGTGGCAGATACCAAACACACCATCGGACGAGGACGAAGTAGATGATAGGTAAAGTAGAAAAGGATGTGACAAGAGAAAGGATAACGAGTTGGAAAGAGACGCGAAAATAGATAGGTATTTCAGGAAGGGAGGAGAAAGAAGGGGGTGGATGTTTGAAAGGATAGAAAGAGGGATGGAGTTCCTGGCAAAAGACTGACGCATTTCCGTCCTACTGCCGAACTAGGCTTTGGTACTACGTACTATGGTTTGGTCCGTAGGAGCAAACGAATTTGTCCGATCGGTCCGATGTGGCGTTATTGTCATTCCTAGTTCAACAGCGCTACAGTGTAACTATTTTTTTATTTTTGTGGTCAAGTTGAATGCATACTAGCTACTACCTATCTCCGAGAGTTAGACTGCATTCCTCTCCTTGTTTGTTTGTCGCGTCGCGTACTCTTTGATGTCTCATTATCCTTTTGTTCTGGATTGTGGGGCCATTGACTCTCTCCCATGCTCCATCGATGTTGCTGAGAGCCTTGACACAGATATTGTGAATGAGAGGATTCTATAGCTTTCTTTTCAGGTTAAAAGGTTCGTGCACTAGATGGAATCTAGACTACATCAAAGACAAGATATACAACTAACGTCATCCTACCATTTACTAGGTGTCACTGTGATGAGTGACTATACAGGAGGAAGATATACATGACATGACTGACTGTTCTCTGCATCAGGTATGTCCTAACCCTTGAGCTGCCGGTCCAATTGCTCTTCTTGAATCGAGCAAGCCGTCAATCCCGCTCCTTTCGTCAGTACTGCCAAATTCAAAACCATGGCAAGAAATTGTAGCTGCAGGAAACGGACATGACCTGCTGCATGCATTTGTCTTACACTAGCTCCGTCGAGATAGAGCCCTAGCCCAATAGGCTCCCTTCCAGGCAACATTAGCGGTGATTTAGAGTACCTTACATTCTTTACACTGGTCCATCAATTCGTGCACATGCATAGCCAAGAACCTGGAAAGGGTTAATTAGCATCATACTGTGCTAAAAAGGCTTATTTATTGTTTTCACCTTGATCACTCTCTATTGAAGACATGTTTCTACTTTTAATATATGCACTTAGAGATTTATGAAACAAGATGTCCTGAGAGATAAGGTGAGCTTGATTTCTTGGAATGTCTCGAGGGACGAGGTCTCATCATGAGCAGTTAATACAATACACGCGGATCTTCCGCATCAGATCCATCACCCGTGGCTGTTGCTGCAGTTGCCATCCTCCACCTGTGATACTCAGGAGTCCTATTGGACTTGCCCCCTGGAAAGGTGTCTATTGTTCCATCAGTATCGAAAACTTGAATATCCCGACCGTATGTTCGGGGCAGCAGTGGCTTCGGACCAGGATTGCCGGGTTTTCGGTGACCGAAATGCCCAAGTCTGATTGCATGTGCTCATCGGCCATCACACATTAGATTATTCCCTTCAGATGCACTACAGCCTCTTCTCCAGCTCTACCACCTCCTTCAACCCCTCTGCACCACTCTCCCTCCTTTCCTCCTCTTCCATCCCCCGTAATGGCCTCCGTGCATACCCTCCATAACCAAACCAGACTCTCAATGCACTCTTGACAGCACCGACCCCGCCCTCAGTAGCCACCCTATCCGCGCTCGCAACCACCCCCTGAAGCCTTCTCGCTTCCTCCATCTCCCCCAAATGATACAACTCAACCAGCCTGACACACGCCTTAGGCGCAATATTCGCCAACCCCGCAACCACCCCCGACCCACCACCCACCAACGTCTGCAGCGTCGCATCCGCCGACCCTCCAAAGCACATAAACCCCGAGCCCCGCTCCGCAGCCGTTGCAGGCTGCACAGCCGCAACGAGTCGGTTCATCTTCCCCATATGATTACAGGTAAGCTTACACCCGACGAGATTGGGATGCCCTGCCAGCGAAGCAAGAGTCTCCGCGTCGAGGTCCACGCCCGTCACGGCGGGGTAGTTGTACACCAGCACCGGGATGGGCGACGCACCAGCCACATCCTCGAAATAGGCCTTTAGGCTCGGAAGCGTGTACTGCGCTTTGTAGGTGGAAGGAGGGAGGACGAGCGCGTAGTCAGCCCCCGACTCGTATGCATCCTGGCATAGCTCTATCGTCTCGCTTGTGGATGGCGCGCCGCAGCCTGCGATTAGCGGGAGCTGCGGGTATCCCGCTGCTGCGACGGCGTGGCGGGTGGTGCGGGTGATGCGGGCCCGTTCTGTGTGTGAGAGGTGTGCGGCTTCACCGTAGGTGCCTTGCGTGATGAGGCCCATGACGCCGGCTTTGGCCATGCGTATGGCGTGCCGGGCGACTGTGGACTCATCGAGTTCTTCGGTTTCGGGGGAGAAGAAGGCGAGGAGCGGGACGTAGAGGCCTGGTTTGAGGGCTCGGCGGGGTGTTCTTCTGAAGGAGGGTTGTTGGTGCTGGAGTAGGTTTGGTTGCGGTGCGATTGGGAGTAGATGGTGTTGGTGTTGGGGTGTTGGAGGCGTCTTGATCGGCCATATTCAGATGGGTTGGCGTATTTTGATGGACATTAGCACTTCAATAAATGAATAGCGGCTGTATAGGCTACAAGTGTGATGGTGTTCGTCAAAGAGAGTATCATAGCTATGTCATTATGCGTAGTATACCCGACCAAGGATCAGAAGTATCTCCTTGCCATCGAGGTTCGTCTTTAATAATTTCATTGTTTAGTAGTCAAAAGAACTACTCTCCAATTCAGTGATAGCCAATTAATCAAGCAAATATGGCGCAAAAGTATCTGGTTGAGGAAACAATCACAAAGCAATAGACCAGAACACATCCTCAAGTCTTTCCAATAGTTGAAGCCACTGGCTCAAATAATGCCGCTAAGGCTGTCATATCACTTGTTTCAGTAAACTCCGAGGCAGTGAGAAGATCATCTCGTTCCGCGAAGATGAAGCCATCCTCCATGAACTCATCATAATGACAGTCAAACTCACTGTCCACGAACCGAAGACCCAGGTACTCTGTGAACATGTACTCGAAGAATTGATGATGGGGATACCGCGCAGGGTTCTGGGAAGAGAATTCATTGTCACGGCCCGCCATTTGGTACAGATCATACAGGAACTGGTAGATATGCTGAAACCCAACCCCTGATCTTGTCTGTAACGCACGCGGAACTGGAGTAGCGACGAAGTGACAGTCCACTGCATCCGCTGCCGCTGCGGGAGTTGAGATGTACTCCGGGAAAAAGGTACCGAATAGTACAACAGGAGTCGTTCTGGCAGGCTTGTAGAGAAGATCCGGGGCAACTCTAGTTCTCCCATGTTCTTCGGAGCCGTTCCCATTGACGATGATCGGTTGCCTGTCCTGAATGCCAGTCAAAGCCTCCAAGGCAAAAAGCAGTTGACCCAGTTCGACGAACACAACAGCTGCCTCTGAGGGACTAAGGCCTTGAGGCGCTGCAAAAGGGGGAAGGATCTTTATGGTTTGCACGTGAACCTTTTGCTGCTGCGCGCGCTTCTTGCCTTGCAGAACAAGAAACTCTCCCAGACCCTTGAAGTCACCATGAATGCCTCCACTCTCTCCAAGATTGTAGGGCTTAAAGGTCATGAGATAATCGAGCTCGTCTCCACCCACTGGTTCGCTCGACATGTCACCGGATGTCAGGGCTTCGACGTACTTCTCCAGAAGATTCGGTAGTCCCCAATTCGCCGCCATGTACATCGGTTCCTGGTATGCACGATAGAGAACGGCGCCTGCCAGGAGGACTCGGTAGATAGAACTGTGGAATCGCTCTCTCCATCGAACCCACAGTGCAGCGCCGTCTGGCTGGTCATTTTGTATTTCATTCTTCAAGTCCTCCTCGTCTTCCACATAGATCTGTTCGGCGCACTTGGCCAGATGCTCAAAGTCGCGCACCTGCCGGAATTTTCTGAGCGACGGTTTGCGAACGGCACCACTCAACGTGGAAAGGGGGAACGGGTCTGGGGGTAATTCTTCTTTCTGGAAGCTTTCGAGGACGATTTCCGTCGCTCGAACCTGGAGACTCATTTGTCATTCTTGATATCATGTACAGGATTGCACTACTTACCGCCATCAAGGCATCGTCAAACGCCAGTATTTGCTTCTGCGCAGTAGTCCATATTATCTGAGGAGCATGGCATAGCCACACATCATGGAACCGCCTGCATGCTGAAGCGCAAATCACAACTTCTTCCACGGTCTCGAAGTTCTTCAGGATTTGGATTATTATCTCGGGGACCAGTTTTGAAGCCATACTGAGGGGGAGGGGTGGCATGGGAAAAAGATAAAAATGTTGGCTGCGTAAAGCCTGTTAAACTAGGTGAGGATGCCTGATCGTCTTCAACCATGGCTCACTTGCTCCTTGACGCGGTTGGTGTTGCTCAACCCTTAGTATTCACCGACAATGATACTTGCATTGCCTCAACAAATCACAAAGAGATTATTTGCGCAAAGAGCAGAAGCGTACTACTGATGATGTTGCATGATGGCCAGGGATTTGTGCAATAGTAACAAGAAAAGATGCAGCAGAAAGCAGGAAGTGCCTGTATTATGGATATCTAGAGTGGGTATCTGAACTGTCTTTGGTATAAACATCTTTTATGGAACAGCCAAATCTATGACACTTTTGCTCTGGGCTCTTACAACCACATAAGCAGTCGATAATACCACCTCAATGATATGATTCTCAGAAGAAGTCCTTGAGTATATTTGAACACAGAGTAGAAGGATGAAGGCACAGCTCACCCGGAATGTAAAAGACTTGCTCAGTTATACTCGACGGCGGTCGACTTTTCGGAGACGGGTATTCCAGTAGAGTTGGGTGAGCTTCCAAAAGCGAACAACTTCAGGCCAGACTTGTTAAGCTTCCACTACCTGGCACTCTTCCCCTCTCTCTCTCTCGCACCTTTCTGATGGGACACTTTGAGTATTATACTGACCGGCAATGTGGATACGCAACTTGGCTCCAGGGCCTCGGACGCACATCTATGCGAAATCTGACATTTACTTGGATCGATATGTCTTGCAGACCGCAGATGACGAAGACGATGACCTCGAGCCGCCACGAAAGTACTACAGATCCGAAAAGATCCATGGAAAGCTGTACCGGGCGGTAGACGAGCGAAAAATCTGTTTCGATGAGATCCATTCGGGAACCGCTCCAGATGAAGAATTTTTCTGGGACGAGTTTATATGGCCCACCACCAGGTGCTGCGATGCATTCTCGCCAAAGTCATGCGAATACTGGGTAGACGAAGCCACGCGTATCCGGCAGGCGTAAGTCCTCCCTTTGCTCTCTTGCCCATAATCCCATACAGTTACTGACCAACTTCAGGTACGAGGACGCAATCTTTTCCGCGAGAAACAACTACTCCGACCACCGTATCAAGCCGCTTAGCAAGCTAGAGGTCTTTATCGGCTCCGTCATAAACAAGTCTGGCGTGCAAACTCGTCGACAACGCGATCAATCGCAGAGACTGGCGGACGAGTTTGAGCGTATTGCCTCGTGGATCACGGACCAGATGCATAGACATCGCAAGGTGGAGGTTCCACGTACAGACCATAAAACTAGCACCGAAACATTAGAGCTCTGCCTTGCGTGTTTCCAAGTTGCCGGAGAACAGAATCACGATAGCACGTATCGTCGCAGAAACGACTATGGCGAGCTCAAGAGCTTTCGAATCGTTGCAGCTTGTACGCTGCTTGCCGAGCTGGATCTCCTCGAGAAGGGACAAAAGCAGAGCCTAGACGGGTTGACATGTTACTTTGCTGCTGCTGTGCTCTGTGATACAATTGAAGTTGGAGTACTATATGAAGCTTGTGTTTCCCTCTTGCAGTTCAGTGTACGGTCTAGTGAGACCCAGTCTAGGTCTAGATGGCAGTCTCTTCACATGCCTGAGCTAACCTCAATTTTACCAGAGGGATTCTGAAACTTAAACCTCGTTAGGGCTCTCTAGTTCATGTGCTTGGTGGATTTGGAATCATTTCGTCTTACAGCTGTGTACTGAGCTGATGAATATCAACGTCCTTTCGCAAAAGCAGCAGAAGCCGGGCAATGTTTAGTACTTGAAAGGGTATGAAATATATTGTATGGAGTACTCTGCGGGGGTGAATTCAGCCATGGTTATCAAGCCATAGGGACCTGGATGGCATCGTGCGATTGGTTTATAGAATGTACGACATTCTACCGCGCGCATCCTGGGAATGATGATGATCTAGTTCCAACTTAATTTCCGGCAAAATCCTTCTCGTACGAGACACGTGCGTGTTCTGATAACAGCCGGCCCTGGTGAGGAGCTTCACCGGGTCGTCATACAGGGAAGTGTTGGCCATGCAAGGGGCTACAAGCATGTAAGGTCCGTCGATCTTCCATGTTCCTCTGCTTTGGCCTCATTTCATTTTCCCAGTCATCCAAGTTCCCTCATCAGTCTGTCAGGTACTCCTACCGAGATCGGATCTTTTTCCAAGAAGAAACGTCACACATCCGCAGGGTGAGAGCCGTCAGTATGCAAATCAGAATGTTGCCAATCGAGGGGCCACCCTGTTGTGTGACGTGTCCGGTGAAGAGTCGTACAGACAGTTGCTTTGGAAGGAAGGGGTACTTGCATCATGTAAGCACTTGATATTAGTTTAGCACTACCAAGCACTGAAGATGATCTCCACATATGAGGCAGTCTGGAATGTGCTGGGCCGAATCATTTATACAAGGTTTAACGAAAGAATGACCGAATTGCTCCATTCAGTAAGCTGTTATCTACAACATATAAGAAGGGTCGCGCCAACCCCAGGAAGTGCACAGAGTTGAACCGGCTTAGCCTAGACATCGAGGACTCGTTCAGCACTGCATGGTAAAATAATCCAGCAAATTGGGGCTTCTGTAGAGGCTATCTGAGAAGAAAGCCTGATTATATGCTCTTCAATTGACTAAGAGCACGATGGGAGACGAAAAGCACTCAGGGCCCATACCTTCGAAACAAGATATACTCAGCCAGTTTCCGGTGGAGAAGCAGCTACCGACATTATGTGAAGCAGAGGAAGAAGGTGAGCCAGAATCTGACGGGCCATGTTATAGTGTGTTGTCTCAGAGAGAAAAGCTTTTGACTGTCTCGATCGCTTCTCTGGCAACTTTCTTGTCTCCGCTCTCGGCCAGCATCTACTATCCGGGGATTGAAGCAGTGGCGCGGGATCTTCATGTGTCAAACCACACCATTAATCTTACCGTCACCTCCTTCAAGGTGAGTTTCTGCGTTCCTTTTCAAGCCAATGGCAATAGGCTAAGTCAAAGCCTAGGTATTTCAAGGAATCGCGCCGTTGGTAACAGGTAGCCTGTCAGATCAGACAGGTCGTCGCGCTACCCTCATGATCAGTTTGATTCTGTATGTTGGGATAAATGTCGGTCTGGCCGTCCAAACAAGCTTTCTCGCACTCATCGTACTTCGGTCTCTCCAGAGTATTTTCAGCAGCACTGTGGCCATTGTAGGCACTGCGACAACAGCTGATGTGGTATCTGGTGCGGAGCGCGGAAAATATATGGCATACACAGTGCTAGGAGCGACCGTTGGCCCTGCGCTTGGGCCAGTAGTAGGGGGATCCTCACGCACTACCTTGGCTGGCGGAGCGCGTTCTGGTTTTTGACGATCTTTGCTGGATTTTTGCTCCTGTTGGTTGTCACACTGCAGACTGAAACCTGCCGTGCCGTCGTAGGGAACGGCAGCGTTGCCCCACAGAAATGGAACTATCCATTGAAGGACGCCCTGTTTCCAGGTCGCCACTCGACACCTCCTCAATACCAGACAATAGCCACCTTCAAGCAGCGTCCGAGCCCTTGGAATACTCTCAAACTGGTTTGGGACAAGGAAGCTGCGTGTACCATCCTTTTCAGCGCCGTCATATATGCGGGTTATCTTTCCATCACGACGACCCTTCCCTTCGAGCTGGGAAAGCACTATGGTTTCAATGCCCTGCAGATCGGGTTGTGCTATCTATCATACGGAGGCGGAAGCCTGACCTCGCGATGGACAGCCGGAACCTTGATGAACTGGAATTTTCGACGTTTTGCCCATCATGTGGGACTTGATATCCATGACAAGAAAGAACTCAAACTTACGAGTTTTCCCTTGGAGAAGGCCAGGCTTCAGGTCGCTCTCCCACTCGTATACCTCGCTTCCGTGTTCATTGTGGTGTATGCCTGGGTTCTTAACTTTGAAGTTCACGTGGCTGTACTGCTTCTCATGTTGTTCTTTGTGGCTCATGCATTATCCGGGATTACCAGTACATTGACAACATTGATCATCGACTGTCATGCTGAACAGCCAGCTACCGCCACCGCTGCAACGAACTTTTTCCGATGCTTGTTTGGAGCAGGCGCAACTGCTGCTGCCGTACCGCTTATCGACCGAATCAATGTAGGTTGGACAGGGACACTGCTTGGCTTTTTGTGCGTCAGTTTGAGTCCGTTAGCATGGATGGTGTTCATTTTTGGGCATAGTTGGCGGCTTCAAAAGGAAGGCTTGCTTTCTCAATAGCATAGCTCGTTTACGGACCAGTGATCATAGAGGTGGCTCTTCTTTCTGCACATCTATTAGTATAAGCATTAGCTTGATCCGTAAGCATGCAACGAAGTCTTTGAGGGCGCAAATCGCCGACGCTTGCCTTGATAGACTTCTAGTATAGATGAATCTCAACTTCTTCGAGACAATCAACTCAAAGCTGATGGATCCGAGACTCACAGGTTGCTGCCAGGCATATTCAACTCGAAGGAGATAGAAGTGGTCAAGCAAAATTTCTCGAGCAGAGGAGAGAGGATCACTGAATACATGATAAAGCAAGTTGGGTGTTAAGAGTTTAAGCCATATCTCATACTCCAAAGTATAGCAGTGGGCTTATTTTTAGTAAGAATACAGTGGTAAATCAGTCACTTTACATCCTGCGCACTTCTAGGTGCTTGTTTCACTGACATTCACTCTACTCGTGAGATTTGCCTCCCTCATCACTGTTTTCACAAGACTCTGTCTATTCATACCACCTACACCCCCAACCATCGACCTCTTCCTCTTTCTCTCACCCACCCACTTCTTCTTCTACCTACTAAGTCCTTTTATTATCAAAGCAGTAACCAATCCTAAACTGTACCAACCCTTTGCTTCAGGATGAAGCTTCACGCTCTTATCCCCTTCCTTCTTGCTCCTCTTGCAGCTTCGGCTGCTCTGGCTGAGGTCAACACCGGAGTGGTCGATGCCAACAGTGAGTTTCTCTGCGATAATATGGGAACTTAAACATCTAATAAAACTAGACGATGCTACTCCCGCCAACGGAGCTCTTGAGAACTTTGCTACCTACACTGCCGGTGAGAGCCTTTCTGCCTTTAACATTTCCCGACGCATGTGCCTAACTGTTATGCCTCAGTGACTAGTCTCGAGACTAATGGAGATAATGCTGCCACTCTGACCTGCAACGATAACTATGACTGTGGATTCTATACCCTTTGCATTAATAAGAAATGCGTCGTCGAAAATCTGCCCCCTGAGCTTGCCACGCGTGATGAGGGTGAGTCTCTCTCGCGATTTCCCATACCCTATACTTACACTTTGATTCTCAGAAACCAACCTCGACACTGAGGGTGAACCGCGTCGCTGCAACAATATCAACCTCTGGTGCTCCCCTCATCAGTTCTGCTACCGCAGCCGTTGCGTTAGCATTGGTGCCCTCGGTGCCCGTGCTGATGGTGAGTACTCCTTCCCTTTTAGTGGGACGTTCAGCCAGCTAACTCTTCTCCGCGTCAGAAGACGTCCACGAAGAGACTCGTTGCCGCATGAACATGGATTGTCCCCCTAGCCAGTCCTGTGTTGGTGGAGAATGCCGTAACAGAATCCCTCCTGTGTCTTGAGCCTACCGGGGTCACGTTACGATGATGGGACCTCGTCGAGTCATAAGGTTTTCGAACTTATTTAACGAAGGGTACTGGATTTATCTTTCGATGCGGAGATGAAGTGCAGTGGCACACGGAGACTACGAAGTCTACCACAGCTACTTGATAGCTTTTACGAATTGACGACATTTCACAATTCTTTGCCACTAGCAGATCGTAGAAATGATGTAACTGATGAGACATATTACCAGAGATACTTACAGCCTTTATAAGCTCTGGTGTCCTCACTAGTGTTGGGGAACCAACTCAATAAGATGCACAAGCTTTGTTATGAAAGACCAAGGTCAAACAGACAAACCTACAATCACTGCCAAAATGTGAAACTGGAGATAGAAGCTTGGAAGACATCACCAACACAAACTGAGGTCTTGACCAGAGCTACCAACCCACGCCCGCAAGGCTCCAGGCCGAGGACCTGTGCCTGAGACGCGAATAATCTGCAGATGATGTCGTAGGACAGCGACCTCAGCTAAAACTCCCCTTGGGCGGAGTCCTGATGTCTCTTTGCTCCAATTTAGTGGACACAATGCGTCTCCGCATTGGATTTCATTTTCCAACAGCAGTAGCCAACACATTGAGATCTTAAGAGTGACTAAAGGTGATGAACATCAACCTCAGGGACCAAAGGCACACGGGAATTACTGAAATTCCCAGTAATGTCATTTTTAAAACTGTTAATTATCGAACGGAGTGATGCAGTGTTCAAGGGATGGACATTAATACACCAGACATGAGACGTGGCTTGCGTCTCAAACGCCAGACGTTCGATGGTGTCTATTTCATACTCTTTCTGACTACCAGTGTTACTGTAGTTTATTTATGCTTACCACTAATGTTAGACATGGACCCACGTCCTATACTTTCAGTCGCCCCCAGTCTACCTACTTGGGAGGAGATTAGCCCCTTGCGTATGATTAGTCCGCACATTGAGACTCTTACTATATCTCCAACTAGTATGCGGGGGGGGGGGTGTACGAATAAACCTCTATTAAAAAGAAGATATCTATTTAATAAAATGATTCACCGCAACATAGATTGATCAATCCAGAAGGGCATAAAGCCCAAAAGAAGAGCAACTAGTTACATAGTTCCGGGCACACTGATCCAAACGCTCGGTAGTAGATTGATGGAGACGAGCAATTTCAAGCTTAGTGCTTGAAGTCACGAGCGTGCCGGCGGCTGTAGTCATCGCTGGGACAGGTGCTCACAGTGTCCTGGTAGGAAGAAGCACCCGACTGGGAAGACTCATCGGAATCGGTGGCGTTGGCAACCCTGGAGTACGAGGTAGAGCCAGAGCCACCAGTCCAGACAGCAGGGCCAGGCATAGGATAATCCTTGTAGCCACCCCAGATACTGAAGTTGAAGGAGGGGTCGTCTTTCTTGTATCCGCCGGGGAACTTGATAGTAGGGCCGGGTTTGCCGTTGCCGCCGCCGACAACCTTGACTTGGGCACAGCTGGAGTATGGTCAGAAAGATTTATCACGCTGCGTAATCAGAGCTAGAACTTACGCGTAGTAGAACTCGGCTTGTCCATCATGGGCTCCGTGAATACCTGTATTTGCATTTAGCATCATGTACCTAAGGATGCCAAAGGGTAAAAGGATGCACATACCGATGTGCTCGGGTCGGATGAGGTACTCCCCATCAGGAAGATCAGAAGGAATGGTAAACTCAATGCGGTCCTTGTCCCAGGTGCACCAGGCATTCTTGGTGAAGTCGGCGTTCTTGTTGCAAACGCCTTCCTCGTGAATTTTGAACCAGTCACCATCACCCTGATAGGTCTTTGCGCTGCTTGGAGCCTTGGACATGTACACCAAGGCAGGGCCAGGGTGCTGCATAGTGGCACCGACGGCGAGCTTCATGGCAACCTTAGAGCCAGCCTTGACCTCGGCGGTGCCTGTCTTGCCGGCAAAGGTAAAGGCGCCTTTGTTGCAGCGGAAGTCGGTCATATCAGGCGTCATGTCGTCGCGAGTGTTCTTCCACTTGGTCGGGTTGTACTTGGCCTGGCGGGTGTTGGAGCGAACGAACTCGTTGCTTTTGGTCTCCTTGCCATCGATAACAAGGACATCAAAGAAATAATGGGCAGACACAAACGGCACCAGGGCCACGGCAGCAAGAAGGGACAGCTTCATTTTGAAAAAAAGCAGAAGAAAAGAGCGGTTAGGCTGTTGGTACAAGAGAGAATGGAATGGGACCGGCCCGAGAAAGAAAAGTTGTACTGTGGTAGAAGAAGCGAACAGTAGAGACAGACACGCAGTGAATCTGCTGAAGTCAATAAACAGAGGAATTGGCGTTCCTTATAAACCTTGAGTTCTCAGTGTCTCCATTACCCAGCACAGATCGTAACCCGTGTGTTTTCTTCGAACGAGTTTCACATCCTGAACAGCCTCACTCTATCCGAAATATGCCAAGCGAGGAACGGCGCTGGCCGTGCTTCACGTTGGCGGGTCGGTGGATCCACCTCGTACCCTCACGCGCCCAAAGCTTCGGTGTTTGACTTAGATTCCTTTGGATGGAGCTCACAAGACCCTGGCACGTCCAGGGTCCAACTAGGTATGGGAGCTCGACTCTTTTAGATTTTCCCTGTTGAGCTGGCCAGAGTCCAGACACGTACATTTTCTTTTCTTGGAACCCTCTAGCTCGTATCTCAGCTATACTTTCATCTCAGAGTAGGTCAAGGTCCGCAAAGAGGTGAAGACGGTCCGTGATGTGACTGAGATTGGAGACTTGTATAGCTGATAATTGATCCATCAGATGAAGGGCAATGCTTTTTAGCACAAATCTATCCCGAGGCATGGAACAACGATGTCTAAGACAGATAGGTCTGGGCTTGGCGAAGCTCTAGAATTGGCGATTCTATCCATTTGTCGACTGCTGTCCTCGTGATGGGAGAGCCTGGACACTGACAATTCAGGCTGAATACATGAGAAGGATCAGAATCTATCGCGTACACTCGCAGGAGACTATAGTCTTCGGCATGTAGGATACCTTGCGCTTGCCGATGACGAATCCTGTATTGCGTCAGATACGTCATGAACTTCAGCGGTTACAAGGGTCCACAGGTCAGTGTCTCAGTGGCATCCATGCACTCTAAACTGAAGCGACAACAAGTCGGGTTGTCTCCGACTAAACTACCCGTAACTAGTCGGCCAACCTCAAGTACGGAGTAGGTGAGCCGTTTGAACTATCCATATCCAGTCCCCTCTACAGTGAGTCGCAAGTTGCAATTGGACGTTGGCTACCAGATACGACATGTCTGTCACAGAATGAGACAGTCAGTCAAGCAAAGCAATGCACGTCGGCAAATGAGAGGTATGTTCACCAGCCGGGCAGCGCCATTTTGGCATGGCTCTAAGGGTCCATCCTATCTTGGCAATTGGTTGATGATGAGACATTCTGGGACTCAGGGTCTCAGGGTAACCATTTCAGGCCAACCCCCGTGCGCCAAAGGGTTAGCAGCCGTCTTGGCACAGGCACCCTATGTTCTCCCTTCGCGCTAGGTTTAACCGTAACAGCAGACCCGCTCATCTGCAAGGGTCCCTGAGACCCTGACGCCAGACTGAGCGGTGTGTGCTATAGCACAAGTCAAGATGGCGATGCAAACAACAGATGGCAAGTACCCCGAAAGACAGCCTTTTGCAGATCTTCTCTTCGGCAATGGAAAGGAATTCCTGGTCAACATCAGCCGAAAGGTTGAATGATCTGGCTCGTACGATCAAAGGCATAAATACCAGGCACAATCGCCATCAAGAGATTGCTTCGTAGGACTCTCAGCTGCCCTGCGAGCACCATCCGTCTTCCATATTATTACCTACTGTCCTCTCCATCAATCAACATACCTCTCTTACAATGATTCCAAACATGATATATTCGGCCATCCTGGCGCTGAGCGCCCTCGCGCCCTCAGTCCTAGCCGAAACTCGATCCTCTGGCTGCGGCAAACAGCCGAGTCTCACCAACGGTGTCCACAACATCAATGGCCGGGAGTATATACTCAAGGTTCCTGACAACTACGACAAGAACAAAGCCCATCACTTGGTTTTTGGCTTGCACTGGCGCGGCGGTAACATGTGGAACGTCGTCGACGGCCGAAGCGTTCAACCTTGGTACGGCCTCGAGACGCGCGCTCAGGGCAGCACTATATTCGTTGCCCCTAACGGCAAGAATGCCGGCTGGGCCAACAACGGCGGCGAGGATGTTGCCTTCATCGATGCAATCATCAAGCAAGTCGAGGGCGACCTCTGCGTTGACCAAAGCTCTCGCTTTGCCACAGGCTTTAGCTGGGGTGGTGGCATGTCCTACTCCTTAGCCTGCTCGCGTGCGAAGCAGTTTAAGGCTGTCTCTGTCCTGAGTGGTGGTGTGATCAGCGGTTGCGACGGTGGTAACGACCCAATTGCTTATCTCGGCATCCATGGCATCAATGATGGTGTGCTGCCCTTCCAAGGGGGCGTCAACCTGGCCCAGAAGTTCGTAAAGAACAATAGATGCCAGCAAACCAACATTGGCACGCCACAGCCTGGCAGCCATGGCTCTGTCCGCACGGACTTCAAGGGCTGCTCCAAGCCGGTTTCGTTTATCGCCTATGATGGTGGCCATGACGCTGCTCCTCTTGGTGTGGGTAGTTCTCTGGCGCCTGATGCGACTTGGAAATTTTTCATGGCCGCTTGAGTGTTGGTTTTTTGTCTTAGGACCACAACCCTGGTTTCAGAGAAGGGCACTGGAAGGTTCATGGATCTTTTTGATGTCTTTATCCACCCTCGTTAACCCATGTATATACCGATATCAGCAGGTTGCGAACAATGGAGATGTATATGAGTGTAAAATGCTAACAGGGCCACGTGGAAGTATATGAACGTAAGGAATGTAGAGGTAGCGTCCCATGTGGCAAGGCTATTGAGAGAAATCATCAGCATCGCTGAGTAGAGTGTCGACTTAAAGGAGAAACCCCCATAAATTCATCCCCGGACCTGCTCATTTCGCGTTATGTCCTGTCTGATGTACGCACCAAGCCAGCTGCTTGCCCCCACGTGATTCCATCTAGTCCATCAATTGAGCATCTCTTTCTTCCTGAAACCAGCGTCCACCATCACTCGTTTGTTCAGGGACAGAGTTTCGAATGCTGGTACACTATGTAGCAATATAACAGCGATATCTCCATCTTTGATATCTTTCCTCGCGCGCACAAGCGCTGGTGGTCAGTACGATTCTTCACTTTACTTTCTATTTGGCCGAAGACACTTTCGAATGGTCGCTGACTGAGCTTCTAAACAAGGGAATTGCAAGAACAACAATGACCGCCAGTGCCCTAGAATCTGTCTGTAATCCTCATCTCACGGTCTGAAGGCATTAATACTTCCCTCGAATAGCATGAAAGGGAATTCGTACGTTGTTTACTGCCGCAGGAGCCATTTGACCCTCCTTGAGCAGACACTCGTGCAGTCTCTTGCAATCCGATCTGTGTCACACGAACACCTGAACACTCTCACCAACAACACTGGTTGAAGCTCTGGAGAAATCACATCAGTGACGGCGGTGGAAGCTTGGGTGTGATGCTACGATCGCGCGCTCTGCATGCAGCTCTCCAACCCTCAATAAATCAAAGTTACCCCTTGGTGTCCGGCTCAGCCCATGGATTCTTAGCCCCGTCGTGCAAATACGAGTTTGCCACGCCGTCACAGGTGTGTCACTGAACTTAAGCTTCTATTGCTTAACATTGGTTGGGGTATAGGGCGAGTGCGCCAAACTATGGCTTCCTTGGTTCACGCTAGCTTTCGGAAATTCCTGGCGTATATTGACATTTCATCATCTGCCCGCCCCCGCCTCCGATTCCATTTATATAGCTTTCCGCCCTGCGAATGTGACGGCGTGTTTCAAAGATAGATCTACGAAACACTCATAATCACCACATAATGTCTGACCTCGAGAATATGGACACTCTTCGCTTTCGCGAACGAGTCCACCAGCGCCGACAACACAGTCAACCACTCACCGACGAGGAAATCACCTACATTACACAGCAGAGCGCAGAGCTTGCCGACGAATCATTAACAGGTAAGGCTTCTGAGGGTCTCTTGTAGGTGAGATCTTTCGGGCTAAGAGTACCCGAGACCAGGTGAATCCGGACCAGATTCGATGGGCGTCCAAGGCCGAGCAAGTCTTGAGCAAGCCGTTGAATGAGATCACAATGGATGATGCCAGGAATTTAACCTCAAAGGAGGTAAGAGCTGCTTTGCTTTGACATCAAAGCTGGGCTCTCCTAGTAGGTGTCTGGCTGACGCTAAGTCATAGGCGCGTGCGTTTGCGGATCTCCCTGCGACCGGATCAGTGGCCTCGCATGTTCATTCGGCAGCGGAAAAGAACGCCGATGGCTCGTAGATATTTTTTTGAGGTACTGCTTAGAATACAATTTGATTGTTGCATTTGGCCTTTCTATTTTGCACCTGGAGAAGGAGTTCTAGTAGACGATCATGGATGCGGGGAGTCTGGAGTCTTGAAGCTGGAGCACCTCGAATATTGGGAGGCTTGGATAGGGGTCGGAAAAGCCATGGTAGTCAATCCTCACTGAGGACATGGACCGTTTCCCAGAGATATTTCACAAGTATCTAGTGAAATGTCTCGTAATACTAGCATGCTAGCAAAAGCAGCTTTTGCCATAAAGGAATCGCCTGCCCAATGTAGCTGCAGATAGGGCTGAGTATGCCTCATTTGTGGAAGAATCTCTACATTACCAGTGCTGTGGCTCAGTCGAGCAAAACCGTCTAGAAACGCTACTTCAACTACCTAAGAGTCCTGAAGGGCCTCTAATCGACGATAAGGAATTGCAGTGGAACCGACGTCACTCAACCAAACGGGAGAACAGTGGACATGGCTGCCGGTTCTTGGTCAGACGCTCTGCTGTCTGGTATTCTATCCGACGTCTATCATGGCCGGATGTACAGTGGTATATCCCTCATGCTGTCTTCAGCAATCGCGACTAGGCATTTGAATTGCACAGACTTTCCCCAAGAATATTGCTATCCTACTCATCAGATGTACTATCAACGGTCTTGCCGACGTCATAGAATCCTCTGTCAGGGTGCCCCTTTATTTCAGAGAGTTTTCGCCTCCTTAAAACGCGGTCAATTCTTCGGCCTCCAGCAGTTGTCAATCACCTTCGGTCCGGTTTACCTATTCCAATGATATGCTACCATATTAGGCAAGCGCCACCATTTAAGCTTTCGGCATTTCCGCATGGCTGAGTGGATGACCCACAGATGCTGCACGTGACACTATAAGTACACCCTTTAACCGCTTCTTTATTGGGGAGTACATGTCGTCTGTGGACATTGCCGTATCAGGAAAACGCTATGAAGTCTAAGTCTATCCTTTGTAACTCTTTGGGATGATGTCCTCTTCGAGTCACATCCAATGAGCAGCAGCCGTCCAAACCCAGCGTGCCGTCAGATGTACAGTTCTAATGTATCCACGACAGAAGACTGGTCTCATCTGTCAACTGGAGAGAGGTGACATGGAATCCAGATCTCAGTCTTTTGAGAGAAGTTGAGGTGCGTTAGGAGAAACGAAGCCAAGACTAATGGATAGTACGTAAGTCAATCTGCAGATTGATGTTATTACGGGATAGCAGGATGGAGGTTCATACATATACAAGCCGAGAGCTTGAGTTGATGAGAAGCATCATAACTCATAGTTGAAGTCACTTTAAAGCACTATTTTGCAGCTAACATCTAAGTAACGCTTCATCGTTTGAATATGATTTTCGCATCGTTGGTGTTGTAGATGTCTTGGGCCACTTCAGGCTCTCTGAATCACTGGTAAACGAGTGAAGAGTCAAATAGACTATATGCAAGCACTAAGGTCAAGTCTGGAGCCGTCAATAATGCATCAGGCCTCATGGAATATATATTTTGTCTGAGATCAACAAACAAACCCGATCAGGTGATCATGTTCAGACAGGTCACAAGCCCAAAACTCGCAGGAACACAAGTCCAGACGCGTTTGGCGGGGTTAAATACCTCAAGTCCTCGCCTTCGCCGCGTCATACAATGCCTGAATATCGTCTTTCCACATCTTCTCATCTACGCGCTTCAGTCTCCGATCATAAGTCAACAGTCCATTTACCTCGCCCTCTACATCGGTTGTTTGCGTCCAGATCCCTCCACTGCATGAAAATCGCGTGATTTGATCTTTGAGCTCGCTCAAAAGAAGATGGCTACGGTAGTTCCAGATGTCAAAATTATCGGCGATCTCGTAAGTCTGGTTGATTCCGTTGATGGCGTCGATGTCGTTCCACAAGCTACTTCCATCAACTGACTGATTGTTCCTGTGGGAGAGATAGACTTACTGCTCGATAGAAACATTTGTGCCAACACCACCAAATTCACCTTGGATTGCGAGTCTGCTTGGGTCGTGCGGACTGGACTGTATGGAGTAGAACGGTGCGCCACATTGAGGGTATGAGTAATGATGATTGTCGCTGAAGTCACCATGCCCGTGGTCAATCCATCCGGACGTCGCATCAACCAGCCTTGTGGGATCTAACTGGCGAACTCGCTCCGTTAACTCGATCTCCGGATAATAGTCTGTCCGCTGACCCCAGCCTTCGTTATAGATTACCTGAGATTGTCAGTCAAGGATCGAAGGGATAATGTTGTGAGCAACATACCCATGAGAAAATGCTGGGGTAGCTCCTGTGTTGCTTTACAAGTAGCTCTAGCTGTCTGTTAAATTCCTCCTGCTGGGCAGCGTCTGGCAGAATGGTTTGATCGTTGCAGTTTGGCAGTTTCCGCGATTGCAAGGGTCGGGGCGAGGGCATATCTTGGATGACCAGGAGACCAATTTCATCGCAAGCCCGGTAGAAGAGGGCCGGCTCCACTTTGATCTGAGGTACTCGGTAAGCAATGAACACTCCGAAATAATGGACACTTACATGTTTGCGAAGCATATTGAAACCCAGGCTCTTCAGAAAGTGCAAGTCATACACCATCGCTTCCCGATTCGGGGGAGTGTAGATACCATCCGGCCAATAGCCTTGGTCAAGCGTGCCAAAGACAAAAGTAAATTCGCCGTTTATCAAAGGCCGCAAGATACCATTGACTGTTCCTTTCGATATAGTACGGAAGCCGGTATAACTCTTGACCTCGTCCGCTCCCATCTTGACGCTAATGTTATACAGAGTCGGAGAATCAGGCGACCACAGTTTCGGAGACTCGACCTTGAAACTGAAGGGTTGGTCGGATGTACCCTTGTGGGATGCAACTTGCTTATCTGAGCCACCATCAAAGACTGTAACGTCCACGGCTGTTGATTCTCCACTGGCGCTGAGTGCGGTTACGTTGACTTCTCCTGTCAGTTTTCAAAGAAATAATGTGTACACCTACTTTCACGCACCTTGTCCATCCATGCCAGCACTGATGTCCAACTCTGCGATATAGTTGGCTGGAGCCGACTCAATCCAGACACTCTGCCATATGCCGCTGCAGGGCGTATAAAAGATGTGAGCTGGGATGAGTCTCTGTTTGCCAATTGGTATAACATAGTCGCCACTGTCAGTGGGATCATGCACGAAGACCAATCTGATAAAGTCAGTTTTTGGAAATAAGGCTGGGCTAAGTTTCTCACAATTCATTCGCGCCGTCAAAGGAGACAAATTGCGTGATGTCCAGGGTGAAGGAGGAATATCCTCCACGATTGAAGCCAGCCTGCTTTCCATTGACAAAGACGGTTGCCTCATAGTCTACAGCGCCGAAGTTCAACAGCACGTTCTGGTGTTTCCATCCCTTGGGTATCGTGAAGGTTGTGGACAGCCAGGAATAAAGAGTGTGGTTTCCTTGGATTCCTGCACGGTGGTTAATTCTCTGCTTATCCAGTGCAAAGAAATGACATTACCTGATAGAGCACTCTCCAAGCAGGACGGGATTAGGACCTCATTGGTCAGGGCTTGCCCAAACGGGGGAGCTTGGACAGCTTCCAGCCCAGGTGCATTCTGATACTGCCAGATCCCGTTCAGGTTCTGCCATTCAGACCGCTCCAGCTGAGGTCGAGGATACTCTGGCCATGGATTGGTGCCAACTTTGCTGGTCCATTCTGTGTCAAGGGGTGGGACCTTGGGTTCATACTTTGCCGTCTGCCGAGCATGATTATGATGACGACGCTCTTCAGAGTCATTCGCCAGACCCCTACCGGCGAGCAACAGGAGAAGAAGTTTGTTTAACAAGAACATATCTGTCGATCACAGATAACCTCCAATCAATGAGAAAATTTCCGCGATTGACACTGCATGAGCTGAGCAGTCCTTGCAATGCCTGCATGGATTGACGTGATATATATACAATTTTCACTGGCCTGACCGCCAGTCTTCATGTCCCTAACTCTATGCAGCGCGAAACGATGACAAACATCCTTTCTCGAGTCATTATTATCGCATGACCGCATCTCCGCACAATCCAAGTCTTTAGCATTGTAACCCTTGCATGCCAACATACAACAAGCGGTACGATAACCCCGCAACAGTGGGACTCTCGGGGAATTCGAGAACCGAAAATCGAGAGATAGCAGCTGATTTCAACATGGACGCAAGACAGCAGACAAAGAAGAAGGATTCTATGACTTGACCTACAGGATTTGGGCCGTCTTCGCATGCTTGGCGACATTTAGTGATGCGGGGGAATGAAGATCGACCTCTCGGAGGGCAGATTAGGGCCTTCCATGGACCCTAGGACTGGGTCTACCGTGACTTGTCAACCAAATGAAATGCACGGCCGGATGCCAACGCAGAATATTGGTCGATAGAGCGATTCCCACTGCTCGATCCCCTGTCTTTCTGGTTTCGCTGTCATGCGTTGTGGATTTGACCAGGGTGATTACCTAAGCCAAGCCCTAACTGCATAGAGGAAAGGGGGTGGTTTTATGCAAGATAGTTGGGTTGCTGATCTTCGCTCATCGAACAAATGATGCCGTCATTGGCCAAACAAAACAGGAAAGTTACAATAGCACGTCCTTAGGGCGAGCAATATCTGCCAGCTGTTTACCCCGCCAACAACGCCGAGCTTATCCTGAGTCAGTTTCTGGTCAGAATGCGGGAAAATATTTGGCAGAGCAGAGATGCTGAGTCTTGTTCGACTGCTATACACCTGCTCGAGGAATCAAGATTGCCACGTCAGACAGTAGCAGGGGTAAAAGAGAGCAGAGCTAGCATTACAACTTGACCTGAATGTTTGGCCATCACCCCTAGGTCAGTTCACCGCGAGAGGGACGAGGCTGAGGGGTTTGCCCCGACAACTCCACAAGTGAGAGTCAGGTCATGTGGAGCATTAGACTACAACCTTGAACCGGGAGAAGCAATGATGGGGTCCCCGATATGCTTCATGGATTTGGTGAGCTGTGTCGCATGACATTCTACTTTCACTAGTGTCCTCAGAGATAATCCGAAGGATACACTGGTCTCTCTCTTCTAAGCCAATATACTAACAAAGGCAGCATGTGACACTATGAGATTGACATTGACAGCACAATTTGTAGGCTAATGCATCTATCCTGTATTCATATGTACTCCAACATCGAGGTTGACATTTGACCTAAAGCCCACAGCTGCAACTCGGTGGGTCACCCCAGAATCATATACTTCACACTGGCAGGGAGAGTCAGAAGAATTTCCCGGATAAAGACCAATCCTAGAGGAGCACCCAGCTGTGACGTAAACGTTCTGTGCTTTTTCTCTTCTCAAACTCACTGGCACAGTGAAACCACATCAGATCGGCACAAGAGCATGGCGAGAGCAATGAGCGGAGTGACGATACTTTCTTCTCAGTTCCACTCCTGGAGCATATAGGGATTGGCACCTGCTTCTAGGCATAGCCAAATTGCTCATCCGCCTTTGAGGGTCTTGTTCTCAATTTTAATGGGACGACTCGGTCCTTGAGCCAGGACTCTTTGAGCCTTTGCCATCTTGGGTTTGCGGAGGTCAATGACGAGCTTGAGGTAGTGCTTGAGGGTTTGGAGCTTTCTTTGCCCGTGATCGGGATTAGGATGAAGGAATTGCTATCTGAGCGACAGGGGCACTCTCAACTGAGTGCAGCTGAGTCCTTCCTCTTCCTACTGGTGTGTGGTGTCAGTGACTGAGGCTGCGGCAGAATATTGACCGCGTTGCTCAGAGTCGAATCGACCTCTGCCGAACTTGCGTCTCCATGTTCAGTGAGCGAATGGACGACATTTTCGACAGAAGATATTATCCAGCTGTCCGTCCTCAGACGTTCCTGTGAACTGTTTGCATGGACAGGGGATGGTGAAACTCCCGGACGTGGTGTAAAAATTGCAGCTCCCAGACATAATTCGCAGAACTGGGAAGTTCGGAGCCAGCAAAGCCACGGTAACTTCTCCATGGATGCTGACCGTCCAGTCGAGCCCGGGTTCTCTAACCTGTATACCATTGTCCCTGGTAACCCCACAATAATTTTCGTCTTCTGTTACTGCCCCATGTATGGGAGTTGTAATATGGGATCAATAGAGTCCCGTCTCCATATCAGGGGTGCGAAACGAACTCACGGATGGCGATCGCGTAACGTGTCTAGTTTCCATAGACCCAGAATTCCCCGGTATTGTCACCACCAAATGGATGCTCACACCGTAGCCAAACACGAGGATTAGCTTTCTACGTCACCAACTCTCACTCTATCCATGTCTGCGGACATCTGCGCAAGGGCTAGCCTGGCCTCCCGGTGGACCTCCTCTTCCCTGGAGACTACAGACAGCATGGTCGCATTGAAGCTTAGCTGAAGGTTTTGGCAGCCCTTCGATTGGCAAGTGAATGGCGGATAGATCAGAGAGAGGAATGAGTCAATCCAGATACCTCTCGGGTTGGGAATTTCCCGCCAGAATATCTTCTTCGGGTTGAATTGTGGCAAGGGACTTGGGCTTCCTACCCTGTCTCTTCTTGGGCACATAGTATTGCCAGGAATATATTCTGGGGTTCCGGATCTATAGCCCTCTAACACAGCAGCAGCATTCGCAGCATGCTCCCCTACGATTGGACTCCCTAGAAGATGGCTGAGCTGCCAATCGTACATTCTGGAGGCGATTTTGCACGAGGCGTTTATCAAGTTCTTGGAGCAAGGTAAGGGCGACGTCAGGATCCGTGTCACCCCTTCACGCTTGAACGTAAGCCTTAATAGATCAAACATGGTAGAAAGCACAGCAAAGCAAGGATGAAAGGTCAAAGTTGAAGAGTAGTCAAGATGCGGTATGAGATGGAGGAGGTGCATGTGGTTTAAGAAGAGCTGGTCTGTAAGACAATAACAATCCTTTCTTTGTGAATAGATGCTTGACGCCTCCCTGCATGCAAGAGAAGATATTCACTCATTTCTAGACTTTAGATAGTGAATTACTCAGTTGATAGCAGCTAAAAGGGTCCTAGAGGAGTATAGCCTTTACAGTGTGGTTAAATCACATATGCTCCCTTATGTCATGATGTTTGATGGAGCCCTTGATATTAATAGTCCTGAAGGAGAAAGATAACTTCCATATCTTCCCAACAAAACTCATCTGGGGGAAACAATCCCATGTTTGGCGACATTCATGATATTAGCCAGGTCCATAAGCTGAATCTGAATGCCTGGCTTGGTATGATGAAGCACCATTGCTTTGCTCTCGCAGCCAACAGTCAGGCAAGTCCATGCCTCTTATTGATGAATTGGCCGATCAAGACGGAGTAATTCATGCCAAGTACCGCTTTTCTATTGTCATACGTATTCGACACTTGACCATCGAAATGCCAGTCTTCCCGCATTGCTTGAAGAGTGATGCTCGTCATATTTGTTAGCCTCAAATCTTTGTCCCATGGTTGATCCGTCTGGTGCTGATAGTTCGAATGTGAGGAGGATCCGTGGAGAATTACTTCAAGACCCTCGGGTGATAATTCATCCTCCTCTCTCGAAAGGACGCACTCCTATCATCCATAGACCAGCGGATGAAGCTGGGGTCGAGAAAGGGTATTACGACCAAAAAGGTGCCCGAACTAATAATTTTGCACCATGTAATATTTCCACCGACAGTAATGATAGACTAGGCGGTGGAAAGTCTGGCCGAGGCGGAAGACCAGGGGCTAAGCCAAATTTGCTTGGTGGTTGTGCCCTGATCCAAACTCCGCCTCGTTTTCTGAGTTGTCCATTGGCTAGCCATGGCCGAGTCCCACTCTATCCAATCCAACGACCAACCAATGGTCGGGAGTTCGTATATAGGACTCCCAATTAGGGAAAAGTCGAGCGTCTTGGCAAAAGGGTGATACTTGGCAGTTGGCACAGCTGAGAACCTTCGACGTCGATCTTCAGGCCGGAGGCGTCATCCCTCACAAAGAGACTGGCCGGCCCTTCTCTTCTTTCATCTCTGCTGTCCATTTCTATCAGGATCCATCATGCGGAAGTCCTTACTCCGTCTCAGCAATCATCACCAGAGATGATACTGCTATTATTACGCCCTGAATCACCTCTTTAGCCGAGCGCCTTGGCGATGTCCTCGTTTTGGTTACCTTCCGACACCGCCGTTATTTCAGAGCGCATGCTCTTCAAGCATGTTCTGGGGTCGTCAGAAGCAGCTGTCCGATGTCTGGCTTCAGCTTACGGGTGAGACACTAATCATTGTGTGAAAGCAGTGTTTGTTCAGCACATTTTGTTAACCACCACCTACATTCAGCTCGCTATCTCCGAACTTTCGACCGATCCCAGTCTCGTCATGCATCCCCTCGTCCAACCCCCGGGTGGCGCCCGTTCGCCTTGCGCCCGACCTATCTCTCCATACTCGGTATTCTGATGCTGATAATGTTGGCGGTGCTTGAGGCACTACGTCGATATACCGATCGCTATGGAGGCCTCGTCTTCTACCAGGATACCACAGACCTTTCCAACGCCGCCACATTCGCCTACAACTACGTGCCCGTTATCGTTGCCCTGATACTCGTCACATTCTGGTCTTTCATCGACTTTGACGTTCTGCGCCTTGAGCCGTATTTCCAACTTTCTCGCCCGGAGGGGACTCCAGCCACGACGTTATTCATCAATTACAATTTTGGTCAATCCTTTCTGACCCCACTTACTTCGGCCAAGAGGGGTCATTGGGTCGTGTTGCTCGTATCACTTCTCACAGTGTTGATGCGGATCTTCCTACCCGCTCTGCAGAGTGCGGTGTTTGAGCTGAGGGAAATAAGCATTTTGAGCGACGAAACCATGCGAACATGGCCGGATCTTGTGGACCTCGCTAGCCAGGCTCGGTGGATTACCGCACAGGAAAAGAACAATTGGGACTTCTCGACTCTCTCGTCAGGCAGTCCCCTTCAGAAGACTCGCTCTGCCAATTACGCCGTGGCCCCTGTGGAAATTCCCACGGACGACTTCCGAGAAAGCACGGTATGGACACTGAACCAAACGGTATACTGGTCAGAACTTTCTTGCCAGGATGTCATGGTGAATGACAACCTGGAAGTTTCCGCAAACGGGACGACGGACGGACTGCCAATCATCTCATGGAACGTCACGGGGTCCAGCTTCCGCAACCCGGCCAGGGTCAACAGTGTACCCTGGATTTTCAATACAGCAACATATTCTTCCCTTCGAGTGATTATGTCCAGATTCGCTACTGGGAGCCAGTCTGGACGGACAACGCTTTCCAGTCATTCACCACCAACGGTTGCAACCCGTTTGATCTCTACGGCATACTCATTGGTGTCAACGCTACGCGCTCCACGGACCACCATGCGGATGACATGTCACTATCTGGAGTCACCTTCGCATCCTCGGCGACGCTTTTTGCCTGCAGTATCGACTATCGCAAGGCCGACGCAAAGCTCCAGCTTCATGCCAATAGCTCCATCACCTCGGTGGACATACACCCCGGCACCACCACCAAATTAACGGGCGATCAGTTCAACATTGACGGGTTTCAGGGCTTCTTGTCCCATAGAGCCCCTTATACCAGCGACATGATCTTCTTTCGGATCAACGAGACCAGCGGCGAACGCGAAGTGACGGAGTTGCCTGTTATTAGTCAAGAAATAGGTGATTTGGAGCCTGTCGTAGTCCTGGACTCGTCAGACGTCATGACAAAAGAAGAGTTTGAATCCAAGGTTACGCGGGGCGTTGGTCAGACATTTATGCTTACCATGGGACGACTCTTCAATCTTGACGAAGCCCCGGCCGTCGTACCGGCGACACGGCTCACCTGGCAAGTCACACTTGCGGTGGTCGATTTCGCAGCTTTATGGTCCGAGGTCATTCTTGGTCTGGGCGTCGTTATCATCTTAGGGCTGTTACACGTGTACAAAAACCGGGAAAACGTACTTCAAAGCGACCCGTGCTCCGTTGCAGCCATGTGTAGCATTGTGACAGACCTGTTTGGACCCTCCAACATTCTCGCCGATCCTCGGTTTGAGTTCCATCAGTATTCCACGCGACAACTCCGTCGGCTTCTTCGGAATTGCTGGTTGCGCTGGGAACCTGGCCCGGGCCCGAATGGCAAACGCCTCGCAATCGTCACCTCAGACGGCTCTCCGATCCAGTTGGACGAGCAGCTGCGCAAGCGCGCTGATCCGATGCCACACTTTCTCGTTATTCCCTTTTTTATTATTGAATTCCTCTTGCTCGCCGCGGTGATCACAGCCATGAGCTTAGTCGTTGCTTCACTGACCCGGGATGGCAAGTTTCGACATCTTACGCAGTCCGACTCGAGCTTCTTTCAAGTGGTTCTGTCAGTTTTGCCGTCCATAGTTGCTTCGGCCGTTGGTTCTCTCTGCACCTCCATTCACCGCAATGTCAGTATCCTTGAACCTTGGGTGCACCTTCAGCGCGGCAGGGCTACGGCGAAGGCCTCATTGTCAATGAACTACTCGTCGCAGACGCCGTTGGCAGTGTTGGTGAAAGCCGTACGAGACCGTCACATTTTGTTGCTTCTGATATCAGTGGCATGTGTTGCCAACACGGCTCTTACCGTCGTTGCTGGTGGCTTATTCACACAACAGATGACGAGCTCCTCTCTTCCTACCGCGTCACTGGTCACCAACTACAGCAATGCCGTTTTTCAGCAAACCGATTTTGCGGCAGACTTTACTGAATACGACATCATCCAGACCAGTATCACCACCGGAGTGTCGATACTCCCGTGGACGAGCGCCAACCACTCTTTTGTTCCCATCACGATTAAGGATCCGGATTCTGATGCCCTGTACGGGGCCAACACGCTGGGTATCGGAGCGGACCTGGCATGTCAAAAGTTGTCCATCGCCGATAGTCTGGTTGAGAATCCCCAGAATGGATCTGCTTATTGGGAATATCATACATTTGACGATCCCAGTAGGCGCTGTAAAGTCGACATGACCATGCTGCAGCATCCACGTGAGGACATTACACTTTCCATTCACTTTTTATCTCCAGTGGCTACCGAAGATGCAACGTATGATTGCCAGACATCCACTGTGGTGGTTCTGGGTCGGTGGAATTACACTGCCGGATCGCCCATAACCGACCAAAACACTATTGCTCTGCACTGCGAACCCAGAATCAGGTTGGAAAACTACTCAATCACTTTCGATACGAAAGGCCAAATCCAATATTTGAGCCCCATTGCCGGTACAGCCATCACATCTGGCCCCATGTACGACAATGCGACCGTCAGCCTGGGACAGTTCAACAAGGTCTTTGCCGCCATTCCGCAGAGCTACATCAGCAATTCGACTTATGATCGTAAGACATACATCACGTCGTACGACTGGGCCGGTTTCCTAGTTGCACGTTTGTACAGGCGTCGAGATCCGGGGTTTACTTCTCTTGACCCTCAAGACCTGATGGACATGTCCAGAATCGTCTATCAGTGGGTTTATAGCACTTATTTTACCATCTGGAGGGGGATCTACCTGCAGCCGCTGGACAAACCGCATGCCGCTCCGAACTCGACAGTGATCTACAATACGTGGACCATGGTACCGTCCATCCCCTCTCTAACTATTGCATTGATGATCATCGCCCTCGATACGTTGATCGTTCTTATTGTTTTTGGCACGCGCCGGGGCCGCTTCAAGGGACCCCGCGTGCCACGGTCCATTGGTGCAGTGATGCCGTGGATAGCGCACAGTCGCATGCTAGAGGATTTCCGCGGCACCTATTTTTGGACCAGCATGCAGAGACGGATCCACCTCGACCGACTGAACAAGCGGTATGGGTTCCGGATGTTCCTCAATGCGGATGGTCACTGGCGCTATGCGGTGGACGAGGAACCGCCAGAGGACAAAGCGGCAGGTGAATTCGAGGATCGGTTCAAGATGTCGGGGGCTATCCAGCTGCGTGATTTAGGTACGGACACTTCTGACTCAAGCTCTGAAGCAAGTCCTGAGGCATCAAGCCTTGAGGCAACAAATCCGACGACCCGGGTGGTCGATCGGCAGGAATAATGATTAGCACACGATCTGTTCATGTATCATAGATAGGGAATATATATATCCTGATATATATGGAGTTGGGGATATCAAACGGACGGAATTTGTATATACTACAATACCATTTCAATCACCAGCATTGTCATTACCCAACAACGTAGAGAGACTTTATTGTAGAGCAGCTAATGCAGACAGTAATTCAGCTCCATTTCAGTAAGTTGATTGGATCATCGGAAAACAGGCGAGATCGGCGACATGCCGAACCCCGCAATCGGCATCAAATTAAGAATGAATATGGAGCACCAGGTACAACGCACAAAAGATACCTTATCACAACATGGAGAAAGAAAAGATTAACGTCCTTCTCTACGGTCTAGGAGCGTAAGTCTACCTGGATATATCTTCTCTAGAGACTAACAACCCCAGGATCGGCTCCTTCTACGCCTTCATCCTCCACCGCACCAACCGCGTCCGCCTAACAGTCGTCGCTCGATCAAACTACGAAGCTGTCGTCAAGAATGTAAGCATCACACACCCCAGAGCCCTGACAGTTACCTACTAATGATAAAAGGGCATCTACATCGACAGTGCCAACCATGGCCAGCACCGCTTCCATCCTGATTTAGGTAGGCTGCCTGGCATGGTCAAAAGCATCTAATCTAATCTAACCTCAACTGTAGTCATCAAATCACCCGCTGAAGTAACTCATCCATATCACTACATCATCTGCGCGAACAAGGCCATCGATCAAGACGCCGTAGCCGCGCAATTGGCCCCTGCCGTGGACGAGAACACCACATTCGTGATCATCCAGAACGGAGTGGGGAATGAGGAGCCCTTCCGACGAGCATTTCCGGCTTGCTCGATTCTTACCTGCGTGGTATGCCCCAACCCACCCTTTACTTTATAATTGCTGTTGCTGCTGCTGACTGACGTGGTTAGACCTGGGTAGGCGCAACGCAGACCTCACCCGGCGTGATCACGCACATCAAATCCGAGGATCTGCAGATTGGGCTGTTCCCGAATCCTTCTGTTGAAGCCTCAGTTGAGAACTCCCGTCTAGAAGAGTTCACGTCCTTCCTGGCGGCCGGGGCGACGAAGTTCCAGGTTGTGGAGGATATGCAGCTCCCCCGGTGGGAGAAGGTCGTTTGGAATGCAGCGTGGAATTCGATTACTGCGCTGACGATGGTTGATACGCAGACGTGGTTGGCTTCGTCTGTGGATGCGACGCCGTTGACGAGGCGTCTGATGGGGGAGGTTATTGCTGTGGCGAGGGGATGTGGCGTTAACCTTGACGAAGGGCTAGTGGATAGGCTGATCGATAAGATTAATGCGTTGCCCGGGGTTGAGACTAGTATGCAGGTTGACTGTAGGAATGGGCGGCCGATGGAGATTGAGGTTATACTGGGGGTTCCGTTGCGGAGGGCAAAGGAGTTGGGGATTGATACGCCGGTTTTGGAGACGTTGACGTGTTTGCTGCGGGCTGTGGACGGGCGGTTTCGTTGATCTTGTGCAGCAGAGAGCGGACTGGGCCGAGGGCACCGAGTTTGGGTTCATCGTGCAGCATCAGAATATCCAGGTGGGGTATTTCGCTGTTTCCGCAGGTTGATCCGGTACAGGGAGATTTTGTTTTTTTCAGAGCCGCATAGAGTCATTTGGGTATGCAGGTGTGTGCCAATAGCCGGCTTTTGGCTTTGGATGCTGGGGCTGAGTTGGTCAAGGCCTTTTGCGAGACGGTAGAAATGTTTGCCATTAATCTGGATATGGTCCTGCCTCAGGCCCCTCTGGTCTTAGTGTCTTTCTTATCTAGATTGTTTGCTAGCCTCGTTAGAAGACCATTTTATCATCTCTTGTTTATATACAAGTTACTAGATTTCGGACTTGATACTGGTTGAGATTTGACAATATCCGAAGCTGACAACCAAGTTGTACTCTGCTCGCAATTAGGGGACCCCTTTCGAAAGTGAGCCTTGCAGGTTGGCAACGAGAAAGCAAATTAGGGGAATTAGAAAGCCCCGCACCAATACGCCACCGCAAAACTGTCCATTGTGCAGCGCCAATCCTAGTCGGGTGGAGATGAAGCTATCCACAACAGTGCTCTACATCTCAGCACGAATTCAAAATGCAATACGGAGTAGAGAGGGATGCCAATTACATTCAAATCGCGGCAGTTGGAATGAATTAGATTATTAGCAAAACTAGACACATCAAACCGGCGTCTGGCTAGACACACGTCGTCCAATTGTGAGTTATTCTGATCCGGACAAAGGATTGCCAATGCCCTGCCAAGAAGAAGGCGTGTTTGAGAATATCTCCACCTGCATTTCTGAAACACGATCCATCGAATATCACTGAAAGCTTCAATGAGAATTGACCGAAACATGCAGTGGATATGGGCCCTTGCCTTGTTGGCCCTCCTGCTTTATTTCCACCAGCCATTCAGCGCAGGCGCTTAACGAGGGCGTTATCCTAAGCGCTCTACTCTACAAGATTGCAAGACCCTTGGCCGACCCTTCATCTTTGATTCATCGTTTCATTGTCTCTGTGGATTTGAAAGTATTTAAACAAGATGAGAGCCGATCATCTTGATTATTGATGCAAGTTTTTTGTTCTCACTTCGTTCTCATCTGCTTGACGCAGTTGTCATTCCTTTTACCCACTTATTCATTCCTTTGATCAAATGTATAAAATCTTCCTCCTTGCAGTGCTGGCACTGCTTTCTGCATCTGCTCATGCTCATACCACCTTCACGACCCTCTACGTCGATGGCGAGAACCAAGGCGATGGAGTGTGTGTCCGCATGAACCGAGACCCAAGCAAAGCGAGCTTTCCCATCGAGCCTCTCTCCAGCAAGGACATTGCTTGTGGTAGGTCCTCCTATCTCACCTTTTCGAGTTTCAACGAGTCTGACAGGAATAGGCTACGATGGCGAAAAAGCCGTCACTCGCGTCTGCCCCGCCAAGGCATCCTCAACCCTCACCTTCGAATTCCGCGAATACGCTGACGGCTCGCGCCCGGGCTCCATCGATGAAAGCCACAAGGGCCCCTGCGCCGTGTACATGAAGAAAGTCGACGACGCGACGGCCGACAACAACGCCGCCGGCGACGGGTGGTTCAAGATCTGGCAGTCGGATTACGATGCCACCGCCGGCAAATGGTGCACTGAGAAGATGATAGAAAATAACGGGCATATCTCCGTGCAGATCCCGGCTGATATCGAGGGAGGTTACTACCTTGTCCGGCCGGAGTTGCTGGCTCTGCATGCCGCGCAGGATAACCCGCCCGACCCGCAGTTCTATGTCGGCTGTGCGCAGGTGTTTGTGCAGTCGACTGGCACGGCTAAGCCTGCGACGGTGAACATTGGCGAGGGGACGTATGATCTCAGTCTGCCGGGTATGACGTATAATCTCTACAAGACGCCGTTAGAGCTGCCGTACCCTATGTATGGGCCGCCGGTGTATCAGGCGGGTACGGCTGCGTCTGCCAGTCCTGCCCCTGCCCCTGCCAATACTGCTTCTGGCAGTTCTACGTCTGCCAACGCTGGATCCGACAAGTCTGGTTCTGCATCTGCCACTGCTGCGCCTGCCCCTGCTGCGTCCGGCGACACTGGATCCGAGACGTCTGCCGATACTGAGTCGGTCAATACTACGCCTGCCAATGCTGCGCCTGCAAACACTGAATCCGAATCCGAATCCGAGAAAACAGAATCAGTCCCCGCCAACGTCTGCAAGAACAAGAGCAAGAAGAACAAAAAGAAGAAGAAGAAGCGCGCGATGCTCGTCCAGAACAAGGGCCTCAAGCCAGAAGGCTGTATCCTCGAACGAGATAACTGGTGTGGATTTGAGGTGCCCTCGTATACAGACGAGCAGGGTTGCTGGGCTGTAAGTTCCTTTTCCCCTTCTTTTTCATCAAAGAACCAAACTGACAAAAATAGTCATCCAAAAACTGCTGGGACCAAGCCGACGTATGTTGGAACACGGCGCTCCCTACTGGTTCAGCACACTGCCAGATCTGGTCCGACAAATGCACGGCCCTCGACGCCTCGTGCAGCAACAAGGTGTTTCCTGGCCCGCCGAATGCAGGCCAGGTTCTCACCCCGAAGCGGGCTTCGCTGGTGGGTTCCATCAAGGTCTTTGCGCGGGGTGTTCGGTCGCACATCAAAAGGAGGAGACATACTCATGTTTAGACTTCAGCGTGAATTTTTGATGTCAACCAGTAGCACCTATCAGAGAAGCATGTGATCAACTGGCGTATATATAGACAAATTCTTCGGAAGCAGAGACTGACCTCACATCGTTCCAAAGTTCAAATCCCTGCAATTTAGTTCAGAGCCAGATTTAACAAACAGTAGTCGTCCACGTAGCTTACCAACTATGACTATTAGCTGGTCTGCGGATATGATGTCCTCTGGTCAATGTTTCGAGGCGGTGCCTCAGTGCCGAATTTGGAGTGCAGTTCCTGCACTTATACCTGCTGTTTTGATGATGGAGGATATCTGCGTGGTAAAAAGAAGCGTCGATATATCCTGGCTCGTAAAACCAATCGTCTAAAACCCAGAGCAACGAGGTGAAGACACGGAGGTAAATCTTGCTCAAATTCCAATGTTGAGATGATCTTATGTACAAAGAGCGACTGCATTCAATTGACTTTGAACCCCCCGGGCACAGACGCTGGAAAACACCTTGAGGGTCATATTTCCCTGCAGTCCGCCTCAGAAATGCTTGCATTCTATCCCCATAGCTCGCTATAGGGTCCTGCCAGGGCGCAGCATGGTTGAGGTCAATATACGGATTATAGGCGCAAGCTGCCTTGGCGGCGCTGATGATATTATTCGAAAGCCTCTCAGCCGCTGCACTGACAATGGGATACTCCTGCGAGTGGTTGAATGTGGCTGATAACAGGGCGAGGACGAGGCCTTGCCGGGGTACGTCTATCCCCATAGCATTTCCGCCTTTGAGAGCACTTTGGTATGCTATGGCGGGGACGATGGGTTCAATGCTAAGGGACCACTGGATGCTGGGGATAGCTGATACGTCAGCGGTGCTCGCATTCCATATGTCGAAGACTTGCTTCAGCAGGTCAAGCTTGTTTTCAAAGGTGACCGCGAATGTGAGTTGTCTGGCCTCTGTTAGAAAGTGGTTACTGTTGTTGTCAATGTGATGGCTTACTGGCGAGAGTTCGGGGATAGCGAACCTCCCTCGGCTGCGAGAGCTGCCAGGGTCATTACTTTCGTGCTGGCCATCATTTGAGGCTGGATAGAAGTGAATGGTCTGAAAGGGGCAGGATTCTCTTGCGGACTCGCGTAAGCAAGTAGGTTGGTGAGTATAGGACCCGTCGCTGGGGTGAACGCAAAGTTGTGGATGAGCCCGGCCTTGATATCGTAGTTGGGATCGGACGTGAAGCGATAGAATGCGTCCAGCTGCTCGTCAAGTGTGCTCACTGGATAGTAAATGTCTCCTGCCCATACCTGGCCTAAAGGAAAGGTCCTGAAGACAAAGTTGGTCACGATACCGAAATTATTTGCCCCTCCTTTCAGAGCAAGCCAAAGATCGTGCTCATTGTCCTTGGTCGCGTTGACAATCCTGCCATTTGCGAGGACCACCTGATACTCGACAACGTTGTCGCAGGCAAAACCAGCTTCCGTAGCAAAATAGCCGAAGCCGCCTAGTCATGTCAGAAAGGATCAATCCGTGTTTTTGATGATTGACTTACCACCCAAAGTAGTCCCTCCGACTCCCACAGGACTATCTCTGCCTCCTGGTACAGACACTCCGATAGCGTCCAGGGCAGCGTACACTCCTCCCCATCGCTGTCCAGGCCCGATTGACACGAGGCTTCCGTCCGCGGAGGGAAGAATCCAGTTTAATGCGCTGAGGTCAATAGTCACGCCGTGCTGGATGTTCGCACTCCCGGCAATTGCTCCATGCCCACCACTGCGAACAGCAAACTTGCAGGCCTTGGGAACAAGAACCCGCAGCGCTTTGGAAACGTCCTCAGCGGAAGTTGCTGACAAAACGCATGAAGGGCTTATCAGCTGCTCTTGCTGGGACCAGTATGAATTTACGGAGGATTCATATGCCGTGCTATTTGGATATAGTACCCTTGAGCCTAGGATACTCGTCAAAGCCTGACACTGCACAGAGTTAGTAAGTAGTATACCAGGAAGGAAAGTCGCCTACACAAGTGGATGTTGCAAGTGCAAACGAGGGTAGAATGGAGACAGCAAATAGAATGCTACCAACGTCCATTCTGACTAGTTGGCCACGAGGAGGCCACGAGGATGACAGACACCCTTGTGTAGCGGCGGAGGGGAGCTCCAGTTAAGAGAGGGGAAAAGGCTTAAGGAATTCGCAGTCAGACGCAGCGACAGCCAACAAACATCGACAGAGACTAAGTTTAATAAATGACTCCTAGTCTGATCCTGTCGGACTTCCTTGCTTCATCTTCTTTATCGCTTTTTACTTTTTTCTCGTATTCATTTCTTTGTCCTCCGATACTAAGCTAGCCCTGCAGGATGGAGATCAACCAGCTCCCCATCGTCAGCGACAATGCTACCAATCCAGTCGTCGATTCTACTTCTGCCATGGGAATCTGCGTATGTCTGATCCTCTGACCCTCAGACCCTCTATCCTCAGACCCTCTATCCACTTCAAACTGACTACGACACTGACCACCAACAGTGCCTCGCTCTATCGACCATCCTCGGCGACAAAGTCTCATTTCCCCCACCAATCGCTACAAATCATGCATAGACTCGTACTTCTCACAACAAAACTCTAACCTCCAGCCCCTGTGCATCGTCTCCCCCTCCTCAGTAGAAGAACTCTCTACCGCCATCACCACCATCACAAACAGCAACTGCCAATTCGCCATCCGCTCCGGCGGCCACACCAGCTTCGGCGGCGCATGCAACATCGCCAACGGCATCACCATCGACCTTCGCGCCCTCAATTCCATCACCGTCAGTGATGATCGCACCACAGTGTCTGTCGGCGTCGGCGCCTCCTGGGGCGACGTCTATGCATTTCTCGACCCGCTAGGTCTTTCCGTTGCAGGCGGACGAGCGGCACAGGTCGGCGTGGGCGGGCTCACCATCGGCGGGGGAATCTCCTACTTCTCGCCGCGGTACGGCTGGACCTGCGACACCGTGACCAACTTTGAAGTCGTGCTTGCGAACGGGACAGTTGTGCAGGCCAACGAGAACGAAAACACCGACCTCCTTGTGGCACTCCGCGGCGGCGCGGCGAACTTTGGCATCGTTACAAGGGTTGATTTCCGTGCGTTTGAGCAGGGACCTATCTGGGGCGGGACTGTTTACTGTGCTCTTGACACGATTGACGAGCAGCTGCGCGTATTTGCGGATCTGAACTCCGCGGAAGGGTATGATGAGCATGCGTCGCTGATTACTAGTTTTGGGTTCGCGAAGGGAAAGGGCGCGGCGGTGGTCAATAGCGTTGTGTATACGAAAGCCGAGGAGCGGCCGGCTGTCTTTGAGCCGATTATGAAGATCCCGTCGATGTTCAGTACGATGCGCCTGGCGAGCATGCATGAGATGTCGCTCGAGCAGGGCTCGTTTGCGCCGAATGGGAAGAGGTATGTCATTTTGTCCCAGTCATTATATGCAGGCAGCGCTGACGATGTAGACAATTGTCTGCCGTGACGACGCATGCTTCGACCGTCCCCATGCTCAACGCGACGTATCTACGGTGGAGTTCGAGTTTGGCGGCCATCGAGGATGTTCCTGGCATTGTGTGGTCCATCTCGTTGGAGCCGCTGCCTCCCGCGATCTATGCTCGGGGTCTACTACGAATTCTATGGGTCTGTCGGAGGCTTCTGGCTCCCTGGTCATCACGCTCCTCAGTGCTACGTGGGAGGATGAGGCAGATGATGCCAAAGTCGAGCAAGCCGCGCGCGCACTGTTTGCTGGGATTGAAGACGACGCGCGCAAGTTGGATGGCCACGAGCCATACGTCTATCTGAACTACGCGGCCGAGTGGCAGGATCCGATCGCGTCCTATGGAAAGGCAAGTATCGAGAAGCTGCAACAAGTGAGCCAGGCGGTGGATCCAAAGGGGGTCTTTCGGAACAAGATGCCTGGTGGTTTCAAGATCCCTACCAGTAGCTAGTTGTGTCATTTGAAGTCAATCAACTCTTTACACTCTTCTCCAGTTCATCCAATCCTTGCCCATTGCTCATCATGCGATCCTAACCCGTTAGCTCAACACATCTCAGGGAAGTAAACTCACAACTCACCAACAACCAGGACGGACACCAGCGCGACAGAATCCTGACCGCAGCACTATTTGGCCCCTTCCAGACCAACCCCCCGCTGCCGCTGCTTTTGGCCCCCAACACATCCTCTACAATCGATTCTGCAAACTCCTCAACCGAGCACCCTTTCGGGCCCGCCTGTCCCGTCGCCCACTGCGAGATGACATCTCTGATTGCCGCATAGCGCGAGCCCGCCGGCAAAACCACCCGCGGCTCATTATCATGGAACGAGGTGCTCACGGTGCCCACCATCAGGCAAACAACGCCGACGCCTAGGGGGGCCAATTCCAACCTTAGCGTCTCGGAGATCTGCATGACGGCCGCTTTGGACGACGAATATACCCCTGCCATGTCACATTAACCCCGGTCAAATCTCTTCCCAACACAAAAACATGCATCCGAAAGCAACCGAAGAAAAGAGGGAAATGAGAACAGGGGGAGGGAAATACCAATCCAAGGCGTATTGACCACGGCCCCACACTGCTGACATTAACCACCCTTCCCCGATTGGCAACCAGCAGGTCCGCAAATCCCTGTATCATCCTTACCACACCCCACACATTCGTCTCGTAGACTTGCTTCGCGTGTTCCAGGTCCGCGTCCAGCAGGGGGACGGTATACCCCGCTCCGGCGTTATTGACCAGCACATCCAGCCCGTGACCGTGCTCCTGCACGGCGTGAACGGCGGCGGCGACGGAGGCCGGAGATGTCACGTCGAGCTGCAGGAGGGTGACGTTGGAGAGGGTGGTCAGCGGGGAGGGGATTTTAGCGGGTGAGCGGGCGGTGGCGAAGATGTGGTGGCCTCGTTTGGCGAGGGAGAGGGCGAGTGCTGCGCCGATGCTGTTGACTGAGCAGCCGGTTATGAGGATGGTTTTGGGCATTTTCTGTTGGAATTCCTGTTTCAGTCTGGGATTGAGATTGGATTGAGGTTGACAATGGATTGTGTCTACTGACGGGGAAGATGTTGTTTATGTGATTGCCCAACGAGACAGACAGGGGTATATTCACTAATCACTATTATTGTGCTACGGTAAGATAGAAGTTGATCAGATTTCAGGCAAGAATCTCTCTAATCTCCTGTTGTTCAATCTTGAAAGATCCTACTGACAATCTCAAGAACATCAAAGTATATCCAAGATGTTAATCTAAACTGTAATGACGCTTGGCTTCCAGCTATAAAGTATAAAGCGTGAAGAATAGAGACCTCCAAAATGATCAGATGAGGGGAGCAGAACAGGCTGGGAAGACTGAGTGAGGGAGACTGACGGAAGCTCACCGAGTCTGTGCCCAGTTTGGACTACTGCATCCTGTAATTCCTGTATCTGCAGCTAAGCTCAGCCATCACATCCTACATCCTACTTCCTGCCCGTGAAAGTGCAAGTGCAAGTGCAGCAGTGTCGCAAATAAATAACATGTTTCTATTTTAAATCACGACTATCGCTGCCTGTTTCCGTGGAATCATGTCGGGATCCGCTTTAACTAAAGTAGTACGCGGGTTCTACTTGCTTGATTGTTGCCGTTGGCAGTAATCTATCGAGAATCATATCCGGATTGGCATCATCAAATGTCAGAGAAAGTTGATACGACGCGAGGGGCCAAAATGAAAGACTGGCCAGGATATAACCGAAGGCTTGCAGGACGGGCCCTCTGTCTGTCTCGAGACGACAGTCGAGAAACAAGTCGAAAGCGTTATCTAAAGCATGTGAATGAATCACTATTGAATATTGACAGGGATTATCATTACTATTAACAAAAGGTCTCCGACAAGATCCTTGTCTACGCCAACAATACCAGTGATATCATACAATGGAATACTCCCGGATCTCCTGCTCAATGTTGACCTCACGGGAGATTCCCCTTCCCTGCGTTGATGGCCGTCCCCACCCCCTCCTGCCTGTATCTTGGTGTCCGTTGCATAAGCAAAATCTCTCAGCTCATGGTACTGACCCGTTGTATCGTTCAGAAGATGCGATGGAGACGGCGGAGCCTTGACCATATGGTGGTCTACTGTCCCAACGACAGAGCGATCCCCGCTAGAGCTTAGTCGTGACCGTAGAGTCTTGAGAAGGGCCGATTCGAGGACGTGACTTCTGAAAAAGGCCGCGAAGAAGGGCATCGAACTGACGATGATGGCGACGTTGTTCTCGACGTTTCTGGTTTTGTTATTTGTCAGCGAGGTCACAAAATGGGCTTTCCTGAGCACTAGCTTACACGCAGATGAAGAGCGCACTCTGAGTAAAGGTTGTGTCGGAGGTAGTTAGGAGCTGAATGCGAAACACGAGCGCGATGACGCTGGCGACTATTCCCCTGCACTACTTAGTATCTCCTCGTGTTCTGGCAGGGGGTTTCCCACGTACATCATGGCGGTCGAAAAGATGATCAAGAGCTGCCATCGCTTTTTGCGAGGAAGTTGCAGCTTCGAGAGAAGCGGGAGTGGCAGGATAAAAATGTAGATGTCCAGAACCACGGAGAGCGTTCCCTGCACGATACCCCAGTATATCAATTTCTCTGGTCGCTTGTTGACCAGCAGATCCTCCCATGTCTCTCCGATATGCGGTGCCGCGTAGTACGATTCCAGACCGACGCCTGGCCAGTATAGGAGAAAGGTGAAGAGCAGACCGAACCGAATGGCATATTTCATTGTTTTCTGGATGGTGAAGATCTGGCGACATAGGAGGAAAATGGAGGATTTCGCGAAGAAGATGACGGGTCCAAGGAGTGTGCCTTGCGCGTAGAGAATCTGGAGATTCGCATGGTAAGCACTGGAAGAGCAAGCGACAGGAAACTGTCATGCCTTCATGTATCTGGCGGTAAACCAGCAGGCGGGTATATCCCACTGATGACGGGTGTATTTGAGCACTAGACAGATCATCAGTCTAATCTGCGATAAATCTCATGGAAGCAGAAACTGACTATCCAGAACCAAGCCATTGTATGTAGCGGAAAGCGCCAGCGCGATGACCACAAAGCCTATAAGCCCTCGTCAATGTCTTCCATGAAGCTATAGAACCGCTAGTTCGCAACCTACCGTCTGCCCAAGTCAGCTTGCGAAAATTGGTATACAGCCTCGCTGCTGTAAACAGCGTCGCCCAAGCGAGCGTCACTGTTATCACAGCGATGGTCTCAGCGGCCAAGTTCGGTGGGTTTACGAAGTTGGATGTCTGGCCTGCTGGAGGTTGAGCCGCTGGAATGGCGCATAGATCCGTTCCTGGTGGGAGGGAAGACATGGTGCGAATACAGCATGGAAACTATCATGCTGTCTGTCACTTGAAGATATCAAGTTGTAAGTACAGAGTGAGGAGGATTTGAGTATTACTTCAATCTAAATGCGCCTGTTGACTTTATTGGGGGCTGCCCGTTTGCTGCTCGCATTGCAGCCAGGCCAGTGTTACCAGTGCACTGACATGCTCATAATTTTTGCCTAAAGTAACTTCTCCCCGAACAAAGAGCTCGAGGTATTAGCTTTATAAGTAATTCTAAAACAGCTCTAGTTCCAAGCTTCCGAGTATCGTGTCACGGGTTATTCTTTGTTCTTTATGGTGTGGGATCAATTATGCTTTGCGCTTATTCCAGGTCAACAAAGAATCGATAAGTGTATGACGCAGAGGATAATCATGACCAATAATCCGTGGACAAAAAGATATCCAAGCGGGAAACTCGAAACCTCTTTCTTAATTCATGAAAGCTAGAACTACTACGGAGTAGTGAGGAGTATATCTCGAATTATTGTCCCTGACTCATCTATACAGCCTACAGGTAAAGGACGATAATCGCGGATCACAGTTACTAGTTTACTAACAGCGTCAAATGAGCTTCCTTTGGAGGCAATGTGCATCCAGCCTTACAGCCGATGAAGAAGTTGACATGTGTGGACTACGAACTGACCCTCTCACTGGTGGGTTGTCATTCTGCAGCTTTAATTTGCAGGGGGAGGCGCTTGCAAGGTATGATAGGAAACTGGATACGTAGTCTATTCCACTGTAAACTGTCAATTGGATTATTGGCAGAACGTGCAGGAGCAAAGGCAGCAGAAAAAAGCAAAGTGAGACTTGAATGTCACCATAGCCTAGGCTGCCAGGTTGTGGTGGAGGGGGCTCGGATGTCGATCTGCTTTTAGCTGCGTCGGAGTACATTCTGCAGGATTGCCCATAGCCAACAGTTTAGCCAACCAAATCAAGCATCGTCCTTATCATCATCAGCATCATACGGTCAACGCTTCTTCCTTTCGCTTGAACAGTACAACCGTCCCTTCGCGGGGTACTATGCTTGACCGCCACGTCCTCCACCGTTGGCTGCCGGGATCTTCCAACCGACACTCCCATTTCTCCAGAATACACACCATAATCAGCTTGAGGATTGTTGCGGCGTAAAACCTGCCGGGACTATGGATCACCAACCATGTCAGCTTCAAGTGTGTCTTACGATAATAACAATGAGGGGTTGTCTTAGAGTTCCCCTCACCAGGCCGTGTTCCCCAGCCCCCAAATTGGCCAGTCCACGCTAACATCTGTCATCGTCAGAGGGCTATTCTCGGGTATGTCCAGAGACACATCTCCCGCGCGTAGTTGCTTATTTGCTCTGGCGAATCGAAACCCGTCGAAGGCTTGCGGATTCCGGTATCTGATCCGATCGCGCATCATCGCTCGTTGCGGGATACATACCCAATCACCCTCTGCGACTTCGAGTCCATCGGAAAACACGAATGGTGTCAGCGCTTTCCGTCGGACGGTAACTGCCTAAATCAGCAAGGGCGGCATGTACTATCATCCAGAAGGGTTGCCAACACCCACTTGCATCCGAGTTAGTGCAGCGAATCGATTCCCTCACAAAACTGTCGAGGAGCGGCATCTCAGCCACCCTCCTCCTGCACGAGCCCGCGAGGTATTGTTGGATCTCCGCTCGAAGCGGCTCAACATAGTCGCTATGCAGACAGAGATCTTCGATGGCGTATGTGGTGGTCTAAGTTACCGCTAAACGATTAGCCTTAAAAGTTTCCTCTTTGATCCGAAAGAACGGTTCTTCCTTGCTTGAATGCAGCCTCACCATTGCCAGTTGGTGCACCGAGCCAAACCAGACGGCGATAATCTCACCAACCATCCTGGCCGTGGTCCATTGTATTTTCCGTGGCGACGTGTCAATCAGCCACTGCATGCAATCCATCTGCAGGCGGTTAGCCGAGCGACTAAAATTGTTCCGAAGCTGAGTCCCACCGGAGCATCCTCTTGCATAGACCTGGTCGAGTTGGCCCTCGTTGCTAACCGCTTCTCCACAATGGGCTCCAAATAGCGGAATAGTGTCCTAACGGCGTAGTGTTGTCGCGTCACTAGGTTCGCAACGGGCCTTGTTGTGGTCAGCCAAGTCTATTAAGTTGTTTTGTATCAAGTGCCCACCGTCGGAGGAAAACCGGAGTGATACGCAAAATCTCAGCGGCTAGGATAACCCTCTGTGGAAATTCCAACGCAGCCGCGGTGAACTCGGGATTCTGCGCTGTGACACAATAAGCCTGGCGGTAACTGGCATGCCAAGGGTAGTCGTACCAAGTTCCTCCCCGAAGAAGGCAAAGCAGTTGACCTTGGTGACCGTTCGCTTGATCATAGAGAACAATCTGCAACGCACGAATCCTGCTGCAGTCAGATGGAATCAAGCATAACTGGGGGCAGCCCCCACTTACCGTCGCTTCCAGGCGCAGCAAGCTCGTCTGCAATGGCAGTCTCCACGATCCTCTGTAACTCCGGCATTAGGATAGGCAGGTGAGCCGTAAGCCTACTTCGCAAGGCACGGACAAAGCCGGTCCCCTCGACGCCTCGTTGGTCCTGCCATTCAAAGCCAAACATGGTGTATTTTGGTTGTAAAATCTACACCTTGTGTTACCTTCTGCTTCAACGGGACCAGGGGACATACCTCTTTAGCTACAGCATGTAGTGACAGGTTTTGAAGCGACGCGTTGACCAGCTCCGCGATATGCTCGTTCGACGTAACCAACAAGTGATCATTCGAGGGAGTAGATATCTTAAATGGCTTCCCCTCTGCCTGTTTCAATCAGAACGTATTGCTGTCTAATGAGGAACCGTTCACACACTGCAATGTATGCCTTGTCAATGATTTCTGGTCCCCGGGCCAGATACCACAGGCCGCGGATGCGGCTGAGACAGAATATCAGGAAGGTGACGAGAATCTCGAGCATAACGGCTATAGTCAATTGGTGTCATTGAGATACAATGCTCAACAAACCGGATAACAGTCCAGAGGTTATTATATACCAACAGATCAGACCAATTCGGCCCATCTTGACATGGCCCGGACCGGACTTGTACGTACCGTGGGCGATATATTGACATGGATTTTGGCGCTTGCCAACACCAACAGCAATATGCACGGATTTCACTGGCTAGGAAAATGTACACTTATGTACTCGCTTCCAGTAGCGAGTACATAAGCCGAGCCGCGTCCGTTACGTCTTCCTCGACCGGATTGTTGCCTCCCAACTCATCATGCTTTCTGACGCAGTTTCTGCAGCAATCGACTGGACTGGTCAAGGGATTTCCTGGGTGAATCAGGAGTATCCATCTCTGACGATAGCAGTTACCTCTGCTTGTGCTTTGGTTTTATGGAGAATTTGGCGGTTCACAATATTGCCTTCGTATTATCCTAACAATCCGAAGGAACTGCCATACTGGATTCCTTGTAGGTTATCCTCTCTAGCATTGAATCTTAAAACTAATGTAGTCTAGTCCTGGGCGCGTATTCCCTGTGAGCCACCGGTTACGCACTTGCTAATGGCAACTAGGGCATGGGGCGGCATTCTTCAGCAATTCCAATGCCCTTCTATCCAGAGCAAGGTGCGTCGCTATTCTCCGCTTATGCATCGTAGCTCACCAAGTACCTAGAAATTACTACAACAACATCCAAGATCCGTTCGCTCTGACCATTGCTAATTCTCTCATCTACGTCATCACTAAACCCCAAGATGTCGCTGAAGCGTACCGCAACACTGACACTCTCTCCTTCAACGAGTTTGTGCAAGCCATGATGCGGGCCTGCGGGAACACGGAATCGTGCGTAAAGTCAATGTACAAGCCTCTGTCCAAGGACAAGCCCGGGTTCCCCAATCCGCATGGCAAACCGCTGGCGACCCTGGCGCGCCAGATGCATATCCACCAGTTGTATCCGGGGATAATCTGGACTTCCTGGAGAAGCAGTTCTTGGACTGGGTGGAACCTCGGCTGACCATGGACGCGCTTAAACGGGAATGTCCCTATGCGATCCAGAGTGATCTTCCAGCCGCTAAGGAAGATGAGGGCATTGTCCTGCCATTGATGCAGTGGTGCTCTGATTATTTCACCAGGGCCGGCCAGCGGGCGTATTTTGGGCCGGCGTTGGACGGGATCGACCCCAAGCTCCCGCAGACGTTTATTGTTTTCGACGAGTTGAGCTGGCAGGTTCTGTATCAGTATCCTGATTTCCTGGCGGGGGAGATGAAATCCGCGCGCAATGCAATACAGTGTGCGTTGAAGAAGTATATCCAACTGCCTCAGGAGACAAGGCAGGGTGATGCATGGTTCACAAAGGCGATGGAGAACGAGATGCGCGCGCTGGGGATCAGCGAGGATGACATTGCGACGATGCTTGTGACGATATACTGGGGGTACGATCCGATCCTGCATTTTACTTTGCACTGCATACAGGAAGCTGACAGCTTAGGATCAACACCAACACGCGCAAAGCAGCGTTCTGGTTACTCACCTACATCCTTCACTACGGGCCTGAGCACTACGTCGACATCATCCGGCAAGAGACGCTGCCTGCCTTCTCGCCTGACAAGTCGATCCCCGATCTGGACTACCTACACGACAACTGCCCTCACCTCGACGCCATGTGGAACGAAACGATCCGCCTCTCTGCGTACTCTGCCTCCGTGCGCTTTGTGACGTCCGATACCATCATCGGCGGCAAGATCCTGCGCAAGGGAAACAGACTCATGATTCCCTACCGGCAACTGCACTTTGACGAGAGCATCTTCGGCGTGGACTATCCCGTAGAGGAGTTCCGACACGAGCGGTTCATGCAGAAGGGGCGGAATTTGACCCGCAGCGACAATTGGCGGCCGTTCGGGGGCGGGACGACGCAGTGTCCTGGTCGATATGTCGCCAAGCGGTTTGTGTTGTTGTTTGTTGCGATGCTCTTGCGGCGGTTTGATGTGGAGCTGGTGACGAAAAGGATCCCCGCGGCTGAGGAGGGGAAGCCTGTGCTGGGGATTATGTCAATTAAGGATGGGGAGGATGTGTTGGTGAGAGTGAGACCGAGAGTGATCTAGTGTGCATGTACGGAGTAGTCATTCCGAGTCCTATGGAAAAGAGAAAGATATCTTCTCAATGAAGCAGCAGGTTGCATACGCAATCAGTCTTAGTCGTTGAAAAGCTACGGAGTACACTTTCGAATAGTGACAGCTCGGCATCTCTCCTTGTCAAAAATATGTTTCACCTCAGCGTGATCTATCACCTGTCATCGGCCTCGTCAGCTCAGCCATCTCCCAAAATCCCAATTTAGAGAACTCACCATTTTCGAATCATGATTCTACGTATCTGGTCCAGACTTGATCAATAATCGAAGTTGACCGATCACCAGCGGAAGTCCGACTCCGCCCCTCCGCCAAACATCCCCATTTCAGGAAATTTGATTCACCCTGCGACAGCCAAACCAGCCACGCTGAACTCAACCGCGATTTACGAGTCATGCTGCTTCAGATTTGGCGTTCGATCCAACGAGGTGATCAGATCAGCCCTGTCAATTGAGTTTACCGGTCATGCTAGCAGCTAGACCCACCCAGGGCTGTGCCTGGTGATGCCGAGGTGTTGCAGGATGAAACACAGGGACCACCTGGGCTAGCTCGACTCATTTTTGAGGCTTCACAGCACACCTTCCTTTACAACAGTGATGGAAGTGCGAGTTAACAATTCGAGTTCCGATAAGCGGGGAAATAATGATGCTTTTTCATATCAGATCGATCTACTGGATCTCTGACCTCGCTGAGCATATGACTACGGCGAGACGTGAAATCAACCATGGCACGAATCTTCGTGCAGAAATCCGTTCCTGTCGCACGATTGATTCAAATCTTCGGCAATTGAGCCCTCGGTATTTGAACGGTGACGGCGATCGCAAACCCAAGACGATCGCCAGGCTGAGTCCTCTCGCAGTGCTATCCAAAACCGTCGATCGAACGTGACCTGTGCATCGAATCGAATTCTCAAACATGAAACTCCCCGGAAGATCCAGAGATTCTCCGAAGATCCTCCGTACTTAAACTTCAGTCTACAGATCACAGCCCTAAGGATTACCATCTTTCTAGATTCTGGCTACCCTGGATGCGATGAAACAGGGGCAGGCAGCGGGCATCCAGTTCACCGATGTCTGCGATTGATTTCGGTATTTATCTTTTATCTTCCTCGGTTGAACTTAGAGTAAATGCCGGTTTCAGGATGGAAGAGAAGAGGTATAAAGACGCTGCTCGCGTCACTCTGAGTTGGAGAAGAGCAGGGCAGAGCAGAGCAGACAAGTTCACTCACTTCATCTCATCAGTCACTCTTTTCTACTAGAGCTGGGCTCTATTCTATTCATTCTTTTTTGAGACAAAATGAAGGCATCCGTCACCACCGTCGTTCTCCTCGCTGGGCTTGCCGCCGGTGCACCCACTAAAACCATTCACTCCGAGCTTGAGAAGCGTCAGTTCGGCACCGGCACTGATGGACTTGGTGCTCTGGCCTCTATCTTCCCTATCCTGGGCGGTGGCGGCTCTTCCACTTCGTCTGGGCTTGGTGCTCTGGCCTCCCTCTTCCCTGGTCTGGGTGGCTCCTCCTCGTCTGGCAGCGGCTTCAGTCTTCCGGGATTCACCTTGCCCACCTCCATCCCCGGCCTGGGCAGTCTGGGTAGCCTGGGTAGCTCCGGCTCCTCCGGCGCCTCTGGTCTTTCGGGACTGAGCGGACTCAGCGGCCTCAGCGGCCTCAACGGGCTGAGCGCAAGCACCACCGACTCCAGCGCCGAGGCAAGCACCAGCGGTACCGCCACCGCCAGCTCCGATTCCAACTCAGGTGTGGCCCTCTCCGGTCTCCTCGGTGGTTAGTTCCCCCCTCCCATTTCCCTTCCAGCAAAACGCACAAAGCTAAACAACCAGACCACATCTCTAAACGCGCCCTCCTAGGCTCCATCACCGAAAACGGCGTCAAAAACAAAGACGCCTGCCAACCACTCACCTTCATCTTCGCCCGCGGCACCTCCGAACTAGGCAACATGGGCTCTATCGCCGGTCCGCCCGTGGCCACCAAGCTCCGCTCCCTCCTCAACAACAAGGTCGTCGTCCAAGGCGTCGACTACCCCGCCTCCATCGAGGGGAACGCCCTGCTCGGCGCGGCTGGCGGGCCCACAATGGCCAGCCTGGTGAAGCAGGCGCTGTCGCAGTGCCCCGATACCAAGGTCGTGGTGGGTGGTTACTCGCAGGGCGCGATGGTCGTGCACAATGCGGCCAATTCGTTGGCCCAGGACCAGATTGCCGCCGCGGTGCTGTTTGGCGATCCGTTCAAGGCTCAGGCTGTGGGTAAGGTGCCCAAGGCAAATGTCAAGGAGTACTGTGCGGCCGGGGACCCGGTTTGTCTGAATGGGGCGAATGTGCTGGCGCATTTGAGCTATGGCGACGATGCGGCCGAGGCGGCGCAGTTTTTGATTACGGCTTCGGGGGTGAAGGCTTAGGTGCTTGGCCTTAATGGATATGATTACGGATTACTGGTTCGCTGATTCGCTCGTTGATTTATTCGAATGGGAGCGATTAATGTTTTGTCGCTCTTTGGCTGGCATGGCATGGCGCTGGCGCCTTAGATAGTTTCGATCCTCAACATTCTTGGTTATTGATATGGACTTTCATTTTGTATACTGGATTCTATAATAACGTCCCTAGCAATATGTTGCATAACATGAATCTAAATTCGAATTCTCAGCAGCTTCAGTTCTAGTGCAAGTATAACCAGGAGGCTACAGCAGACTGAGCAGGCAGACTTGAAATGCAGGCGAAGGTAGGTCACAAGGTCTGCTGCTATGTCTTCTCCTTCCTCCAACTACCTAACTGCCAACCTACAACCCTCCGTCCAATTTGTGGACTTCGGCCCCAGCAGCCGCTATCGCTATGTCCTTTCATCTCAGGTTGTTTTCCGCAGTGTCTTTCTTGCTCCAGTCATCACTCTCTCTTTGTTGCCAAATTGAGGTCTAGAACTCTGAGGGTGGCTGCCAATCGCACCCTCACAAGATCATCCCTTTCGCTCAATCGCAATGCGCAATAGAAAACGTGGTGATCCTGGGGAATGAGGGGATGCTGCCCTTGAGGTTGCAATTTGGAAGGTGAGTCCGATGCAGGTAAGCATGCAAGAATTTTGCTAATGCTGACTGACTCACAAGGACCATATGAGAGTGAGACTCCATTTCTTAGGTACGCAATAGACTCTTCTCAGCCGATTCAGGCTAATGGGCTAGCATAGCAGTCAGCTTGACTAATAAGAATTCGACTCGGTAAGAACCAGATGCGGCTAAGGAACTAGAAAGGATAAACACGGCCAAGCTGGCACCATTGTTACAAAACAAATAGGTAGAAGAACCTGCAGAGTCGGGTGCGTCCGTAAATCCAATCCAATCGATTTGGGTAACTATAGCACCTGGCTGGCGGATTGATCCGCAGTTGTTGCAGGACGCCAACCAGGGGCAAGAAGGAACATGCAGATGATTTGGCGGCTTGGAGCCACTACCAGGGTCCAGGCTGCAGGACTAAAATATTTTAGGTTGTAACTGTAGCAGCAGATTCCTTCAGTTATGTGACTATGTGGCTTCTATCCCGCGTAGTTAAAGTCAGACCTTATCCTAATTAGGCTTTGACCGCAGGGCCCCCACATATATGGTATATCTTATGAACAGTGGTTGGCTCCCTCGTAATTTTGCCTGATGCTTGCCTGATGCTTGCATGATGTTTGCGACTAGTATAGCCTGTAGGATATAGGATCAGCTTCATTTCTACTGAATTTGGAATGTCGCGTTGCTGCCACCATAGCCTACAGTCACATCTCACCTGGACCCTTTGGGCGAAAACACCGGAGTTGATCCGTGTCGTTGTTTTGTCTAGACGCATAAGTAGCGGGAGGGAGTTGGCTATATAAAGGGCTCTTCGTCCTCGTCTTTCTTCTCTCACAAGCTCCATCAAGCCCATCAAGCCTATTCTTATATATCAAACGAACCACAGAAACAGTCTCCCTCAAGATGCAGATTTCCTACTTTGCCATCTTCGCCATCGTGGGGCTTGCAGCAGCAGCTCCTTCGCAAAGCAAGATTGAGAAGAGAGATGAGCATTACGACGTCGGGGTAAGAAAGCACCCGTTGCTGGAGTGATCTCAGTTTGCTAATCACTGGAGCAGGTGTGCAATGGCACTTCATGCTATGCCAACTTTGTTAACACCATATGTGCGATTGGATCTGTAAGTTTTCTATTCCCTGCATGCTTGCCTTAAAATAACCTCATAGACAATAAACTAACCTTTGTCTCCCCCTCTAGTGTGTTGGTCCAGGCGGCGGTGATGGTGCACCATGCCATGTTATGAAGGGTTGGGGCCCGGCATATTGCCCTGTGAACTGTAACAAGTATTACTGTCCTTAAGCCTTCTGGGTTACTCACAGGAGCCATGCAAAAGAGGACTCTTCCTGATAGTTATCAAATACAATCGATTCCAGAAATTCACTCATATTGCAAGCAAAGGAAGTACAATCCGAGACAGGACACAGGGTAATCTTGGGGTAGGATCTCAGCAGCAGAGAAGTAGGCCTAGTAATCCCCCGTGGGCAGCCCTCCACTCGCAGGAACATGCTGGCCATGGAAACCAAAGCCTACCGGCCCGTTGAGATGCGCTCTACCCAGCTCAGACATATCCCGCGCATCCAGACAGAGCAGGTAGCTTTTCCCCGTCCTACCATCCAGCACAACACTGAGAAGGACGCCATCATCCTCATTGGTGCCCGCAGGGTCAGCGACAAAGATTGCTTCTCCAGGCGACTGTCCATGCTGTTTCCAGACAATAGTCTCTTTGGCCACACTGTCGTATTTCATGATGCCGTCGGAGAACGTCGATTCGTCGCGATCAGTCACGGCGTAGGTGTATCGATGCTTCTGCGTGACATATTTCGGATTCAGGGTAGGCAGCTCCGGAGCGTAGCCCTTGCATGCTGTCCAGTTGATGGACGCCTCTTTGATCTCTGACGTTGGAGCCGAGGGAATACCCGCAAGCCGGAAGCCGGTCAGCGCTGAACGACACCCATCCCGCTTGCCCTGGACAAAGGCCTTTGCGCTGGGGGAGGAAGAAATCATGTTCTCGTAGTAGAATTTGTCGAGGATGGCAAGGTCATCGAACATGATCAGTTCGGCCACGATGTCCGTTTGGTTGGGATCGTCGGCGGAAGGTTCCTGCCATGCATTGATGGTGTGGAAGCAGAAAAAGGGGCGGCTTTTGTATGCCGCGAGGAGACCTCCGCGGCCCTTGCGGTCGACGACGTACCATGTTGCAGGTTTCGAAGCGTCAAAAGGTTGAATGGCCGCTAAGAAAGAAGCCTTGATCTTTGCTGGATTGATGTGCGAGTTCCACACGCAGAGGATCACGTAGTCTTCCGTGATTAGCAGCGAATGCAGATACGCCGGAGCTCCAGGGAATTGGGCCATAACCGAGGTGGTGCCCGTGGAAGCAGACACACAGAATATGCGGTAGATGGATCCTTCAGGGCCAAATGCTAGGTTGAAGTTGTATACGTTGCCTGTGACTGGGTCGGATCTTGCATGAGCAGCCGACAATGGGCCGGTCAGATCAGGATGCAGATCCTTTTGCGCAGCGAGTCCAATAGGCTCCAGAGTCTCCGGATCGATTTGCTTGTAGACGCTGGCATCAGTCTTTGCATACAGAGTCTTGATTCCGGAAGCTTTTGTCCAGCGGCCACCATCAGTCTCATGACCTAAACCAGGCATGTTGACAGACAGCGTTACTCCAATATTGTGAGAGGATGGTTCATTTGCCGGGGCATACGTTGTCTGCACTTTGTGGAAGACAGTCTTACAGGGATCCCGCTTTTGGCCAAAGCTGAGTTGCTCGAAGCAGCCGGTCTTTCTCACTTCCTCGATCATCAAATCTGTCGAAAGGCGGGAGTTGTAGAATACGCGCGTGGTTGCGTGGCACTCATCTGGAGCCAAGATCTGGAATCGATGGGTCTGGCTGAAGCCGTCAAACCAGTGGGATATCTTGAAGGTGTCTCCGTTCTCTGTGTCAACTGTATACTTTCCTGGACCCGTGCGATAGAGTACACCCGCCGCGTACGCAGGGATCTGACCGGTCAAGGAGAGTTCAACTGGCTGACGTTCCTCATAGTTGGCGTCGAACTAGGAGAGTACCGGTCAGCAATCTTCGTCAGGTTTAAGTGTGCATTTCACTTACTCCTTCATCGTTCGGCCAGTCATTGAAATATTCTTGGACGCTGCTCATCTTGCGACAACGATGTTCAAAGAGATGTATTCTGAATGTAGTGGTCTGGAGTTCTGACTTCAACTTAACAGGGCTTTCGGGGTCAAGTAATGCCAGTTGTATCCTTCAGGGAGAAATTTATACCTGCCCTGAGGGTCGGGGGATAAAGTATCCGAATCATAAAACAGGACGGCATACAACCACATTCACCAAAGCCTGGTGTACCATAGTGATGGTTGGCTGGCGGCCTTCACGCTGCTAGTCGTTGGGGGGATCCCGACGGATTACGAGGTGGATTCCTGGGGGAGGAATGGCGCATTCTGGCACAGCCACTCATAGACTTTTTGTCTGTGGAAAGTTAACCTCAATCTAAGGGTTATACATGATTTATCGTACCAGGTAATCTGGGCTATCTGGATTCTGGAGTCTGGAGTCGGGGGTCTGAGCATTAAAGCCGCCTGTCTCCTGTTTGAGAAGCAAAAGAGAATACAGTGCGGTCCCATTTTTCACGTCTTTTCGAGTCTCTGATTTGCAAATTTTAAAGTATTGAAGCACTGTCCCAACGATTTCCCCGAGGATGGATGTATTTGAGATGGGAGTGCTGCCGCTGGTTGCAATCCCAATATCAGTCTAACCACGTGACTCTTCGCTTAACAACTGGTGCATGTTGCTGGGGAGAGACAGATCGATAAAGAAATACGACATTAAACATCCAATTGAGGACATGTTAATGAACATTGCCCAACAATACAGTGGACTGACTCCACTACTGGATCCGGATCGAGCCCACATTGTGGTTGTCATCGAATTCGAAACCATGTCCATGATCGGCTGAATCCACGGATCAACATAAACCTTGCGGGGGAATGCCGTCGGTGATGATTCAGTTCCGCGCCTCGGCCTCGGCGTAGGCAACCAGAAATACCAGATGTCTTTTCGGCACATCAACCTTCAAACTTATTACTCTCATTTAGACTGCATATGCAAGATACGCACAGCACCGGTGGCCGATAATGGAGCAAAATATGATCCCAAACACCCCCGGTAGTCGTCACTTGACATGTGAAATCTGTTCCTTCACGTTCCACCGCAGTGACCACCTCAAACGCCATCTACTCATCCGTAAGTGCGCATCTAAATGCATCATAAGGCTTGACTGATCGTTTAGATAGATAAACCACCTAAACAATACCGATGCCAGTTCTGCAGCTCTACGTATAGCCGCGGGTAAGGCAGGGCTCATGCGTTGGCGCGATCGCTGTACAACTAACACGTTAAAAAACAGGGATGTTCTCCGTCGACATTGGACTACGTGTGCTAAACGGTTGCAATCGGGGCAGGAGATTCCCAAGGCGGATTCGGGAGGTAAGCATAGGCATGCCTGCGACGCTTGTGCCCGTCTGAAGAAGGCGTGTAATGGGCTGCAGCCGTGTGCTGAGTGCGAGTCCCGCGGGAAACTGTGTTCTTATGAACGTTTAACTGGACGGCAACCAGCCCGCCGAGACAAACGAGGGGAGTTGACGTCTGTTTATGCGGAGCGGCAGGACTGGGAGACGAAAGGGTTCGGGTATCAGACTCTACTTCCGCCAAAGCCGACGTACCTGAATTACAGAACCAGTGCAGGAGTATTACCTGGGGTATCAATCGGTGGTCCATAACGACCAAATCGAAAGTTATGGCATTACCAGCAGTGCGAATACGCTAAAACGAAAGGAGCATGCCAATCTAAACCTTGACCCAATAGTCACGCAAGCCGTCATTCTCAATCTGCCTCCATTCTCCGATATCCCGGTCTTCTTCTGCCTTGTCCATCTCATTTGGCTTGTTGCCGAGTCCCAGATTGTATGGTCGGTAGCTTGGTTCGGCTCGCAACCGTCGAATGACGCTGCCGTGAATTTTGGCATCTTTGGGCAGCGGCCTTCGCGAACCTCTTGCCTGCCATCGAGTCATGCGGATCGAACCATCCCGTGTGATCTTTGGTCTTTTGAAGGGGATCCACTCCAGGAGTCTCCAGAAGAAAGCCTCAGTTGGTCTCCCGCTATCATAGTCCAAGGAATCGTGGATCTTAGCGCGCTCAGCCTGGCGTACGATATCCTGGCCCTTTTCACTTGTCGCTGGGTCTTGGCAACCGAGTGCCTCAAGCTTGTCACTTTCGAACGTAAGCCCCGCCTTGATGGCTTCTTGGACCATCCACGTCAGAGGGATCTGGCTTGTGGGCCAGGACTTGCTCGGCCAGCCTCCCCCAACGTCGCCATGGTTTCCGGCGAAGTACACCTCCTCAAAGTCGGCCTCGAGTATTGAGGATTCACCGTCGTTGTCCGAGTCGTAAATGTTTTCGGGCCCATTCTTCCAGTCCTTAACGCTTTGCTTCGCGTCCGGTGATCCCGTGCCCAGCTTGCTCTCGAAAAGTACGGGCTGGAATTTGATTCTCCGCTCATCAATACTGACGGCGTGTCTCATAATTTTCGGGCTGGGCCGCGTGCTGCTCTCCTTGTTAAGCTCCGCTACACTGTTGACAGTATCGAACAAGCCCAGGAAGTGGACTTGCCCCACGGGTCGGCACATGGTCTCCCGGCTCACGCTCAGGCATTTCATTGCACCCAGACGCTCCTCTGGCTCCTCGCCCTCGGAGAATTTCCACTGCGTGAACGCCTCCCAGACGAAGGGGATCAGCTCCTCGTTGTCCGCAGAGAGAAGGCCGACATAATCAAGCATCTCGTTCAGGAAGCGAGCTGTGTAGGCGCCTCGAGAGAAACCAAAGAGGTAGATTTTGGCGCCTGGTACCCATCGGCGCGCAAGGAAGCGGTAGCCCCGAATGACGTGCTGATCGAACGAGGTTGCAAGCGCAAGATCAAAGGCCTTTGGAGTCCATGACTTGCTGCTGGGGCGCAGGACGGCGTGAGCGACCGACCCTGGCGTGATGTCTGATCCAATGCCAGCTGCGCCGGATTAGTTGATGTCATTGATTAGTCGGGGATATACGTACGTTGGTAGTAACAGACTATTGCTTGTTAGCACAACATCAATAATTGGGTGAAGGGCAGTACATACATCGATTGTGCTTGGTTCGATCTAGCATCCGAAAGATCTTGAGGATGTTACTCTCGCCGCCATCTGCACGAAAAGTGTTTCCCGTGCCATCGAAGCACAGGACGAGCTCTCGCGGCGGGTCGTCATACCCGCATTCGGAGTCCTTGTCCGTCATGTCGGCCGCAGTTTATTGCACATAAAACACACGAGGGTAGCGATTGTAATTGAGATTCCTAGGGACAAGTGGGGATCTAATATATAAGAATCGACTCATTCGAAGCAAATGGCCCCCATGAGCGAGGAGGCTCAGCTTATAGGTGAAGGGCCTCATTGCCCAGGATCAGCCTTGTGCATGGCCACCAGGCGGCCACGGCGGACTATTTAGTAGGTTTGCGCCAGGGTTGGCGTAAGTCAGATATGATTTGGTAGTCGAGTGGAGGCCGAATGGAGCCCAAATGTCAATCTTTACTTCTCCTTCAAAAGGTGTTTGTCGATCTTTTCGTGTTGATCTCGGTAGCGGCGGTGGTGCAGTTCGCGAACGGTTGGAAACTTTCGAGATCCCTCCAATCATCCAATGATGAAGTAGCTGATATAAAATGGACAATGACAGAAAGCCTGATCTATTAGCTACATGTTACTAAGACGAAGGCAGCGGCTTGAGAATGAGGAGCTGAACAGTTGTTCTTTGCGGGATTCAGCACGACCCATAAGGGTTCGACGCGCTGCGAAACTGCAGATGCGTGGCGCGGATCGTCTCTCGGCGCAACAAATCACACCGCCGAATGAGCCCAGCAGGAAGCCTGCCCTGTCGCCAGCTGAACAAGATGAGATTACCAATTGCTAGTGCTTAGTAGATCCCATCATATGTACAGAGTCGAATGCCTCGCATCCAGCCTTACTCTATACCTCAGCTGCTTACAACAAGTGGTCATGGCTCACGGGTTTCAGTAAGCATCCAATGCCTCCAGTTATCTGTAAGACTGCAACAAGGCAAGTCAAGGACAAACACCCTCACACACCAAAAACGGAAACTTCATCATCTCCCGCCTGCCATCCTCCCAATCCTCCACTTCCTTTTCCAGCGTCCACCCAACACTCACCTTGACCTCCGCGAATCCCACCTCCCGCATGAGATCCTCCATCCACCCGCGCGGAATCCCATGCCTCTCCACCCCCACAAGCTTATCCTTGGGATGGAACAACCGTGCCTGCGGCCCAAAGTCCTCGAAGTCGGTTAGGAAAACCCTCCCCCCGGACTTGAGACAGCCGCGCAGCGTGCTCAGGAACTGCCGCAGGTCGGGGACATGATGCATGACGAGGTGGGAGAGGATGAGATCGTATTTCCGCCTGGCGCCTGTGCCGGGCCCTGTAGTCTCGGTTGCGGACGCTGGGGCAAGACGGGGTCTTCTGGGTTCGTGAGTAAGTGGCAGAGCGGCGTGATGTTCTTTGGGGCGTTTGGGTCGGAGAGCTTTGTGTTCAGGGCCTCGATCATCCCCTCTGCGGGGTCGATGGCGACGATGTGCTTGATGTGCGGCGCGACGCGGAGGGTGAGTAGGCCTGTTCCGCAGCCGACCTCGAGGACGTCGAGGGTTTGATGGCCGCCATTTGATAGAGTGGTGATGAGGGGGTGGAGGGTTTCGTAAGCTAGGCGGGTGGCTTCCTGTACGGAGGGGTTATCGTCCCATTTGGCGGCTTCGGCGTTGAAGCGGACGTTTGATTTTGGTGGTGGGGACATTGCTATCTTCAGAGATGAGTTGGTTCGGATTTCTGATGATGATGATTGTTTGTTTTGGGTCTGGTTGATCTGGATGTACCATCCGGGTAGTAGATAGGGATAATCATACCCCAATGCGGGGTCAGGCAGTGGATCTTTACCGTATGTCTTCTCCTCTGGTTCATCTCGTCAACCAAGTATAATTCTTGGAAAGGGTCTATCTTTTATTTATCATTGTTAGAGAGGTACGTATATCAATGCCTTCCACATGGATAAACTCCGGTATCCACAACATGGGATTTGAGACAAAGATGGACCTGCCTCAACCTGGGTAGATCTACGGTATTTTTGCTCACAGACAACCCTTGCAGGAGATGATTCCACGTTCCATCCCTGAAAATATTTTACTTCCCAAGAGGCAATCAAGAAGGCTTCCGCAAGAGACGGAGCTACAGTCTATCAACTTGCTGTCGATTCCTCAGATACTATTGTTTCGCCTCGTTATTCCACCCTCAGAAACCACTCTACACAATAACAAAATGATCTCATTCTCCTCTGTTGCTCTATCTCTCTCCATCGCACTGGCAGGCTACCTCAGCGCCATCTGCGTAATACCTCCTACCACAACCCAACGATGCCCCCACGGAACCGACCGCATCCGCATCATCACAGGCAACTTTGTAATAACCGCAAGCCGCGCCCTGATTATCATCGGCGCTTACCACGCGCTCGTTGCCCTCTTCTACTCCCCAAATACCACTAGCAGCATTCTGCCCGCCATCTGTCCTCACCCCGAGAATCTCAACCCAAAGACCCTCACCTGGACTCCAACGGTGCTTCTCTCCCTCCTAACCATCGCATCCGGCGCCGCAGTCCGCCTCTCAGCATTTGGACGCCTAGGTCGTAATTTTACGTTCTATCTCTCGGTGCCGGATCGATTGATTACGGACGGCGTATATGCGTATGTCCAGCATCCGAGTTATACGGCGTTAGTCGTGGTGTGTCTGGGGTGTGCTGGGCTGTCTTGGCGGTGGGATGGGGCAGTAGGAGCTTGCTTGTTGCGTAAGGATGTGATTGAGAGGCTTGATGGATTGGGAATGATGGTGATAGGGGCGTTGTGGATGGTAGGTATGATGTTAGTGCGGGTGAGGGTAAGGGATGAGGAGAGGATGCTGCGGGAGAAATTTGGGAGCGAGTGGGAGAGGTGGAATGCCAGGACGGCGAGGTTCATTCCGGGTGTTATGTAGAGAAATATCATTCAGATACTCTTTGTGCCATTGACATGACTATTCATCATTTGCGACTACTCATAGTAGATATATCGGTGGAGCTGAAGTTAGACGGCACAAACATATGACATCATTGAATTGGAGAGGACTGGAGTATACCTCTACCACATGTAATGAACATGGGACTGACAGCAGTTGATTGATACTCAAGATATAAAGACATTGAACGAGCTTAGCTCTCCTGAGGTCCTCGTGCGTTGCCGCTGTTGAAATAGACCTGTTATGTGTAGACTGTAGAGAGTGTACAGTAGCTCTCATCGGAGTTGGTCCGGTGGAGACTTGTCTCCTGCTCCAGCGATCACTTCCCTCAACTCTGCCACATCATCCCGCTCCTTCATCCATCTTCTCCCTCTTCTCTACTTGGTTTAATTTCCATCAATTGAATCGATAGCAATGGGTATCTTCAGCCGCTTCCTCAAGCTAACCACCATCGGAGGCGCCGCCACGGCCGGCGGTTTCTTCTGGTACACGCGCAACGACGTCTTCGTGCCGCTCCCTCTCTCCGATCGCATCTTCCACTCCGCCCGCTTCAACGCCCTCAATCCCCTTCGCAATCCTACCACCCACGATCTCTGCATCCGCAGAGTCCCCTTATCAGACATTGACCCCACCCTCCTCGAAAAGAAGGAGAAACTAGCCGAGGCCTTTTGCGCCGGAGTCTGGAGCGGCTGGGGTACGTCACCCCTGCACTTTAGCTAAACATTCCTTTCCTCTCAATGCAAGAGGCTCGGCAGCAACATGCTAACAACTACTACACCAACAGGCTACGCATTCCAACGCGCCTACCTCGCTCGTAAATACCAAGGCCCCGAAACCGCCAACCAGCTCTGGTCCCGCTCCGAGCTGCGCTCCTCGACCTATGAACCCGGCACCCTGATCACGGACCACTTCGAGGTCGTGGAGAAAACACCCAATCGGATCGTCGTGCGGTGCGGTGCGTCCCCGCGCGTGCAGGAGGTCCGGCCCTCTGACGGCCTGTTCGAGATGTCGGTGGATGTGAAGCCCGATGAAGGCGTGGCGGAGTTTGGGCTCAAGAGCTGTTTCTTCCAGGGGTTGGGGAAGGCCGAGGCGCAGCCGATGCCGGCGTATATTGTTTGGTTGCATCAGCAGTATACAAAGTTGTGGATGGAGACGGCGATTCGGAATGTTTTGCGGTGATTTTCTGTCTTGTTTGTATATATATCAACCCATTGAACGATCTCCATCCGTCTTGTCTATGCAATGAACCCAGGAAATTCGATGTTTCGGAAGATAACGCCATCGATACCCCTGATCCCATGGGAATCAGATCGGGAACTGGCAGCGGCTACAAGATCTATAGGCATGTTTTCTTTTCGTTTTCCGGATTCGCTCAATCACAGACTAGTGTCGCTCCTGATGGATTGACGAATGGGACATGGCCTGGTCCTATATTGACAGGTCATGTCAGACGGGACACCATCATGACATGACCTGTCCCAAACTTTTGAGCATGTCGAAGAGGTATCTCTATGCTTCGGTCAGCTAGTTTAGCAGACGGGTCTATGAAGGAGAAAGCACGTGTCTGGCAGAATGATGATAATGGTAGAGCAACTCATCCGAAGAATCTGTCTTGAATTGTATCTCGTTTTTGGTTTACTATGTGTATGGTAGGAATAAGTCAACAATTAAGGCCTAGTGCCTGCAGAGAGCCACAAGGTGATCAGAGGTAGGATCTGAACGAAGGAAACGCAAGCGCAACAAAACAGCTCTTTCTAATGTACAACAAGGGTATTGTAGGAAGGTTTCGAAACTCCCATGAGAACGTATATTTCAAGAAGGCAAACACCACCAACCACCATCTGCCACCGTTTATGCCAGAGCAGCAATGAACATGACACCAATCAGACCGGAAATACCAACCGACATCCTGTTTGCGCTGTTGCTGAGGCCAGGAGTGAAGACGACTTCAGACGGCGCCGTCAGTGTCGCCGATCCTTTTGCTGTGCCGGAAGCCCCTTCACCAGCTGTCGGCGACCAGGTAGCAATGGCAGTGACGGATGCGGCTGTAGAACTTCCAGTGGGTCTGGGAATAAGACGCGACGAAGCGAATGAACTGGCGATAGAAGAGCTACCGAAAGCAGCAGCGCTGGATGAAGCTGGCACAGGGATTGTGGAAGGCGCAGCAGATGCAGAGGCAATAGAACCATGCTCTTCCGAGTCGCCTGGCGTAGTGCCAGAGTCATCGAAGGACCCCGTGCTGACAGCTTGGGAGACAGGTTCCGGAGGTGCTGTAGGGATTTCAGAAAGAGCGCCTGCGGTCAGCCGGGATGCGACACCCTCGGACGTGGCAACAGTAGAGGTAGTAGCGGCGGAATTTGCGACGGCGTCGGCGCCTGGGTGCTCAGTTGCGGCAGCAGCGGGAGTGGCAGCGATAGAAGTTGCAACGACCTCGGAGCCAGAATCCTCGCTAGAGGGAGCGTCCTTCTTGCCATCCAGGGCAGCGGCAGATGAACTTTCTGCGACAGGGCAGATAGTGGTAGTCGATGTGACGTAGACGGTGCTAGTTGATTCCAACTCCGAATCACTGCCCTCAGCCGCAGACGCAGTGGGAGCACCGGTGGCAGCGGGAACAGCGGGAACAGTCGTGGACTCGGCAGACGACTGTGTGGCGTGATCGGCAGCGGAGGTCGCAACAGTGTTGGTCTGAGCTGGCTGGGGTACAGCAGTTGTCTCAGCGGGGACGGGAACGGTAGGCGTCGCGGTATTGGCGGCCTGGACCGAGACCAGAGTGCCTTCGACCTTGGAGGCTGTGGCTTGGGAGACAGCGGCGGACGAAGCAGCGCTGACGCCGTACTGGTAGACCTTGATGGAGTTGATCTCCCAGTAAGCCTCCTTGAAAGCCGCGGGGTTCTGAGCGACGTAGTTGACACAGCTCTGCATGGGGCTGCTGGGATCGCTCATGGGACAGGTAGATTCGGCAAAAATATTACCGGCCCAGTCACCGCAGAAGGTTGTGTCAATGATGAACTTTTGTGCCTTGAAGCGCTCCGCAAAGTCGCAGGAGCCCTGCAGATGCGCCATAGGGGTTCCGAACGAGGAGGTATCGGGGTTGCCGCTGGAGAGAGAAGCGGGGATCTGGCTGCGAGGGAAGAACCAGATCTTGATAAAGGCATCAGTCCACTCCATGGCATAGACACCACCACCCGCCTCATTGAAAGGATCGCCAGAGCTGCCATTGGTTCCCTTCACCACACATCCGACCGTGCCGGAAGCCTCGCCACACTCAGAGGAAGAGAGGGTGCCAGTCATGTCGTTGCTGCCCGAGACATCGCAGGAGCCGCTGGTGTGAAGGACGATTTTGTTTGCCTTCTGCAGGTTGACACCCTCAATGATATCAATCTCACCGTCGTGGGGCCAGTCCTTACCGACGGACCAGAAGGCGGGCCATGTGCCGCAAATACTGCCAGGCATGTGCTCGATATCGATGACATACAGTCCCTCCGTATAGTAATTTTTCGATTCGATCCGTACCGACTCACGGCCGGGGCCGTTGGGGTTCAGGGTGCTCTCGTAGTCGACACCCATATAAAAGCTACCGCTCTGAGTGACTCTGACCAACCCAGATTGTTCAGCGAAGCTTTGGTTAACATATGTGACATAGCCGTTAGTAGGGTCAGCTCCGTCGAAGAAATTCCAGTCATTGATGAAGCTTTCGCCCTGCCAAGACTCTGCGAGCTGATACGTCTGCGGTTGACGAGCCTCCAGGGCTGTTGCTGAGACCAAGGACGAAGCAATGAGCGATCCTACGCTCAATAAGAGCGACGAGGGGGCCATGTTATGCTGTTGAATAATCAACAAGGCTTTTAAGGAACGATGGTCGCCTCAGGTTCGAGATGTCGAGACGAGTGATGGAGAAGATCTAGGAACGCAGCCGGTAAAAAAAACTCCAGCTGATCGCTACTCAGGAGAAGAATAGAAGAGACAATTGACTGCAAAGAATGGATATGACACCGTCCAGGGTGTAGTCTAGCAATAGCTGGTAAGAAAGGAAGGTGGGCAGAATCGATCTGCGATGATGAATTCAAGAATGAGAGAATGTAAAGGCCTGAAATCGGCCAGCTTAAAAGAAGAAACAACAAAAGGAAATGTTTCAAGATGAAGAAAAGATCAAGTATGTGAGACCATGGCAACAAAGGCAACGGGAGATGCCAATAATATAGCAACGAGGGCAAGAATGCTCGACCCATTTAACCGCGCTTGGTCTGTGCTGGCCATTGCCTGCAAAAATAATGCCAATAATATTATTATTGTCACCATGGTCAATGAGCTGGCGCCCCATTATTGCCATAGTCTAATAATCCCAAGGTGCCATCGACATGTCAATACAGACTTGGGATTGGAGGGTCCCTCTGCTAGTTTGTTGTCGAGACCAGGCCCAGAAGGCCGAGACAAACCGTCGTGAATCACTCACTCGCTTGAGGAGACGAGCATAAGGTATGCCGTAGAGAGTGACGAATGCCGGCTGCTCAGTATGGCATTCGTCGAGACTCGGGGGATCTTTCATTTTTCCCAATTTTCTAGAGTATGCAGAAGTGGGCAGCAATGAGGCGCGGCATTGGTGTGGTGGATATGTGGTCAGCAATTCTGAAACAGGTGCAGCCTCCAATAAGCATGGAGAAGTAGGTAGTCGAGACAGGGGACGACCTTTTTTTGTCCGCACGAAAAGGACGGCTGTTTCGCAGTGTTGTGGTGAAACAATAAAGACGAATAACAGCGGCTCGCAATTGTCAATCACCATTGTCCTTTTCCTTCATGATTCAAGTGTGCAGTGATTGCCTTTGTCCATAACATTGAGAGTGCTTTCGACTTTTGTCATCGGTAGTACAGAGAGAGGCAATAATATGACCACAGTCCACATTCTGGACATCTCAGCATGACTCGTGGGTCCTGGGAGGAGGGCGAGATGCTCACTGTCGGACAGACAACTTTGCCGATATTGCCATGAATCGACAATTGAGACACCTGGCGAGTGGCAATTGAGAATACTTTCTCGCCAGTAGTCAGGGAACGGACATTACAACCAATCAATGACTTGTTCGACACGCTGAGTCTAGACTCTTTAGTGGAGCAACCGGCGGTGACGCCGTCGGTCTTGGGTGGATATAACGCGAAGCCCGCCATCTTACCTGGGAGACGGACGACATGTGAAAGAGGCCGGCAAATTGGCATTTTTGCTCAATGAGATGTCGGCAGTGAAAAGTGATGGATCTTGAGTCAAATTCCTGTGGATGGATCAAGGAAAGACTATCCAATGAGGTGTTCATGATTCGCGCAATAGTAAGATGAGTGACGATCTTATCAAACTGAGGAATTTGGGTGATGATAGTAAACATCACGTGATACCGCTCAACTCAAAGCGATAATCAGCCACAGTAACTATACTTTTGATATCCTAGGAAATCGAAACGGACACTTCGCCCTCGCGCCTTAAATGGCAAATGCTGGTGAGAGCAATGCACAGGCAAGCGGGCTAAGCTTTGAGCCAGATCTTCTAAGCCTGTTGGCTTAGATGTAAGTCATGTTAAAAACATGCCGATCCCCTGTCATTGCAGGTTTTTGGAAAGGGGGCGAAAATCTAAAGAACGGAAGAAGCTCTCTATAACATGCAGGTCCGAAACTTCTTTCACTCTATCCGTTCTCGACTTTTACCCTTGCATGGATATCGAACGAGGCAGGTCAGGAAGATGTCAGAAACCGCTCACCTGTCGCTCATAAATTCCAAAGACGAACTATTCAAATATACCTCTGGCAGATGGATGTGTGTCTTCATTTAACTGAGTACTGCACTTTAGGCTAACATACTATAGCCATAATGAACATCTGCGTTTGGCCGAATGTTACCTCCAGTTTGACATACCTGCTCTCATGAACGTTATCGCTGCCGCGTCTGGCCATATGACCTCTGACATCGTTTCCTTTTTCAAGTTGGCTGAAGGTGGATTCAACTGTTTGTTTCAAGCAACCTTCAGAGATAGGAAGCATGTCATTACTAGACTACCATATCCTTCCACAGCGCCTGAACGCTACGCAGTTGCCAGCAAGGCCGCTACTTTAGACTATCTCCGGTTACATGGACTTTCTACTCCTGAGGTGTATGCTTGGTGCTTAACAAGAGCAAATCTGGTTGGCGCTGAGTACATTATTATGGAGAAGTTAGACAGCACCCCTCTGGGCAATATGTGGTACTCAATGACACTAAAAGAACAGCATAAAACCATGAAACAGATTATTGAGTGGGAGACAAGGTTGATGTTAATGGAGTTTCCTGTGTTTAGGAGTATATACTATCAGAGAGATCTTCTAACAGAAAGGAAGGTTCCACTATCTGGGCATCACGGAGGTGAGTTCTGTATAGGACTAATAGCACATTATGGTTGGTGGCATGGAGAAAGAAGCATGCTTAATATTGATAGGGGCCCCTGTGAGTTAATTATGTGAGGAAAGCACTTGGTGTAACTCATTAATTACTAATAGGGTCTTTATTAAGTAATATATTTTATGCAGTTGGTGAACAGGAGATGACTTGGGTTAAAGCCTATGCGAAACCTTGTCTTCCTTATGAGCGCCTATATAGGGAGGTATATGGGTTTTGCTAAGTCTTACCTAATTATCATATTGAGAATCTATCTGAGTATTTGACATTGGCGCCTTGACTTAGGTTCAGGATAGGCTTATCATTGGATTAGCTGGTCATCTAACATCCTGATCTTCAGCTGAACAATATTCTCATACCAGATGTGAATAAGGTTGTTGGTTTAATTATCTGGCAGCATAGCACTATCCTTCCCCTTGGGCTTGCAGCTGGTATACCAAAATATTTCCAAAATTATGGTGACCCTGATTTAAAAAAGCTGATAGAGCCCTGAATTGATCTCCCATCGAACTTCGAGTCTTTGCCCGAGTCTGACCAGTTCGCGATATAGGAGGCTATCCAAAAAAAGCTGGTCTATTTCCTTTATGCTGCTTTTACGAAGCGGCTGAATGAAGAATATTATGATGTAATATTTGATGAGCCTGCTATCTTGCATCAGCATCTTTTCAAAAGTGTGGGTAGTCCTTGGGAAGGGGACTTAATAACTCTAAAGGCTGAGATGATCCACGCTGTATAAAGCTGGACGAGTCTAATCTCAGCAGACTCTATTAGATATAAACAGGGAACATGCAGTACGCCCATAATTATATACCCAGACAGAGTTGTCCATGATATTCTGGCTTTGGACACGCGACAGAGAGAAGCTGATGTCGCAATGGATTAAATGCGGGATGTTCTAGGTATTAATATTCTGGGCTGGGTGCCAAATGACAAATATGAATATGTAAAAGAAAAAGCGCGTGAGATAAAAGCCAAGATGCTTGAAGCAGCTGAGACTGATGAAGATAGAATTGGGATTCAAAACCACTTTCCCTTTAGTGATTTTGATGAGAACTCCTGAAACTGGCTCCTTTGATGCGACAATCCTCACGAACACATCCCTCTGGATCTCAACAGTTTGGACTTAAGGTGTAGGCAGATTATATTTTTAGATACATACTTGTATACATGCACCAGCGTTGGAGAAATATCTATTTACAACAAGTACTTGTCCACTGTTAAGAGAATCTTTTGTCGGTACTCTAAAATATTTCCTTTATTAAGGCGGAGAGAAGAAAAGGGGGTGAGGTTTGTTTTACCCATGCGGCTACATTGGAGAATATCAGAGAAATGGCCGGCGCTGATGGGATTGAACTTCAAAATTCTTCTGGGCATATGTCTCATGGCGATTTTAAGTTTCTTTGACATCAAGATGTAATCATTAGGCCCCCAAAACCGAACAGGCTCCAACACAACTGCAAAATGAGATGTCGGCAGTGAAAAGTGATGTGCAGACACGGAAGGCAAGGCTGGTTCTGCTACAGCCTCTAGCCAATGCTAAGATGCTTCAAGCCTGCCGTAATCCGCAATCACACAGAATTCTCAAAAATAATTGCCTTTCTACTTCCAGTAATGAGCTCCTTGATATCCAACCACTCAGTAGGGCGTGGAGGAATCGGCGTGATATGGATATCCTCTCGTCTCAATAGACGCTTAGTGTCGCGTCGACGGCAACATAAACAATCTACGACGGGTCATTGCGACCACTCCCGAACTCTCTTTGATCACGACTATATCATTCTTTATATATCTACAGACTATTGCTTTGATAAAAATTATACAATTCCTCCGATTTTACTTATATTTGCCAGCTGCTTGAGATAAAGACGAAAGAATGCGTTGTGAGTGTGCTTGTTCAAGAGACCAGTAAGCCCCGCCTGTTTATCCCAGATGAGGTACTATATAGTCTATGCAAGGTTTTTAATCTAAAACCTCTTTCCAGCTTCAGTAAATTATCCCGGTCCTGGCCCGTCATCAGCATATGGACCGCGCACGAAACCAAAGTAGATCCGTGAGTCACCCAGCACTCCGTCATTATACTGCTCTTTCATAATACACTCTTTATCAGTGGAAAAGTAATCCTTTCGGTGTAGATGCATTTTAACGGATTCCAGTGAGGGAAATACTCGACCATCTCGCATCACGGCTTCAGCCAGATCCTTAAATTGCAAAATATAATGCTCTTCATCCCAGATGCTATCCGCTTCGTAACCTGGAAGATTTAAACCGGTGAAATACTCCAATTGTGAGGGTAGAACATCCTTAAGTCTCAGCCCATCATTGTCATTGGTCTTACCAAGCAAGACCTCCAGCTGCATTATGAGCCCTTTTAATCTTGTGAACTTCTTCATAGATCCAAAATGCCCCGTAATGTAGCTGAACTCCTGATCCTCCCGCCAGTCCTTCTCATCATTATTGCAGAGGCAGATGGAGAGGTATGTGAGTGTCTCTGCGACGTACTTCTCAAGAATCCGCTTTAGTTTAGGCGCATCATGCTGAACAGGGAAGCACACTGTTCCGCTCATGTCTTCGAACCTAAGGGATTTCAGCCGATCAGTGTGGCGGATTATGCTCTCTAGGATCTCCTCAGGTGGAGCATAGTTGAGGCATGGTGGGCGATCAACACTGTGGGCTAGCACGGCAAAGTCTAGCTCCTCCAGGCGGGGAAGACGAAGAAACAAGGCCATGTTTGTGAATGTGTCAGTGTGGGTTTCTAATGTGAGAGACTTGAGGTTGGAGAGCTGAAAGAGCAGAAGCCATTTTCTGGTTTTATGGGTTGATCGCGTGAGCCAGGAGAGGTTGTTTTTCTTAAGCGCGACAGAGCGTGAAGGATCAGATGTGAATCTGTCTTTGAGGTGGTCTGCTGCTCCTGCTAGGAGCTTTGATTCTTGTCTCATACGCGCTCGTTGAACCTTTAAATCTGAACCAGAATCAGACTCTGCATCTGTGTTCTCTTCCTCCTCTTCATCCTCCTCCTCTTCATCCTCCTCCTCTTCATCCTCCTCCTCTTCATCCTCCTCCTCTTCATCCTCCTCCTCTTCATCAGATTCTGACCATTCGCCTTCTTCCAGGTGAATCTCCTCAACCTGAGCCGCAAGTTGAGGCCGTGGTATTATCGTGCGGCAAAGAATGCGCACCCCATTGTCTGATGGTGTTTTAATCTTTCTATACAAGACCGGGTCAAGGATTCCTTGTATTGACTTGGAAATCAAGCGAAGCTTAAATGCCTCTTGAGGATGTTCGGGATCATACAGGTCCTCAAGCAGAATATTGAAGATCTGGGTGTGGATTTCCAGAGGAAGATGGATGGTCATTTTTGAGAATAGGTGAGTGTTGAAGTCCGAAACTCGTGGACGCGGGTTTGTGGTGCTTCTTATACTTGACGGTGGGGATGCAGACCTCATGCTCCCTTAGCATGCGACGAATACGAGATGTTGAATCACACAGCCGTTCTTAGTAGCCAATTACCATTCTCCTCTGGAGCATCAATTCTAAAGTGGCCAGAATTTGTGCCCTGCTCTCCCTGAACCAAGTCTTTCAGAACACTGTCGGCGCCGGCCTTAACGATGGCATTGACGGACATGGAACTTTGACAGGGAAGCGGTTATGTGTCAAAGTTTGCGTTGAAGAGGTTTCCAAAAGGGCTGCCGTTCACTTTGGTACACCTTCACCCTTTCTGAGACTATGAGTGAGGGTGCAGTGGATTACCCAATTATACAGTGTTGGGAAGAGAACAAGGGTAGAGGAGGGTGTGCAGGCTAAGCCATCACAGATCTTCCCCGCGAACGCAGCAAATAATTGAACGAGGACCATCTCAACGCCTAAGCATACTGCGACAGCGATGTTATTTTATTAAAGTTGAAACAGCTTAGATTAGTACATCTAATGTAAACAGACCTTTAATGCAGATAGTCTGATGTCAACTGTGCCTCAAAACATTGGTGGCTCGATGTTGACAGCATTTCTATGTTGACAGTCCCTCAACACCGACACCTTCCATGTTGACAGCTTTTCAACCTAGGCTGTTCGCTGTATGCAGTTCCTTCTACATTGACAGCGTCTACATCGATAGCTCTTCCATGTAGGCGGTTCGACATCAATCGTACGTAGGTTATTGGACATCGCCACCCCTAAGTATTTGCAATCCTCTGCATAGTCGAACCACACTCTCGGTGTAAGTCTCTTGTCACGACAAATTGTTTCCCCGGTTGGTGTCCAGACAATGTCGGTGAGGAATTTGGGCGATGATAGTAAACATCACGTGATACCGCTCGACTCGAAGCGACAATCGGCCACAGTGACTATATAGCCACAAGTGACAACAGTTGACTGGAAGAACTATCCAGAGGCAAATCCTGTCTGAGACGAAGCCAGTAACCTGACAGTATACTACATAATCGAGTATCAGGTTCAATCATTAGTCTTCCTTGAAGTAATTTTACAACACAGTGGATCTCTTTAGTCAGATGTTGACGCCTCCCACCGGATATATGTCCATTTTGATACTCATGAACATTAAACTTATTGACAAAACAGTCATGTGGATAACATTAATCTTAAGTTCGTTAATCTTTGTAAACCCCAACTCTCTAATACGGTAGTAAAAATTTGCCACATATTCTGTGCCATACCACAATGTTCTTGGACTTTCGGGGGATTGTTATGCCAGATCATGGCAGCCATCTAGATGCTTTTTGCAGCAACCTGACCAAATATTGGGTTGGAAAAGCAATTCCTCATCCAATCCTTATGAACAGATAGCTACATGGAGGGCTTCTTCCACATCTTTACGACGGAAACCCGGCGTCCGGCCAAGGCAGACGCCCGTCTTTAACAATTCTAATGTTCGTCAGTAGTATGAAAACACCAAGGGGAGGAACAGATGCTGACCTTGAATTAAACGTGCCGCGTTCACTAGGTTTCGCTTATCACTAGAGTTGTTCGTATCGCCCACGACAAATGCAACTTCTTTTTCCAGGAGAAATCCTTCTAGATCCTGTATATCAAACCACTCACCATCAAGCTCATGCTGGACCTCCTGCGGTAGCTCTGACGTGGGATCTTGGATGTTCTCCCATCGCGGCAGAGTTTCGTTTGGGCTTGCCTTTGTCTTGCGAGGATAGTGGGTACCAGCGCCACCGATTTTGAAGTAGGGTATCTCTTTCCACTCATCCAGGCGCTTCCGACTGGCTTTTGCATGCAAGCAGGCTTCAAAGTAAGAGGTTACGCGTTTCCTATCCATCAAGCGAAGGAGGAATCGAAATGGTCTCTGTAAAATGTCCATGCCTACAGCGGTATCGCTGAGGGCTGAGTAGCCTTCATAGAGACACGCAAAATGAAGCCGTTCGATAAAGGCGCTCAGATCCAGGGAAGGTGCCTCGTGGGGATACTTATCTTCTGCTGTTCCCCTGAAGCCGGTGGCTTGTAGCGTCCGCGAATCTTCGCTTTCAGCAGATTCTCTATAAGGAGGCGACGTTGCGAGAGAAGTTTGCCTGCGCTGAGGCTCCTTTTCCTCTGAAGACGTGTGACTTTCTTCGCTGGGGGATGACACGTTTGTAACGATATTTTGATCTCCTGTCATGCTGGCTCCTTTCGCCAAAGATAGACAAAGCTGTACAGTGTCCCGTAAACGGAGGGTCAACCGAGGATCGGAGGCCAGGACCTCAGATTGGATCAGCTCATCGCTAAATGACAAAAAAGCTGCACTGATCTGCTCCACTGCACTCTCAAGCTTAAGAACGCGGCTTTGGAGGGAAGAAACGCTGGCTTCCTTGCGGGAACGATATGCCCGTTGTGCTAGTCGAATTTGCATTCGACGCCGCTGTCCAGCCAGTTTGATAAGCGGGATACTAACTAGCGCAAGCTAAGATGAGTGTTGACGCACCTCATGAGGATCTTCTCCTTCGCCAGCTGACTTACGAGGTCGCCCTCGTTTTCTTGAGAGCGGGCCATCCGTGGGATCGATATCTGTTCTGGTTCGTTTCGAGGACTTATGCTTCGACACTTCCGGCTGCTGATCCGCACCAGGCGGATCTTCCAGATAAAAGCCGCCGTAAAGTTGCGTTCGAGGGTGAGGTGTCGCTGGTTGTGGACTAATAGAGCGTTCTGGGAGTAAGTATGAGGATGCAGACAGAAGCGAAGTGATCTTGTTGGAACCCGGGAGATCCGGTACAGCTGGTCGACTGCGGCTGGACAGCACTAGATTCTGATGAACCTCCTCCCAGGTCAGTAAGGGAAACTCTTGCTCAGACATCCTAGATCTGTTGAGATCGTCTTTTAAGAGATAGCTTTCGTCGAGATGAGAGTCACAGAGCTACGAAGCGAGTTCAATAGAACTTTGGTAAAAGTCAGTCATGCAATGCAGGTATCTGCTGTAAGGTGATAAATATGATTCTTCCTTTGAATCGCCATGATAAAGTCTAAGAACCTCGTCAGCTGGGCTGGATGCTTCCCCAATCAGGAAGTGGCTTGATTGGCTTGTCGTCGTATGGAGCCTCGGCCCGATCACTAATCACAAAGAGACCCTCAACCGAAGTGCAACGGCAGGCTTTGCCCTTTGCGAGTGATGATCTCCTGTCAACATGTCATTCATCAATAATGAACTTTAATTTAAACCAATTGGTTTGACGTCTTTGCTTGATGAACAGCGCCAATCACAACTTTCCACAGTGATGTCTGGGATCTCCTTAGATGAATAGTCGAATGTAGTATCGATCTAGATCGATGCGCCCCAGGCGGAGTCACACGGAGTATTTCTTGCCATAAGGTCATATGGAAGGAAGCCCAGCAAACCCTGTGGTGAGATGATTCTCCCGGAAGGTTGTTGACCGGTTCAAGCATCCAGTGATTCCAGTCTCTGCGAGAGAAGAAGAGCATGAGTAAGGTGGGGCACCACGACGCTAAGAGCCTAAGACGGCAAACTGATCATCATCGCAAGCATGCAGACGTTTATCCACACTTCGCACCTCAAGGCTAAACACGACCTACTCCAGTTATCATCAATATGGTCATTGTAGCTGTGGCCGGTGGCACTGGGGGAGTCGGTAAAACGATTGTCGAGACCTTGGTGGGGAATTCCGAGCACCAAGCCATTGTGTTGACTCGCAGCGTAAGCCCCGCGGCAACTTATTATCGATGGGTTGAGCATAGTCTTATCGTTTGATCCAGGAACCCAAATCAGATCCTGCTTTGGATAGAACTCGACAAGTGCAGGTAGACTACGATGATATTCCCTCTCTTGTCGAAGTCCTGGAGCAGCATGCTATCCATACCATCATATCCGCAATTGGGATCTTCGATGCCACGACCAGTCAATCTCAGTTAAACCTCATCCAGGCCGCGGAGAAATCCAGCGTTACTAGAAGATTCATTCCTAGCGAATACTCTTTTATTCAAACCAGAGAGTATTCCCCTCTTAGTGATGTCCTGTTGTTTGTCGTCGTTCTCTAATTCGATGTACCAGTCTGCTCCCCGTTGACCCCAGCATCGAACATTGGCTCGATGCCGCTGAGCTCCTCCAGAAAAGTTGCCTTCAGTATACGCGGGTCATACCCGGCTTTTTCATGGACTACTGGGGCATGCCTGTGGTGCGCACGAATCTCACACCCTGCACCTTTGGCATCAACATCCAGCACTGCCAGGCTGCCATCCCGGGCGACGGAAATGACGTGATTTGCATGACCTATACATACGATATGGCAGCGTTCCTGGTCAAATTATTAGATGTTGCGGACTGGCCTGAATTCAGCGTTGTTGTTGGCGACGAGGTCACGTACAATCAGATTCTGGAGATGGCCGAGGAGATTCGAGGTCAGTGGTTTCATCGATTATTTCCCTTTGCTACAACTAAACCAATGCAGGTGTGAAGTTCCAGGTCACTTATGACAGTAAAGAGAGTATCAAGGACGGGCAGGTCACTATTCCTCCAATGCCCGAAGGGAATCTGTCCTCTTCAGAGGAGCTGAAAGAGATGACTGCCTTGGTGAGCCGACTGACGATAGCCGGTGTTTTCAAGCTACCAGATGAAAATCGACTGAACGATAAATTCCCTGATCTACAACCAGTAAAGATGAAGCAATTCCTACAAGATGCTTGGAAAGACTACCAAAGGAAGCAAATAGCATTCGAATAACGTTACAAGACTTAATATACAAGTGTCATCGGTTACATTCATCGCATCATTTCGTGACAGCGCTCAACTCCGGCACTGCATTAAGACAAGCGCTTTGTACCGGAGACACCCGAGTCTCCGTATCTCACAACATCAGGCAGATCCTCTTCGTCAGGGCCCTCATTGTACCTGTTCGCAGTCTGGGGCTTTGCGTGACGCAGCCGATCACCGGGCATAATATTGTTCTTGTCAATGGCCTCTCTCTCGTCGTCGGCTGGGCGGGGAACACTTGGTCAGTCGCTCAGAACCAACATGGTTTCTGAAGTAGAGTACGTACCAAGCTGCTGGTCCGTGTTCGAGTAGGGAGGCTGCATGGGATCCTCGTAGCCGGCCTGGTCGGGCTGAACGGGGACCTGGTTGCGGAGCTCAGAGCGTGTCTCGCCGACGTAGGAGTTGTCGACAACGTCGGCTGAGACGGGCGAGGTGTCGTTCTCGGCCTCGTAGTTGTCCTCAGCTTCTCTTTCGGCACGGTTGGACATCGTGACTATAGTTTCTCGTAGAATGGTGGTGGTTGAGACGTTGCAGTAGAACAAAATTGCAGGTGTGGTGGCAGTGGATAAGTTGCTGGTGATGCACCGATGACAATGCTCGGGATACCGTGGGTATATATGGGCTTCCAGAGGTCCGCAAGTTCCAGCATCGCCATCCTGACATCAAGGTGTTGTCAACGTGTTGTCATGGACGTTGAGTTTTCGATTGAGTTCTGAGGCGTCAGATTCCACCGAGGCCTACGACCAACTACCTCAATGTTTCATATTCAAAGCTTGGTCTAGTGGGGATCTACAGACCAACTGCGGATCACCTGGACCACTTATCAATCAGATCGGTTCAATATCAAACACTGTTCGTAGCTATACGCAGAATCAAACAACAAGAATTGCGCATACCATACCATACGATGCATATTCATCTGAGCATCATCACCAATCCGATCGATCAATTCCAATCCCCATACCCTGCTTATAACGGACACAACCAGACAAGCAACAACCATTCCCCAGGTTGAGGTGGCGATATGACGCATCTCTAACATCAACCCGGACTCATCCGCCGGCCAGACCTAGCCAACACATAATAATCTTCAATAACCACTTCTCCGGGTGGTGGGGTATCCACCAGAAAGCGAAACCTGTTTAGTGCTTAACCTGCCAGGTTGTAAGATAGTGTTTCGATGCCGCAGTTGATACATCAACATCAAACCTGTCGGACCATCTCCATCTCCACCAAACCAACCAATCAGAGACAGCATCAACAATGTCATACTCAAGGGAAAACAACGAAGTCTCCGCTTCTGGGGAGGACAGGCTGAATGCTATGCGCGGCTACAAGGCGTCAGTATACTCTCCCTTCCTCACGCGAATGGATATAATAGGTATATGGATTATCTGATGCTGGTGAAGTACACTCAAAAATCCCCGCGTCTCGGACGAAGCAAAGCAGAACGCCAAAGACGTGCTAGATAATGAGCTCCATGGGGACCAGCCGCGGCATGATCTGTATGCTATCCGGGGGCAGAATAAAGAGCCGAATCGAGTGGCGGGTGGGCTTAAGGCGTGAGTTTACCTGCACTTGCACTATGCTCTGACGGGGAGGTGGGCTGATGTGTGTTATAGAGCGCAGAGGAATCCGCGGGTGAAGGAGAGAGGAAAAGAGAGCGCTTCGGAGAAATTGGATGCGTTGGGACGGGCGAGGGATGAGCAGGCGCAGCAGGATCAGTCGCAGGCGCAGCTGGAGGAGTAGACCTTGTATTTTGTTCTAGATAGATTGTCGTGTATAGACTAAATAGAGTTGCGTTGGCTCACTCAATTCTGAACGGTTAAGCTCCAGGGAGAGTAGGTGACAAAGCACGCATTTTAATTCTATTTGTCTATCTATTCAGATGATGGATTGGGATTGATCACATCATCAGGCCATTTACGGAACATATCCGCTAGATGGTCAATTGGTGCAGCCAGCAGCCCGACCACCGTCTCGAAAGGAGGTTTGTTCGGGGTGTTGGGATGCGACCGGGTGGGAACAAACATCTTCGTTCGACCAAACGACTTGGACAGGCTCTCGCTCTCCTTGGGGGTAATTGCGTCCTCCAGCTTGACAAAGTCAATGGTTTCCTCTTCTTCGATGTGCTTCTCGAGTTCTGCCATCATAGACTTGAGGACCGGCAGGAAGGATGCATCGGAGGGATGCATGTCCTGGAACTTTTGAAGCTTTTCTTTAATCTGTACAGGAATCAGTATGAGGATAGAAGATAGACTAGCAGATTGTGTCCGTACAGTCTGGTGTTCTTCACGGTCCTTATCGGCTGTCTCAGTGCCGCCCGGGAGATATTTCTCCAGTGCAGGGTAGACGACCAGCTCTTCGCCTATCGCATGGCGGGCGAGTTCCCAGGTGAACTTGTTCTGGAAGCGGATTTGCTCATCAGTATCTCCGGAGCTCACGATGATGTTGTAGTATTCTTCGAGCTCTCGGTGGTCCTTTTTGATCGCATCCATAAGTCGGGCCATGTTGATTGTTTAGAATTAACGATTGCTTCCAGTAAGCGATGTGCATGTTTGACATTTCTACTCAGGAATAGAACTGCATTAAAAGACCCTCAACGAAAATGCCTCTGTCGCGACCATGGGTTATACAACAATGTAAACATCACGACACCAGCAACTGAGCATCAACGCGAGGAAATCCAGTGTCTGGTACTCCGTAGTCATAAAGTTGTTGACAGTATTCCCTTGATCCCGGTTCCCATTGCAGACAGTGTTTGCTTGGGCCCCTGGTCCAAATAACGATCATGGAATGTCGGTCATTGGGCAGGAAGCTGTGACGATACTAAAGGTAACTTACCAATGACAGCGAGTCAGGGGCTGCGCATACGATTGGAGACATTAAATGCTCGGATCGACGGAAGAGTGGCACTTTTGGGCATTTGTCATAACTAACACGGACAGGGAAAATGCAGCGAATTGGGTCATGAGTTGTGATGCTTAGTTGTAATCCCAGAAGGACAACAAAAGGTGACTATCCTCGGACTGCCAGAGTCATGAAGAGCTTCGTGTGCACATTGGATTAGAGACAAAAGGGCTGACAGGCTGGGCATAGGTACACGGACACCCCACCTTCTCATCCATGGAAGGATCGACGAAATCCTGATCCGGACCGGTTATGGGGAACAATCTTGGCCAACCGGGGCTTTATCCGACACACACGGGTCACACCCCATGAGTCTAGAATGGATCGATGACCGCTTGATGGGAGTCTTTCTCCGCTCATTCCTTTCAGTCTAGACTACCCAAGGCCAATAATCCGTCAAAAAGTCAGTCGAAGTTACATCTTGGTCTTTGGCGCGCCCTGGAACGGTCGATGTCTGCCTGACGTAATTCGGATGTATAACCCGCCTGTCATTCGGCGTCCCTCGAGTGCGATGTGTTGGCGGCAAGAACCGGTGCCTGACAGAACACACACGAGCGATCTGACTCCTGCTGTGGGCAGTAATGCATACGATATTCGTGTTGCTTTCCCATTGTTTGTGCGTTGGCATTCCGAACGGGGTGGGGTGGTCCAAATTGTCCGTCCAGCCTCATTGGTATGGAGGTCTGAGGACACCCTTGACAGGCACCTACTATATTTGACTCTATTTCCCCCGCACCCTCTTGGGCTGGAAATTATTTCCAGATGATACTTCCTGTTCTTGACACTGGTGTTTCGATCTCAACTGAGTTTTAAAGTCGTCCAAGTTGTGGTCTTGCGCCTTGTGTAGAGCCCTCGCGTGACGGATCACATTCACTTCACTCATTTGTCACATTGGCACATCTGCAGCTGCAGCTGCCTGTGAATTGATTAGAAAAAGGGCTGATCTAAAATATCTGAGCGCCGCTGATCATTCGCCATGGCGACTACATATGCATATGAAAGGTGAGTCGAGGATCCTCGAACCCCCTCCTCCTATTTCCCCGGATCTCAACTAAATGTTATATTGTGTCGCCCAGATTCCCTTTTCACGAACCCGGATCAGGACCTGACTCCCATTTCACAACGCCTGAGAGCTCTCTGGTCGGAAACTCTACAGCATACGAATCACATCACAACGTCGGTCTACGAAGGTCCAGCATGGGGAAATGCCTCTTACAATGGTTCTGGTCGACACTGATGATCGACGGCTCAAACACACAGGACAACCAGGCTAAGCCCTCGGATCTTCGGCATGGCAAGCATCATGCCCAAGCTCGAAAGGGCAGCACATTCGCTACGCAAGAAACCTCTACGGCTGAGCAATCTCATGATGATACGGACGAGGTGAATCCCGCATGTAAAGCCTGTCGAACATGGGGAGTAGCTTGTGACAGGCAGCAGCCACGATGCTCGCACTGTCTTGATCAACAGATTCTATGCTTCTATGTGGCACCGTTACGAAAGACGATGAAGAAATCGAGCCGGTCTCGAGTATCGCAACAAGGAACAGGAACAGCAACACCAATGCATTTGCAGCAGCAAAGTTGCTGCTGAATGGATGATACAACCAGTCCAACGAGTAAATTGACGATTTAGATAGAGAATTACTCTCGTTTTGTCACTGGCAATGCGTAGCGTGCCACGACGATCATTTTGAAGGCGCCAGTTTAGATAACGTTATCGCAAGGGAGGTTCCCCTCCTCCGCACAAGCGGGGGAATATACCTGGATCCTGGTACATGCATGCAGCGGTGATTGGACTTATCTCCAGAATTCCACGATTCTTTTCAGGAAAGGGCGCAATCGGTGTTCCTGAGCAAAATGGTGGTCGGCATCATGACAGTTTCCATTTATATGCGAGCCCGTTCTCATCTCCACTTCCACGGAGCAGCATGCCCCGAGACGATTTGCCACGGGCCCACGACACCCCTCAGACCATCAAGTACATGAAGTCTTTTGTCGCAGTCCCCCTTGCATCTTTTGAATCAACTCGGATTACTACCGAAGAGAAAAAGGTCACTACATGTTACTGTCGGAGCACTGTGAGCCGTCTCCGCTCTACAGGCTCGGATGCGGGGTGTCGAAAATGTACCTACATGGAAATGATATGAACTTCACTCTCAGACTCTGCAAGTGATTTGTAGCATGCTGTGATTTATTCTGTGTAGCCTCCAGACGCACACCAGGGTTGCACTGCTATCCTACCGCCAAATACAAGGTAAGCTCTGCCATTTCCTCTTAACTCTCCAGAAAACTAACCGGGCATAGATGGAAGCCGAATACACTCGCCTCGCAGAGACAATCCGCCAGAAAGCCAATGCTCACAGCAAGAAGCGCTTCCTAGTGGCCATCGCCGGCATACCGGGATCTGGCAAAACAACCACAGCAGCCGCCGTCGCCAGGCTTCTAAACGCGCAATCATCACCGAAGCGCACTACTCTGCTTTCCATGGACGGGTTCCATCTGTCGCGGGCGACGCTGGACCGTTTACCCAATCGAGAAGAAGCGTATATCCGCCGCGGCGCACCTTGGACCTTTGACGCGGCCCGCTTCGTCCGGTTCATCCATCGACTACGGAATTGGGCTGATTCAACGCCCTGTGCCTCGGCGGAGACGATCTACGCACCATCGTTCGATCACGAGGCCAAAGACCCCGTCGAGAATGGCATTGCTATCGCCCATGACGCGGAGATCGTCATCGTCGAGGGGAATTATTTGCTGCTCGACGAGCCTGAATGGCGCGAGGTGGCTGCCCTGGTCGATTACCGGGTGTTTGTTGAGAGTGACCTGCAGGAAGCGCGAGAACGGGTGGCCCGACGGCATGTCCTGGCGGGGATTGAGAAGACGTTGGAGGATGGGTTTCAGAGAGTCGACAGCAACGATTATTTGAATGCGATTACCATTCGGGAGAAACTGATCGCTCCTGATTTGGTTGTTCACAGTGTGACTGAGCCACCTTGTTGATACTCATACAACGCTGATTTGATACAATACAAAAACCCATATTGGATATAATACATCTGAAAGCTCATCATTTTATAGATCCGATCTACTCCTTGATCTTCTGCTTATGAAACACATCTATCACCATCAGCTATTGCCCATATACCGCAAAGGACATGACAACTTACTCGGAATCTCAGGCATCCAGCTCGCCCTCGAACTACAGAAAAACTCCCCTTTGGGTGGCAACGCCTCCGGATCATCTAGAGTCCCAACGCAGATATACCGCGCCTGGTCCTTGACCGCATCCTATTCTTCTTAGCTTCTTTCCACCGGTTTGAATGCTGTCAATGCAACTCACCCCATATTCAAGAATGAAACTTCCGCAATTATCGCAGAATTCCCGGTGCAGTAACGACCCGGACCCGTTATCGCCGACATGCTCCTTGGGTTTCCCAGCGGTCAGTCTAAATGCATCCTTGGGAATCTTGGCCGTTAGGCCGTAGTTTGTTCCGAATGCTTTCTGGGAATTCATTAGCTTGCGCAGTGCAGGGCAGAGATGAAGCTGAACTGACTTTACAGTTCGAACAGTGGCAGAGAGAGGTTCGTGCGTCGTCTGGGGAGTCAAGTGATATTTCATATTTGATGTTGCGGCAGTAGCAGGATCCGGTGTATTGGGGCATGGTTCGGGATGTTGTAGTTGAGATAGCCTGGCGGGTTGTGCGAGTATACTTAGGTTTGGGAATCTGGGAGAGATGGCGAGTTACGAGGGAGAGGCGGTTCATGTGGTTATTTTAGTTTTTGTTTGTTAATTGCTGATATTCGAAGGGAAGATGATGCTATACAATGTGGCCTGGGAGCTTGATAAGTTATAGTTATACTGGGGTATGCTGACGTCACTGTAGTTGCGTGGCCAGATAACTCATGAATTGAAAATATAGACGATACCACACTGAATATCTAGCGAGAAACTTGATATATGTAAATAGAGCCATTTTATCAAATCGTCTCTATCTTCTTTCCCGAGCTACTGGCCAATTGGCCATGTGTGGACGGTGATGTGATCATGACAAAATGGCTACACGCAAATGGCTGCCAACTGCTCCAGCCCCCGGCTCCGCTTTTGACATCAGCGTATGAGTTTCTACATGGTGCTTCTAGAAAAGTACTGGTACTTTTCCAAGATTTCTACACTTATCCCAGCGAGTAAACAAATCCGACTATTGAGATACCCCAGGAGACTTGCGGGGTTGATCTCGCCAACCCCGCACGCCATCAAAATGACAGACCAAAAGCAGAAAAGAAATGTCGTCTCGTCGCTCATCTTCACGTTCCCAGATGACGACTCCTCCAAGCCCAAGGTAGCTCTATTCCGCCGCAGCGACAAAGTAAGGACGTATCCGTAAGCCCTGCCCTCCCTCATCCCCAAGATGATATAACATTGACTGACTGAACAGCCATCACCTCGCCCCCATCTCCGGTAACATCGACCCAACCGACAAAGACCCCCTCACAGCCGCCTGGCGCGAGCTCCACGAAGAGACAACCCTCACGCCCGCAAACCTAACCCTCTGGCGCATCGGGAAACCATTCACCTTCGGCGACCCCACCCTCAACCGCGAATGGACCGTCCACCCCTTCGCCTTCAAACTCAAGCCCGCAAGCCACGGCGGCCAAGGCGAGGCAGCCATACGCACCGACTGGGAGCACGAAAGCTGGGAATGGCACGCTCCGGCCTCCATCATCGATGACGAGGCCTTTGGCGGCGTCCCGCGCCTCCATGAGACGCTGCGCCGAGTCTTCCCCGAGTGCGAGATGGACGAGCGCGCGGGGGAGGCCCTAGCGAGGGGACTCAAAACGCTGCGAGAGGACCATAAGAGCGGGGCGCACGAGCTGACGAGTATCGCGCTGGTGACCTTCCGGGACATCATCGCGCAGACGCACGAGATAGACGAGAAGTGGTGGAGGACGGTGCGTTTGGCTGCATGGCATCTGATCAAGAACGGCCGGGAGAGCATGGGCGCCGCGACGCTCAACGCGCTCCTCTCAATCCTAGTAGCGCTAGACGAGATCTTGGACCATCCAGCGCCGCCGGGCACCGAGCAGGAGCAGAAACGGGAGCGGATACTCTCGACCATCGACTCGCACATCGCAAATCGGAAAGCCAACACCACCCGCCTCAAGGACGCATTCACGTCCTACATCCGATCCGCATTCCTGACGGTGGCGCCAGACCGAGACAGAATCACCATGCTCACCTTATCCGCCAGCTCCACGACGCGAAACATCATCCTCGACGCCTTCGCCTCGCTAGACATCCCCACGCTCGAACTGCGGATCCTCGAATCAAGACCGCTCTTCGAAGGCGCTACCCTCGCCTCGTCCATCTACTCCCGCTTCGAATCTGAGTTCCGCTCGAGGCCGGACAAGAGACTCGATATCAAGATTTACACGGATGCAGCGGCTGCGTTGGCCGCACAGGACATCGATATCGTCCTCCTCGGTGCGGACCGGATCTGTTCGTCCAAGGGCGTAAGTAACAAAACTGGGTCATTGCCCGTGGTGCTCAGCGCGAAGCATGTTACACCAAGCGCAAAGATCCTTGTTCTCAGTCAGCTGGAAAAGGTGGTTGGGGACGACGGGATACTGGAAGATAAGGTTGAGGATAATGACCCCGAAGAGGTATTTAGTGTGTGGCGCAATGAGGGGGTCGAGGGCACACAGGTGCTTGAAGATAGCTCGGCTAGGTGCGGGGCAGACAGGGACAATTCGGCCACTGTCCAAGTCAAGAATATCTATTTCGAATGGGTTCCGTTGACGTTGGTGGACGCCTTTGTGAGCGATGAAGGGGTCCTCGATGAGACAACCATCAAAAACAAGTCACAGCAGCTAGAAAAGCTGGCATGCAAATACTTTGATGACTTATGATTCGACATAATTTACCAAATCGACGTCGTCTATTGTCCATCAATCCAGTAGATTCTTCACTATGTACATCAAATCCAGCACCAAAGCCAAAGGGAAAGCGTCACAGAATGGTAGTATCTTCAAACAGCTAATGGCAAAGCAACTCCAAACACCGGCTGATCAAAGGCCTGCCTGGATCATAAAGGCTGCCTGGACGTAAGGCAAAATCAAAAAAAGGTATCATTAAATATCACGAACGCGAGTCTGCCGCCTTGCTGTGCCAATATGTGTGTTGTGCACCTTCGTAGCGAATTTGAGACTAGTCAATGTCTCTGCGAGATGAGCTTGCAATGGGCTGCACATCACAAACATGAGAGTCTTGGAGTTTCCACCCAATGAAAATTGAAGTAAGTAAGTGAGCTATCAAACCGAGTCAGTAAGCTTGAACATTGACACGAGCTCACAAGTAAACAAACCTTGCTGTTGCGGTAGGGAATGTGTCCACCTTCCTTTCCTTGTCCGAGAGCTGCAATAACATCTCCGAGGCAGCTCAGGCTGCGATTGATGTTCTGTGTCTCCTTCAGTCTCTCCCCGGTTGCCTGGCTGTGACTGAGCCGTTCACTACCGGCCAGATCCACCAAGTTCAGGGTTCCCTCGCTGCGTTCGCCGGTAATGCGGTTTTCACCGAGGAGCTTGAGAATGAAGACCGAGTGTGACCGAGAAGATCTTTCGTTGGCCTTGGTGGCCGCCACCGACCGATTGGCCGCAGCTCGTTTCAAAATAGATTCTACCATCTCGGGCGACTCCAGCCGAACAGTGGTGATATCGGTGATCATCGTCTTGCATCTCTGCATATCGTGGCGGATCTCGTGTTTCTTCTTGTCCAGCTCTTCCGCCTTGCCCAGAAGGTCGTTCAAGTTCTCGTTGTACACCTCCACGAAGTTGCCTTCCATGGTGTACCTCCAGCCCTTTTCTTCCAGGCTCTGAGCGGTCTGGTAGATCTGATGTACTGCCCTGGGGATCATGCCATCAAGGGAAGACATGGTATATGTCTTACCACTGCCCGTCTGACCATAGCAGAAGATGCAGACATTGTACCCATCGAGGGCACTCTGTACGAGTTGGCTGATTTCATCGAACACTTCAGCATTCTGAGTTGAGGGTCCGAAGACGCGATCAAAGGAGAAATTGTTGTTCTTTCGGGTGACGGTGCCGAGAGCGCTTCTCTCCTCTGGGCCCAGAAGACAAATCTCTTTGCACTCTTCTGACTGGTCCGGATACTCGATTTGAGCGGTTTCCGCAACTTCGGACTCTAGAGACGGGCGCACTCGGCAAAACACCCGAATGTTGCCCTTGAGCTCCTGCACCTGATTGTGCAGCTTCCTTCTCAAAGTTTCCTCCTTCCTCAACTTCTCCTTTGTCGCCTCAGTTTCAGCCAGAGCATCATTCATTTGCTGGTTGAGACGCTCAAAGGCCTGAGACTGCTCTTCCCGTCCAGATTCCAGGAATTCTATTCTTGCCTTCAATGCGCGAACCGAGGACTCGAGTGTAACACTGTTGCAGCTTGCCGTGTCCAGGTTCTGCCGCAAATCGTGATTTGTTTTTCGCTCACGCTCCAGGTCTTCTCGAACAGCCTGTAAATCTTGCTGAAGCTTGGCAATTTCCCTATCCTTTCGCTCTAGCTCAAGGAGGGAACGTTGCGTGTCGAGCGCAGTCTGCGAGGTGATTTGGTTGATCTCTTGGAGTCGGACAGCTTTCTCGTCGTTTATTTGCTGCTCGAATTGGCGCCTCAGTTCGCGGAGTTCGTCTTGGTGCTGGTTGTCTAGTGCCTGCAGCTGTTGCCTGCTCTCTTGTCTGACAGTCTCGATTTCGGCGCGTTGCTGGCGTTCTACATCGTCCATGGCAATCTCATGGTCCCTTCTAGCGTCCTTCAGGGCTCCCTCGGCAGCATCTAGTCGCCCCTTTGTGGTCTCGAGTTCCACCCGTAATGCGAGATTTGTGTCGGTCAGTTCCTTTCGTGTTGCCTCCAACTCGCTCACTGAAACAACTGTCAGCACACCTGCAGCTCGAATGAGTATTCGCACTCACCTCTGCTTTTGTACAATTCAACGGTCTCTTTCAGACCGAAACTCTCTTGTCCGGCCTGGCTGACTCGTGAGACGAAGGCATTGAAAAACTCCTCCATGGTCTTTTCGCGCGTAGCCTGATCCCAATCGGCGCCTGTAGAATAGTTAAACGTCTTGATCGAAGAATCTCTGTGCAGAAATGGTATGATAGGTGGTTTCTTTTTCCTGGGGGGATGTTTGGGGGGAGATGCAGGCTTCTCCAACGCCTGTCTCACGGGGGAAGATACGGGGATTTTTGAGGGAGGGAGTTTAATGGGTCCGTCCTGCGCGGGGTGCAGGGATTTTGGGTCCAGCATGTCATGGGAGACGGGGTCCTTTGCCGACTGATCCAACGCAGGACATGGAGATGCCTCGAGTTGGTCAATTCGCAAAGGTGCCTCTTGAATACCGAGGAGCTTCCGTTGCGAGTCAGACCAATCGCACAACATCTTCCTTTCTGTACTATGTGGCGTAATAGATGCAGGGTGGGAACAAATATCAAATAGGGAAAATAGGGATTGCCGCCTACCCTTTCTCTTTCCCAAAATGCTTGCAGCGAAATCCTCTTCTTCATGGGTATCCAATGACGTTGCGGGCCGAGTGATGGAGTGACCGTTCGGTTTTCGGGGACCAGCAAGCGAGGTGTGCGGGCGGGGCGCATGCGAAGGAGGTCGTGATCCGGGTCCAACAGTGGACGAGAAATTGGTTCTGGTAGTCCGTGAAGCAGTCGAGGCCGATCGGGTCAGAGTTGATGATGCATAGGAATTGGTTCTAGTATGAACTCGTCCCATACTCGTGCCTGGACGTGACGGAGGAAGGATTCCTGTTCCAGATCGGCTGGGCTCGGGGGCCTGTGTAGCGCTTCGAGCGCGGGTGGTGTCTGTTACCGTAAGAATGTGAAGTCGCTCTATTAGATGCTATTGTGGTTCACATACGCGATAGACTTGACGTTTTACCCGCAATTGTGCCAGGCTGCGGCAAACCAGAGCGAGAATTGGTCATTCCCGATGTCATGCCGGCCATGGGGATGCGCGATTTAGTGGTCGGCTTTGGTTGCACCTGCTCGTCAAAAAAGGTAAGTCCTTTTTATACACATCAACTGAGATGGTCGAATTTACCATATGCCCGTTCTCCATGATGGCCAATTGTATATGGAATTTTTACCGTAGACTGTTGGAATGGCCGGTCTATGACATCCGGATGGGAAGAGTGTGCAGAAGAAAGGAGCGTGTCTCAGAGCTGCAGAGAAGATAAAGAGTCAACAATGTATCAACTGGCTCTGCAACATGTCAGGAGGTGGAGCAGCGAAGGGAGGAAGATAAATGGACTGCGAGTCGGGACTAAGGTAGTAGTCTTCTGTTTAGGTGAGCTGAACAGTTTGCGACGATCGAATGTGTTTTGGTTTCTGGAGTGACGGAAAGCGGTAAACAAACTAGGCTGACTCAGCAATCTTCCAGCGGGGTTTCACTAGTCCGTATTGGGACAAGGCGCATCAGGTCCTCTTGTTCTTTCATTCGGCATCCTTCACGATCATAAAGAATGCAAATCGTTGTAAATGAGCCTTTGACTTGTCCATTTTACTTCGTACTTTGACCGGTGTCTTCTTTACAACAGTCTCTACGAGTACGGATCTTTTTACGAGTTTACGGCAATAATTCGCTGGTGCTCCTTTTCTTACCTCCTCCCCACTGCGCAGCGGGCACCCACTTCCCTCCCTTGTCTGGACTAACTAGCGGCGGCTGGACTCTTGTGCGCAGACCGACAGCTTTCCCCATCCCTCCCTCCCAGTGATACAGTTAGATACTCGGTCTCCCTTTCTCCGTCAACTGCATCTTGTGCTTCTGATTGCATTATATTATTCTTTCGTTGTTCTATAAGCCGGTGCCATGTCTGGTCGCTTTGTTCGTTCATCCAAATACCGTGAGCTTGACCGATCCCTTCTCCTCAGGCTGCCCGCAATCTGACAGGTATCAGGACACGTCTTCGGACGACCGACGAGAAAGGTATTTAGACTCAGAAACTCCTGATTAATCACACGTTCTAGCAACAACTCATTTAAAGCGCAGGATCAATGCTATGATAACCTTCGCATCTCGAAAAATGCTTGGGATACCAACCTTGTCAAGGTCCGCCTCCGCCGGCATCCCGATTAACCCCCCCTGAAGACAGTCTAATCCCCAAGCTAGGCCAACCCTCGTTACCTCTCCGTGAATTGGGAAGCCGGTGGTGGTGGTGCATTTGCTGTCATTCCTCTTGAAGAGCGAGGCAAGCTACCTGAGAGAATACCTTTGTTCAGGGGTCATACCGCAGTCGTTCTGGACACCGACTGGTGAGCATCCGTCGCCTACTGTTAATTTCGCCAGGAGAACCAACACATCGCAGGAACCCCTTCAATGATGATCTGATTGCCTCTGGTTCCGACGACGGCAAGGTGAGTTGATCATAATTCTATGCTTCCGGCGCACTAACTCATATGGGCTTTGTTCTAGGTCTTGCTTTGGCGAGTTCCCGAAGGCTTCACTCTCCGGCCGGACGTCGAACCTGACGAAGTACAAGACATTGCGCCCGTTGGCAAGCTGAGCGGTCACCCAAAGTTGGTCTCTTCAGTCCCCTCGCATTCTTGTCTCTGGTCGGTCCTAATTTCTGTCGCAGGAAGATTGGGCACGTGCTCTTCAACCCCGCCGCAGAAAACATCCTCGCGACCGCCTCTGGCGACTTCACTGTTAAGATTTGGGATATCGAAGCCGGAGCCTCCAAATTGACGTTGAACTTGGGAGATATTGTCCAGTCTCAAGCGTGGAGCGCTAATGGTTCCCTGCTGGTCACCACCTCTCGAGACAAGAAGCTGCGGATCTGGGATGTTCGTCAGGAGCGACCCGCCCACGAAACCCAGGGACACTCGGGTGCAAAGAACAGTCGTGTTGTATGGCTGGGCGAGCGCGATCGCATTGCGACTACCGGTTTCTCCAAGATGAGCGATCGCCAGCTTGCGCTTTGGGATATTCGTGCCCCTCGCGAACCCATCAACGGCTTCAAGACTCTTGATTCGATCTCTGGTGTGTGCATGCCGTTCTGGGACGATGGCACTCAATGTCTGTACCTGGCTGGTAGAGGGTGAGTTGTGATTTCTTCACGATGTTCAGCTGCGATGGTCTGGGTCTGTACTGATCACCACTAGCGACGGCAACATCCGGTACTTCGAACTGGAAAATGACAAGTTCGAGTTCCTTGCCGAATACAAGTCCGCCGATCCCCAGCGTGGTATTGCTTTCATGCCCAAGCGAGGTGTGAACCCCCACGAGAACGAGGTCACCCGAGCCTTCAAGACTGTCAACGACAGCTACATCGAACCAATCTCCTTCATCGTCCCTCGCCGGTCAGAAAACTTCCAAGACGATATCTACCCCCCTACTATCGGTCTGAAGCCCGCTATGGGCCCGTCGGAATGGTTGGCTGGAAAGGAAGCCATCCCGCCCAAGATTTCCATGGCCAGCCTTTACGAAGGCGAGGGTTTGAAGGAGGTCACAGGTGTACAAGAGCAGCCTACTCCTACTACGAGTGCTCCTGAACCCAAGGCTGAAACTGAACCCAAGCCAGCCGAACCTGTCGCTGCAAAGAAGGCCGCTGAACCCGTCTCGACGCCCACACCCGTCATCAAGCCGGAGGTGTCCATGAAGGAGCAAGGTGCTTCAATGGCCGCCATGGTGAACAAGTTTGCCGACAAGGAAGACGATGCCGAGCCAGTGGATGATGATTCTAGCTTTGAGGAAATCTCCAAGCCCACTGAGCGGACTGCTCATTCCGCGGATAACGCGTCGCCCTCGATTAAGACCAGCCCATGGCAACAGAAGGAAGAGGTCAAGTCGCAGGCCAGTCCTGCTCCGGTAAGCTTCTTTCCCCTAAATCCTCCGCGGCCAAGAACTAATCAGAACAGGCCTCTCCCGTCGTCGCCGAACGAAGCACCCCTACCGTGTCCACTCCTACCACCACAACGTTCCCTCCACCCGCAGGCTCGACTCTTCAGACCGGCGCCGCTGTTGCCGCCGACGCCGTCCAGCGCGAGGTCTCAGCCATCAAGGACCTGCTCGCGGAGCAAACCAAGGTCATTGCATCACAGGCGGAGCAGATCCAGAACCTGACTGCGGAGATCGAGTCTCTCAAGGCCAAGCTGGGCTAGCCAATTTCTGTTCCGTGTAGCCTCTGCCATGTATTCTAACTTGTGTGCGTCAGGGTCGTTTCGCAACCTAAAAGAATCCGTCCTCTTCGTTTGTTCATAACCATAGTCGGTGTCTTATATTCTCGCGGGCTTATAGCATGTTGCAATGTCAATACCACTTCATATCGAGTTTACTCCGATGCGGGGTGGTCACCGAGGTTGTATGGCCATATGATAGTCACGCTAAGTCGTAACGCCCTGACAATAACACCATTCGAGTATACTTAATCAGATTCCCGATGCGTTTTATCCGTATATCCAACCTGGTCATGTCGTGTCTTGCAATGAACTAGAGACCTTTTGCAGCGCCAAGCCTGCATTAGAAGAGTCAAGAGCCCATAGGTATAGCCGCTCAACTGGGGCCCTCCCGCTAATGCCTAAATGGCCATTTCCCTGAGTGCAGGTCTTCGAAAGTTCAGAGACACTTTGCACCCAAAAGTTGGAAAGCAGCAGAAGTCAATCAGAGTGGGTATCGTTCCCTGGATATGGTATAGCATAGTGGATATCTGAAGCTATTCGGACGCGTCCCATAAATATTGATGTAGCGATCTTGTATGCTAGTATACGCATCCTAAAAGCATCCAGATGAGTCAAGATAATCAAATACATCGTTCGGTTAAGCGGGTGAGCCCTTACCTGCCGCCTGGTTCCTCTTGTCAAATTCCTTGGTCCGCAGGCCCCTGTGGCCTATACCGCCGGCTCCATGGCCGCAGAATTAGAACCAGAATCAGAATCAGAATCAGAATCCGAACCCTAGGTCAAACAAGCAACTAGCCACCTAGCCGCGTGGAGAGGGCGGTGCCTAGGAATTAGCTAGTAATCAACCAATATCGCATAATCGGGAGGTGATGTCAATAGTGTTCTGTCAGCAACCTCAATCATCGCAGACCACCCCCGGTCGAACGTACTTGACACCCGAGCAGCAACTAGAAGTAATCAAATGGTGCTTCAGCCACAGAGGATGGCACGCAGACCGAAACACGACCAAAACAGAACTCTGGGCTCGCTGTGCCCAATTCATCAAAGATAAATTCAACAAGACATATGCGGCGCCAGAGCGAATGGTCAGAAGCTTAGAGAACCGTCGCAGGCAGGAAATCAAAGAGGAGCGCGCTGCTTCAGGTCCTGCTAGTGATGAAAATCAAACAGACACTGAATAAGTGGGTTGGGTTTCTGGATGATGTCAAAAAGGCGAGCTGAGGAGAGGAAGGCTCGCACAGAGGCGCAGCAATCTAGTCAACCTAGTGTTGGTGAGCAAGCTCGAGAGCTGCTCTGCCAGCCAATGGCGAAGCGAAGGCGTGAAGCCGAGGAAGATCTTCTGGTGAAGATATTACTGACAGCGAGACGTCTGAGTCTTCTGAGTATTCAGGGTGTCTCAGAGGCGCAGAAAGAGGCTTCGCAGGAGGCGGGAGCAGGAGAGGGAGGCAGAACTCTACATGACAGCTATTTGCAAATGCTCTGACTGCTTTTGGAACATCTTTTAGTAACTCTCTCAACAAAAGCTTGTGTGAGCCGATCGGCGAGGTGGAGAAGGAGATATCATCCCTGAACGAGTTACGTACGCAGATGAATGACTTGAGAACGCTGATGAGGGGGCAGACGAGCCGTATTCTACAGCTTCTCCAAGAGATGAGAGAGGCAGATGTGGATAGAAAGGTTAGCAAGGTTGAATGTGAGTGTTGACTGGTGAGCGACGGGCTCGCTTAGCAATTCATGGACTGTCACTACCTCACTTGACAATTTGCTTCCATCAGAAGGTCTAAGGATATTACTCCTAATTTGGGTTACTGCTATGTTATCTTAGCATCACTGTCAGCATCTGATGGAGCTTTCATTTAGTACTATTCAAAGTATATGTACATGTAGATTGCGTGGGCACTGCGCGATGCGAGTAGAATATGAACCACCGTGAAGCACTTCTAGATTTCCTGGCATGCGTTGTCTATCTAGCAAGTAGCGAGGACGAGATCTCGAGCGTCTTGGGATCACGCCCATCGACTAGCCTCTCGCTCTCGTTCCACACGCGCAGCACGTGCCGAATCTGGCTCCTCGTCTTCATACTTGTAGCTGAGCCGACGGCCTCCGGCCAGGATGCGCTCCTGCCGATTATCGCGCCGGCGACTGGATTTGCTTTCTGCGTTCATTGCTTCCCGGCGCTGCTGCTCCTTGAGCATTCGTTCGCGATTTCGAGCCTCACGCTCCAGCGTATGGGGATCCTTCTCGGGCTCGGTGGTCTTGGCTGGTGCTTTATCTCTGGCGCTGTCTTTGTCTCTGTCGCCGCCGTCCCCGCGGTCTCGCTTGATACGTCGGGAATGGTGGCGAGAAGAATAGTCACTGTCAGCAGGAGACTGAGTTCGGTCGCGCCGAGAGCGTTTCCGATCCCTGTCCCGCTCGCGGTCTCGGTCCCGGTGGCGATCGCGGTCTTTTTCGCGTTCACGGTATCGATCGCGATCCCGGTCGCGGTCTCGGTCGCGGTTACGCTCTCTTTCTCTTTCTCTCTCACGATCGCGTTCACGATCCCGCCGTCTGGCGTCTCTGTCTCTGTCTCGGTCCCTGTCCCGGTCACGTTCTTCTTCGCGGCGACTGGAGCGGTCCTTCCGTGAGACAGACGCTCTGCTCTCCGAGCGGGAGGCAGGCTCCTCTAGAATCCGGGGAAGACGATCGACGTCATGCGAATCTCCGTTGCGGCTCCGACTCCGGCTTCGGCTGCGACTACGGCGATGGGATCGATGGGACCGACGTGAATTTCTGCCCTCCCGTTCCTTGTCCCGTCGGTGAGACGATAGTTTAGAATCAATAGACGGAGAACGAGAGCGGCGGTCATCCTCGGCCGCGGAGTGCTCGTCGTATTTGTCTTCTCGACGGGGTCTTCTGGGCGCATCACGCCTACGTCCGCGATCGTCGGCGTCCTTATCCACCGCTGGTGAGCGCTGACGGACGGAGCGGCGGCCATCCACATCGGACGGACCGGGAGATCGGGATCGACTCTTCGGTCGAGAGGGAGACCTGGCTCTTGATCTTGATCTTGATCTCGATTTCGACCTAGTCCGTGTCCGTGAATCTTCGTGGGCCGTTGTTGGGGTTGCACTACATTAATATGTCAGGTTACAATGCAGACTGACGAGCCGCTGTACGACTGTACGACTTACCTCTGTTCGCTTCTTAGTGACGCACCTGAAGGTCGTCCCTGAGCAAAATAGTTCCGTTGTCTTAGAACACTGGTATTAGGGAGACCCTCACGCATTGCTCTGGGAGCGGCAGGGGCTCCTTCGACTCCCTGACCTCGCGGTTCCTGCTGCATGTTTGGCCCGCCCATAAAAGGGGCGGCCCCAAACCCACCTCCGCGGCCTCCTGGAAATTGTCCGCGCATATAGCCTCGTCCATAGCCCATTCCCATGTGGCCAGGCATGCCCATCGAAGCATTGGGCATCATTTGATAATGGTTGGACTGATCAAGACTGTCGATAGTAGGGATCCCTCGCAATTGGGTTTCCTCTTCCCCAGTATTTCCATCGGCAGCCGGTCTGTCTGCAGATATAGCCTCTGCTGCAGTATTTCCAGAAGCTTCCCGAGAAGAAGCTGCCTCGTTCGACGGCTCCTGGTCAGGTTTAACTTGTCCATCGCCGGATACAATCTGGGCCTCGTCGGACCGTCTTCCCGTGGCACTGGAATCGTCCTGCGATATTCCAGCGGGGCCACCTTCCTGCGACTGGCCTGTCGTGTCTTGATCAAAGTCAGAAGAATTAGGGGTTTGGAATGCTGCGTGGTTAGCATTAGGGGGGTAATTAGCCTGCATATGCCCAGCAAAGCCGCCACGACCACGGCCGCCAGGAACAAACCCACGGCCGCGGCCTCGGAAATTGCCTCTGCCATAACCGGGGCCATAGTACCCGTTCTGAAAATCTTGGCTAGGGAACTGCTGTTGCTGCATTTGAGCATGAACTCCGTTGGGTTGAGACATATTATATCCGCCAAATCCAGAAGGACCCCCATACTGAGGGCCCATACCATTTGCGAAAGCATTTGGATTGAATTTATCTTGGCCTCCATTCCACATATTGTTTTGAGAGCCGTCCCATCCCCCATACATCCCTTGACTAGCGTCGAAATTCATTCCCATATTCATGCCACTGTTCATGCCATTCATGTTCATCCCGTAGCCTCCAAGCATACCCTGATTCGCGGCCATTGGGTCCATTCCCATACCAGACATTGCTGGAGTCATCATGTCAGTGTCTGACTGTTTTTAAGAGACAGGTGAGGGGGAACCTACCCATTGGGTTGGGGAAGTTGAACATGCCGTTAGCCATGAACTGGGCCATTGGATTGAAATCGCCGCTGGCGTTGTTCCAAGCCATATTTGGAAAGGGGCCGGGTCCCATGTTGAATCCCATGGCATTGGGGAACATCGGTGCCGGGCCTTGTGCCTGAGGCATCCCTTCATCTGCGGGTTGGGGGAGCTGAGGTTCTTCCGTTGCATCTCCTTCGGCAGGTTTGCTTTCCTCTATAGCCTCATCTGCCTGACCTGCCTCGCCCGGGCCATTTTCTGCTTGCTCGTTCTGTTTCAACGAATTAGCCATCGCCAAATACATGCAAGTATATATCAACAACGTACTTCAATAGAAGGCAAGGGTACTGCTGCTTGGTTTATATCTGTCCCGTTCTCAGCAATGGTGTCCGACGGCTCTGCACCGGTCACAACAGTAGGTGATCCGTCCCCTGCGACATCACTACTGTGGAGTTTGCCCTCTGGTATCTCCGCCACCGTGTTGCTTGCAGGGGCTTCGGACACGGCTGGTGTCTCGGACTGAGCGGGAGTCACATCTGCAGGCGTCACTCCATTCGAGATCGCAGGCGTAGCAGATTGTCGCTCCTTTTCCCGTTTCTTTTCTTCCGTACGAAGAAAAGCTTTGAGGGTCGTTCGTAGAGCTTTGTTTGGCTTGCATAGGTCGGAGGAGATGGGAGTATGTGCGCACACGGGGCAGGTTTCGGGAAGCGATATCTGGCCTACAAGGTCGGACGGTCAATAGATGTCACGGCTAAGGTCGTTCGGGACTAGCAGGTGCGTACAGTTTTCACATATGGCCTGATCGCAGCAGGGCAAGCGGAACGCGTTAACGGCAAGTTTGTTGCAGATAGCGCATCTCAGCTTGAATGGAATTTCATCCTGAGTGAGGGAGCTGATGGGGCGGAATCGGTACATTAGATCACGAACATAACCTATAGACCTCGATTACCACAATATGCACATACCTTGCGATGTCCATCAAGCCCGCAGGCTGGTCCGCCACAGCCATTGAGAGTGTTCAAAGCCAGTCGATGATAGTAATGAATGTGAAGAATCGCGCAGCACCTGGGCTTACGACCGGCAAACAGAGGCCAAAATGGCAATATCAAAGATCACACCTGGGTCCACCATCAAGATGAGGTAGTATCCATCTCAACGGCTCCGGAAGCCAATATAGAGCGTTGCCTTGTAGAGCAGTGTATCTGTTGACCAAATTTGGTTGGTGGTGAACTGGAGGTGGTTGGTATGGAGAAACAAAAGTCCGGTCATCTTTGTATTAACATTTTTCTTCCTGCATCCCAATTAATTTTGTCCCCCACTTCGACTCCCCGCCCAGACTCCGTAGAGACCTATCTGCATCTGTTTTACGGAATAGGGATAGAGATCACAACATGTCAATATTGAACAATAACATGAACTATGCATATCAACTGGCTGCACGGTACTACTGCACTGGCCCTGTCGTCTAGCTGGCTTCAATATCACACTATGACTCAAAAAGGCTACAGAAGGTAGAAACATCGTTGGGTAAGGCTGTTTGCCCGCCAGGCTACCAGAGCAACAGCACCAACGCGCCATCAGATTAGATCAAGTAATTTTCACCTTCATCGACACGGAGGCACATTCAGGCAAGATCAGCGGCGATACCGCTTGGTTTCTGCTCGCTGGAACTCGCCTTTCCTGCGTCTCGGGAGCTCTTTTATCATCATCGGCAGTCGTGGTACATGTTGTTAGCAAGATTAAAATATCTTGTTGTTTTGAAAACATGCACATGCGACTACACTGGGACATGGAGGAGCAGGAAAAACATCAAAGAAAGGATAAACCATGGAATCCTCCTATAAGGCTGTTGTTGGGTCAGTAGTTGCATCATCGACAGTGACTCGAAGGACAAAATCACGGGCTGAAACCAAGCCCAGCATAGAAGGCCCAATCAACGCGCTGTCCGTCCGAGACGCCTTTATGGGCGAAGTGGCGATGAGAGGCTTGTTCAAGTAATCGAGGGCAATCAGAATGAATAGGAAAATAGACCATAAAGCAGTCAGTCACCAGAAATGAAATCAGGACAAAACAACAAAGTAATGCATGAAGATCAGGGGGAGGGTTGATGCAGAAAGAAATGTTCGAGAAGCCTTGGTAGTGGGTTACGAGTTGATTTAGGCTGTCGATGACGGTTAGGGAACAGGATCACAATGGATGCACAAATCACAAAAAAGAGAGAAAAAAACCTAAGGCATTCCACAATTTTAGCGCGAGAGTGGAAGGCGGGCGCAGGGTTAAAAAGGGCAGCTGCTGCCCCGGAAGAAAGAAACCCGGCCTGTTCTTCTGATACCTGTTATCGACACGCGCTTTTCCACCCTTTGGCACACGCACTCCCAAGATCTCTTTCCCTATCTGTCGGTACTTGCTGCTGAAGAAGCTCGGGCCATCCGTGGCGCGCGATCTAAACATTTATTATTATTTATTCTCATCCTTACTATCTGGGTGCCGTCGCGACTGTCATTTTATCACACCAATCCCAAGGCATTGAGGTCTTGCAAGGGACGCGGTGATATTCACTTTGCAATTGCTTGACGTCCTTTTTGTGATGTATCTCCTCGAGTCCCGTTATATGTCCTCATACATATACGTGAAGTCAACTTAAGACGGTCCCCGGAAAACAAGGTACTACTCCATACTGCAACTATACGCCCCAAACTCAACTACGGCAGTGTCCACATACACAAAGGGAAATAGCCATTGCTAAAGCATCATCCTAGCAATGACAGATCAGGACAGCACCTACAGACCCCGTTCACCCGATCTTTCCACCTTCCAGTCCTCTATTCCTCCCGCCGTTAACTCTCCCGTCTATCATCTCGCGAGCCCTCTGGCACACCGCGCTTCCTACGACTCCTCACCTTTCTTTACCCCGCAATATCAGCAACCACCGGCCCCGCTTGGTCGGGTCCCTCAGCAGTACATACCACCATTCACAGACCCAAACTCTCCTCTTTCACCAGACATGGCTCGTCGATCCTCCCGTCTGGCACGCGCAACCGAGGTCGCGCCCATGCCAGAGGTCGCATACGCACAGCCAGTACTCTCGGAAGAGCCGCAGCAGCTCCCACCGCCGCCACAACCCAACCCGGTGGCTAGCATTGAGGTGAAGACGAAGTTCCCTGTTGCGCGTATCAAGCGTATCATGCAAGCAGACGAGGATGTCGGGAAGGTGGCACAAGTAACTCCCATTGCTGTCTGTACGTGTATTCCACTTCATTTCATCCCCGGGCCTCTTGAACTTGTACTGACTTCATCGTGTCATAGCGAAAGCCTTAGAACTCTTCATGATTTCTCTGGTCACGAAGGCGGCCAAAGAAGCTAGAGATCGCAACTCGAAACGCGTGACCGCGTCGCATCTGAAACAAGCGGTCGTCAAGGATGAAGTTCTGGATTTCCTGGCCGACATAATCGCCAAGGTTCCCGACCAACCTACCGGTGGAAGGAAGCATGATGACGATGGCAGCGACCAGAACGAGCAACCAAAACGAAAGCGAGGCGGGCGGCGGCCCAGGGATGATAGTGACTAAGTGCTTGTCTTTAATTTCTGGGACATGACCTTCTTTCATTTTCTCCTCATTGTTTTCTTCATGAACGACTTGATGGGTGATATCTTAGACGGGAATGGAGAGCGGGCGTATACTCATTTGGCGTTATGCTGGTACGCATGGTCGGGCTTGCATCTATTTCTGTTGATGTGAATAAGTACTTTTAGCTCTGGTTCATTGCCGTTGGTTCCTGGATCTGAGTTCATTTGTCATCTCAATTTCTTTCTATTATCGTTGGGCAGTGCCCACCCACTCTTACTGTTGTACCTCGTTGGCTTGCGAGGATGCAGCATGATTGTTGACAACTGTTAGGATGGATGATCAATAGTTCATGAACCACATCAAGAGTATGATTATTGGGTCAGAAATGCAGACCGCCGTTGTCAAAGCCTTGTGCGAATGGTGCGTCTCGATTGTGCGTAGTTGGAGACTTGGAGTACATGGCTCTATACCTGAAAAGGACTTGTGGGTCAACCTACATGATCTATCCCCTAGGACGTGACTGCGCTATTCCCCTTTAGGCACTACTGTTGTCTCAAGCCCACTGCTCCTCCATCCTCAGTCCTCGCTTGAGCAGGCGATTGTGGTCGACGAAGGATATCAGAAGTAATATGCAGCTGTCACAGAACGATGGACTTTGTATGTTCCGCCTCCTGACTCTCCGTCCCTTGACATCTCGCCAGATCTCTGTCGCGACTAACAAATAATAGTGGTCTCGTCTAATTGGCGGCTCCCGTTCGCTGTCAACCAAGAGCTTTCGTGCTACGTCGCCCACTGAGAGATTAACAGCTTTCAAGCAGACGTGCAATACTCTGCAAGTAGGTCTTGTCTTGTGTCAGCAGCTTTAAAAATGTGAGAAGGCTAACCCTCTCGCCTCCTTCGACAGCAAATATGGCGTTCCACCACCACCCCGTCCGGAAACCTATCAGCTGGAGCTCAAGCGCGCATCTACATTGAGCGGCTGAACTCCATCCTGAGCGACGAATCGCGAGGTCCCGCACCTCACCCATGTCTAGCATATGCTGCATCCTCCCAGATCTTCGTGACCATCACAAAAGTCACCTTGTCGTCCTACGATGGTGGCCAGGTTGGCACGCTCCGGGCCGCGGCTATCTTCTTCAACACCCTGATCGATTCGGAGGTGGATGGCGTTGTTGACAACCGGCTATTTGCGCGGGCTTTGGTGGATTTGGTCAGACGTGCAGACAAACATGACGAGGATGTCGAAGGCAGGCTGGTGGAACTCTTGTTTGGTGTCGCCAATAACATTCGGTTGCAGCCTAGTATATTACCAGCTTGGTTTGCTCCAAGGTCCGACGACCAGGACAAGGAGAGGCAAGCCAATACGGGGGCGGAATTTGCTGGCGCGACGAGGACAAACGACTTTCCTCTATTTTATCTATTGGTGCAATATGTGCATCATGCGGGCAGGGCGGGCGATTTCGCTCGGACGGGTCTACTGTATCTGATTGAAACAGCGTCCAGGTCCAAGATTCTGGAGAGATGGTTGATCGAAAGTGATCTTGCGACTCTTATGGCTACTGGTTTAGGCGCGCTGTACAGTCAGCTGGGCAGGTTAGTAGGCGATCATATGGCTCGACTGAGACCTGGTCCGGACTAACAGATATCCTAGCCTGTCCTTTGGTACGACCGAAGAAGAAAACCTTCCACATATCGTCGCGTTGTCGGACCATGCAAGACATGAAAGCGCCCTTCCGCCCCGGCTCGATTCGACCATGGACTCTTTTATGTCGTATCTGTTATTCTGGCAGGACACAATCGACCATTGTAAATCTGCGGAAGTGAATGGCACTCTCTTGGACCATTTCCAGGTCTTGTTTCTAGAGCAACTTCTGTTAGTTCCCCCTTTTGCAGCATTTCTAACTGATCTTCCTGGTGTTTTCTGACTATGTTAGGTACCCATCGCTACTGGAATCATCCGACGTGGAAGGTGGCTCTACTGCTGCAGTGCTCACTTATCTATACCGTATTCTTGAGTCAGTCGAACAACATGACCTGGTTCACCGTATTCTACATTTCTTGCTTGCGTCGCCGTCTGACTCACAGCCTACGTCAAAAGTGGACATGTCGTCCAGCCGACGAAAGTCTCTGGACGTCTTGGCTGCCTTCTCGGAGGGAGCGGCTCGGCCATCTCCATCTCTCTTCAACCTCAGAGACCTTGCACTTCTTGGACTCCAGTCCGCCAATCGTCAAACTGTGTTGGCTACGCTACGTTTGCTGACGGTTGTCTTACAACGACATCACTCATTCGCCCGATCCTTGGTTCGGACGGATTCAAGTCAACCTGCTAAGCAGCGAACCGTTGGTGCACTGAATGCCGAGCTCGCACAGCTCCTGGGCTTGGCCACATCAATTGTCCACGACCCCACGCTGAATGATTCTTTTGAGAATTATCTGAAGGACGCCTCCTGGATATTGGAGGCGCGTCTCAGTATGTTACCGGCGGAATATGATTTTGAGGAGGATGGACCATTACAACTGCGAAGAGATGATCCCATCGTGCGAGAACTGCTCAACCTGCTAGGCACGTTTTTCACCAATAGTGTGATAGTGAACCTGGCGTTGACGGAAGTCCTGAAGAGCATCGCTTCCTCGCATCTTGTATCTGTTGATGGGTGGCTTCTTGTCGACCCGACGAAATATGATTACAGCGCCGCACCTACAATTGAGAGCGATTCGACCCTCGAAGTATTGGAACAAATCCAGCTAGCCTATCACGAGCCCAGCTGGTCCAGCGCTGACGTACCCATGCTCACCTCTGTCCTACACGGACTCGTGCAACAGATACAGGGATGGTGCAGGGACATATCAGACTTTGATATACTGGTTGCAGCTCGGCGCGACATCCTCCACCAAGAAAACGATCCGAGGCAATCCCCTAGCCGGTCCCGACAAGCTTCTGAACCTCCCACAGGTGGTTCTTCCGAGAGACCAATTGCACGAATCGGGCAAGTGGGGTCTGACTTTGGATCTCCCCGCGGAAGAGCAGCCCGACCCTTGGACGTGCGGAGTGTTGCATCCACACCACGGCGCGCTGCGGCTAGATCACCAGCGCGAGATCCCTCTGTACTATCTGCCGCTACCCGGGAATCGTCCATGACCCGGCAATCTGCTGCAGACGAGCTGCGCAAGCGATTGGCCGAGCCTTTCCAGGTGAGGTCACAGCCACAGCGGCCCCGGAGCGAGACAGATGATGCTGGAGACGTCATCGAACCAGCCGGTGTCCATACAGACCACTCAGATGACGCGATCATGGACAATCCATCCGAGTCAGCAACACTGGGACACATCCTGACTAATACTATTATCTTGTATGAGTTCCTCCTGGAGCTATCGGCGATTGTACAAGCACGGGGAAGTCTATATGAAGAGGCGGGGTTTCCGGGAGTTGAAGCTGCAGCCTGATAGTAGCCAAATTTAGCTGGGCTGTGCAAAGGAGTTGTGGGCAGGTACCACGACTGGAGCAGGATACCCATTTAACATTTGTTTTACACAGTACAGTAGAGTATAGAGGTAGTATTGGACATATATACGGAGTAGTCCAAGTTCCTGTCCGTTCAAGCATAAAGCATTACTGCTATCCCCAGCAGAGAGATATCCCCATCCCCTTTAACGGATATACAGAATCCATTTTAGTAGATTGTCCTCCAGCGCATCCATTGGTGCCTATTTATGCCTGAGGCCCACTATTGTCGGGCACTAAAATGACCCCTGAGTCCAGTCGTGTGGGCAAAGCGCAGTATCTGATTGGCTAGTGGCACGTGCCGAGTTCAAATTAGAGCCAGTCTTCCGATTTTACAAATTGTAGATCAATACTAAATTATTAGTTGAGGTACAGACTTCAAATAGGACAAGACAGGTAAGCAAAGCTGGACAGGAGAATACCATTGTGCCATTGGGCCTCAATTGCAACTGGAAAGCCGCGTGGATTGGGGCCGAGTCTGACTGTACCTTAGGTCAGAAATTGGAGACGGCCTTGATTCCCTGGGGCTTCGTCATCCACTTCGCTTCTCAGGCTCAAACATTCGCGTCAAAAGGGGCTTCCAGTCTCCTATTGATTACAGGTGCATTATTAGTCATTTGGCTACTGGACTATGTATATAGACTTACAGTGGAGCTCTTGTCACGATGGGCAGTGGCTTGCTCCCTACTCCGTACTCCTTGTCTTATTTCAATTTCTGATTTCCATTTCCGGTCTTCCAGCTTCCAGATCCCTCCGGCTTCTGCCCCCGCTCCCACTCCCCTGTGACCCTGTCAATTATCAGGCTTGTAGGCTGCAACATATCCGATTTGACCAGAAATGATGTCGACCTAGTCATCATCTACGTAATTGCACTCTATATACGGCGCTCAAGTACAGCTACGGACAACAGTAGCGGAGCTTATCACCAATTTCTACGACGGAGTACAGGCAATGGTCCGCTCCAGCCATGGCTGCCGACGCCCATGATCCTCTTGACCGCGAGGACGCCCCGTTTCTCGCTTCTGCCCCGGAAAGCAGTGCCTCCAGTCGTCATACAGGGGACCAGGACGACGAAGCGGAACTTAAGCATGTCTACAACGACGACGACGCCGACGACGATGATGACGTCGACGACCGCAAGGGAACCAAAGCAATTGAGAAAATCCGCTTCCGCTTCATGGTTACCCTCTTTGCCATGATCCTCGCATTCGAGGTCGGCATCGTGATGGCCAACGGGCCCATGACTCGCATCTACGAGTCCATTGCCTGCCGGCAGTACTACGCCGAGTATGACCCGCGTCAGATCGCGGCCGACGGGCAGGTCCCTGAGTCGATGTGTAAGATCAAAGAGGTGCAGACGGAGCTGGCGGCCGTGAAGGGGTACATGGAGTTCTTTGACGGAGTTCTCAGTGCGTTTCTGGCGATTCCGTATGGTCTGCTGGCGGACCGGATCGGGAGGAAGCCGATTATCTGTTTGAGTATTCCAGCGTTTGCGCTCAATACGGGGATTATGTTTGCGGTCATGTGGTATTCGGATATCTTCCCGCTGAGGGCGGTTTGGGCGTCTTGTCTCGCTTGGGTGTTGGGTGGGGGCCTGTTGTTGCTTCCGCAATTATTTGGACTATGATGTCGGATGTGACCGCGGAGGATGAAAGGTAGGATAACAATGTTTTGTGCCCCGGAAGGAAAGTGGTGCTGATGTCTGCAGGGCTGCGATGTTCTTCCGCCTCGGCGTGGTCAGTATGGGCGCCGACTTCGCCTCCAGCGCTGTCAGTTCATGGATGATGACGTGGGATCCGTGGCTCCCGCTCATGATCGGCTGGGGGATTGTTCTGGCTGGAGTTCTCTGCTCAGTCACACTCCCTGAAACCATGCATGTTTCGTCCGCTCGGCGTACAGAACGTTCGGCGAGCGTGGAACTCGCCCACCTGGCGTCGGAGAATGGCGACCAGAAGGGGGCCCCACAGAAAGAGGAACGGCAGATACACCTTGATGACAGTGATGTGGATAGCGTCGAAGACGATCAATTACCATTTACCCTGCGATCTGCAGCCAAACGACCCTTCCTGCGGAGGATGTACTCTCGCAGTCGGCAGTATTTCACACCTTACTCTTTCATCTTCCGCAACAAGCAGATTATACTCCTCCTCACAGCTTTTCTAGTCTACCGGCTGAGCCGTGGCTCGTCCTGGTTTCTGGTCCAGTACATTTCGACTCGGTATAAGTGGACCCTCGCGGAAGCCAACCTTCTCATCTCCTTCAAACCCGCTCTGACCATCCCACTCTTCTTATTTATCTTGCCCGCACTCTCTCGACATCTCCTTCGCAGCATGCCCACCAGCAAGAAGGATCTCCAGCTGGCCCGCGTCAGCATTATCTGCCTCTGCCTGGGTACGCTGGGGATCGGGCTGTCTCCGTCCATTGCCGCGCTGGTTCCCAGTCTGCTTGTGCAGACGGCGGGATCAGGCTTCCTCTACTTGATCCGATCGTTGATCACAACGATGGTGAAACAAGAAGAGACTGCGAGGTTATTTACTATCATTGAAGTCCTACAGGCTGTGGGTAATGTTATCGCCAGTTTGTCCATCACTACGGTGTTCCAGTTGGGTCTGGAATTAGGTGGTCCCTGGATCGGCCTCGCCTGGATGATGACGAGTACAGCATTCGCATTAGTCGGTGCTGCGGTCTGGTGTTTTGGATTGCCTCCAGTCGTCGAGGGTAAAAGTGAGGCTGAACTTGCTGAAGTCTGATCTCAATGCATTGTTGGTTCCGTCGGAACGGACTTTATCATAGCATGGCGTTTTGTATATGGATGGCGCGATTTTCTTCACCAGTATAGACTTTTTATCTGTAATATAGACATTTTCACTTTTCATCCATCATAGTTGAACCGATGCTGACAAGACTGCTGTATCTGTCTGAAGAGTCCGTAGCCTGGTCGCGAAAGGGACACAGTCTCAGTCAGGTGACTTCGCTTAAAGTGTCCTACCACAACCCATTTCGGATTCTCGTTGTCGCGGTTTACCTTCTTCATCCCCTTTGTTTTCAACGAGATGACAGCCGGATTTGTGTCTCCAGATGATCTGTTTGATTGTCTCAACATCTGTGCTGAGAAGCTACAATGCAGAGCTTCTATGACGAAATGTATTAATCATGAATATTGGAGGCTGTAGTTATAGGTAAGGACCACTTTGCTCGTCTTTCTTTCTTCCCTTCTTAAGATGAACAACCTTTCGCATATGTCTTACTTTACATCACATATTGTAAACCTGGTGACTAGTTTTTACCTCATTCTGAAGAAATTACCCTCTCAGCTGGATATTCGATGTCAACAACAGTGTTGAAGCAGTGCTGACTGAGTCGCAGATACCTTTTCCTATACATTCGACAGACGATATCTGATGAGGGATAGCGTCAGGAAGGGCATGCCGAAGTCTTATTATCACCTTAGTTATCCTAGATCAGTCGCTTTTGTAGCATTTAGTTCCATTAGATATTTGTCTTCCATCTCAAGTTCTATTCTTCTCTCGACTTTCTCCTCAGGCATCAACTGGATGTATAGGGTTAGCGCCATGTGGTATCCCGAAACGGGTCTCTCACATGTGACAATTGAACAGTGTCATCTTACTCTTCTACACTGCAATAGTTCGTACAATTTCCCCGGCTGCGTCCTCCTTTTGACTCGGTCGTCTCTTCTCCGATAAGGACTCCTCGGTGTGCTCGGCCGCTCTTTCAGCAAAGTCCAGCCTAATTGTCGCTTCGTCAGCTCACCTCCGAGCAATGGCCGCAGTGCGTTCTGACTAGGTCCGCTTTTGCTGCCCATTTTCGCCTTGCTACTACACCTTCTTGACGCACGGTTTCGCTATGGAGAAGTTCTCGCAATTTCGAGATCGAGGTTTGTACTCTCCTGTCTACCGCTGATTGTTATGAAGGCTAAGTGCCCGTGGTTGCAGGATCGGGTATTGCGCCATTTCTTCCTATCCCCTCTCAACCGCTGGGCTGGAAGCTCCCTCTCGGAATCTTTTTATTCTGCTTTCGCCTTCCATTGCTCATCTTTGTGTGCTTGAGTTATTTCCTCCTGCTCCAATGGTTGCCGATAGGCTCGTTCGGGAAGAAGGCTTCGCTGTGGTGTATTCTCGGCGTCCCCAGTATCTGGTGGATTGACCTCCAAGTGGACGGTGTGAGAAAGGGGTGCGCGGCCTTCCCTTTCCATTCACTACCTACTCACCGCAGAACTGACCAAGTCGGCTTCATCAGATCGCTCTCAAAACAGCACCAAGCCCGCCTCCCCGGCCCCGGCTCCGTGATCGCCTCCTCCTTCACCTCCCCCATCGACCCACTCTACCTGGCCGCCATCTTCGACCCTGTCTTCACAGTCTCCTACCCGAACTCGCGCCGCGTCGAACACATCTCGCTTTTCCAGGCTATCCTGCGCGCATTTGCCGCCCCGCGAGTAAGACCGTCAACCGGCGCGCGCCTCGTCGACATCGCAAGCCTACTGGAAAAGTATCCCGGTCGGCCCATCGTTACCTTCCCCGAGTGCACCACAACCAACGCACGCGGGGTCCTGCCGCTGAGCTACTCGCTTCTGGGCGTGCCCGCGACAACCAAGATCTTCCCTATCAGCTTGCGGTATACGCCGGGTGATGTGGTGACGCCACTGCCTGGGAGCTATCTGAGTTTCCTGTGGAAGCTGCTGAGTAGACCGACGCATGGTATACGTGTCCGGATCGCGGAGTGCGTGGTTCGGGGAGCGGTCAGCGCTGCGGACAAGGCTGGGGCGTCGAAGCTTGCCCGCCAGCCAAGCTACGATACCAATTACTTTGACACCTTGGAGCAGAGTGATGGGGTTGCGCTTGCTCCTGGGGAGAAGGCGCTCCTGGATCAGGTGGGGGACGCCCTGGCTCGGCTGGGCAGGGTGAAACGTGTGGGATTGGGAGTCAAGGAGAAGCAGGATTTTCTTCGCTCGTGGACGAAGACGAGGCGGACGTGGTGAATTGCCGTCTGAGATTCTTCGTTCAATTCCATTTATAGATGTCTATATTAAAGATTTCTGTAGATTAGTTGGTCTTGAAGCTTGATGGCGTATCACTACAACCAAGCTGCCAGGATAGGTCAACGAGTACCAGCCAAGCTGCTCTCATAATCAGTCTAGCCGAGAAAAAGAAAAAAAAAGGTATCTGTAATTAACGCGCCTTAGTCACACATGTAAAACAATCACTTTTTCTGTTCTTTGGGTACATCTTTCAAAGGAACAGGGTGTTTTGCAAATCCCAACCACAAACAATATCCAACCAACATTCCTCTCTTTGGACGTTTTATTCTACAGAGTCAGTAATGCAGCCGTGGCTGGCATCCTTGACGGTTCTACAGGCGGTCAGTATGTCCATCATAGGAAATCAAGAGAAGGGGAAGTAGGTGAGGTGAGACATACCTAGCGTATTTACCCAGGGTTCCCCTCATCGTAAGACCAGTCTGAGGCAGCTTGCCGGCATCCCGGAGAGCCTCCCACTCCTGTCTACGGCGAGCAAGCTCGGTCTCGTCAACGTCGAGGTCGAGCAGACGCTTCTCAGAGTCGATGGTGATGGTGTCGCCATCCTTGACGAGACCGATGGGTCCACCCACCGCGGCCTCGGGCACGATGTGACCGATCAGGAAGCCGTGAGAGCCACCGGAGAAGCGGCCGTCGGTGATGAGAGCGCAGGAGGAGCCGAGGCCGGCGCCCATGAGGGCGGAGGAGGGCTTGAGCATCTCTGGCATGCCGGGTCCACCCTTGGGGCCGGTGTAGCGGATGACGACGACGGTCTTTTCCTCCTTTTTGATCTCGTTGCGCTCGAGCGCGGCGATGAAGTCGTCCTCGTGGTCGAAGACGCGGGCCTTGCCGACGAACCGGGTGCCTTCTTTGCCGGTGATCTTGCCGACGGAGCCGCCGGGGCCAGGGAGCCGCGCAGGATCTGGATGTGGCCGGTCTTCTTGATTGGGTTGGACAGAGGCCGGATGATCTTCTGATCGGCGGGGAAGTCGGGGACCTTCTCGAGGTTCTTGGCAAGGGTCTCACCCGTGACGGTCATGCCGGAGCCGTCGATGACACCTTCCTTGAGCAGGAACTTCAGCAGGGAGGGGGTGCCACCGATGTTGTGCAGGTCGGCCATGACGTACTTGCCTGATGGCTTAAGGTCGGCGAGGAATGGGGTGCGGTCCGAGACCTTCTGGAAGTCCTCGATATCGAGCTTGATGCCAACCGAGTCGGCGATGGCAATCAGGTGGAGGACGGCATTGGTCGAGCCACCGGTGATGTTGACGACGATCATGGCGTTCTCGAAGGCCTGGCGGGTCAGGATGTCCGACGGCCGAATGTCCTCCTTGAGCAGCCGCTTGATGGCCTCACCGGCAGCCAAGCACTCGAGGTCCTTGGCCTTGGACTCGGCCGGGTTCGACGAGGAGCCAGGCAGCGTCATACCCATGACCTCGATGGCGGTCGCCATGGTGTTGGCCGTGTACATACCGCCACAGGCACCACCACCGGGGCAGGCGTTGCGGATGATGTCGAAGCGCTGGTTCTCGGTGATCTCGCCGGTCAGGAACTGTCCGTATGCCTGGAAGGCCGAGACAATATCAATGTCGGCGTTGTTCTGAGTCTTGGCGCAGCCGGGCTTGATGGTACCACCGTACACCATCAGACTGGGACGGTTGACACGGCCCATGGCCATCAACACACCGGGCATGTTCTTGTCGCAACCGGGGATACTGATGTTGGCGTCGTACCACTGGCCACCCATGACGGTTTCGATGGAATCGGCAATCAGATCACGGCTCTGCAGGGAGAACCGCATTCCCTTGGTACCCATACTGATGGCGTCGCTGACACCAACGGTGTTGAACTGGAAGCCGACCAGACCGGCCTTCTGCACACCTTCGCGCACCCGGTTGCTCAGATCGAGCAGGTGCATGTTGCAGGGGTTGCCGTTGTACCAGACAGACGAAATACCGACCTGCGCCTTGTTCATATCCTCCTCTGTAAGGCCCGTAGCGTACAGCATAGCCTGGGATGCACCCTGCGAGATGGGCTGTGTGACATTGCGGGAGACCTTATTCAAAGCGGTCTCTTCGCTATCTTTGTATCTGGGGAGAGTAGTTGAGAGGGAACGGCTGGATTGAGATGTATCGTTAGCAGCGATCCTTCTTAGCACAAAAGATCTATTCAGAGCAGCATGGCCTACCGAGAGAAGCTCCGGAGAGCCGAGGGCAGACGCCCTCTGGTTTGAGAGAGAAGCATGGCAGTCAACGATGGAAATCAAGTTGACGACGGCCAATGACCTGCAAGAAAGATGAATAAGATTGGCAGGCTCCCCGAATCCAGGAGGTAGCTGTAAGATTTCAGACTTTGGGGAGGTTATAATTTTAAGAATCGATAGCTCATTATTGCTGCTGCGGGAGAGCTGGAGAAAGGTGATTCCGCCGGCCCCGGAGTCCTGCTTCTTCTCCCCGGCGCCGCCCTCCGATGCCGGCAGCAGCCAATCCACAGCCGAGGATTGTCAGCATCACGAAAGAGCTACTGTATACGCACTGTATATCGTTTACTGAATATTTCAACATACCATGACTCATAACTCAGTTTCATTCGAAGACATGACACCCCCGATCGATGTCTAAGGCGTCGTGGCCTTCAACGCAAACTCATACCAAGTACATCATACTTAAGGAACATAAGACATGGGCCATAAAGCGGAGTAGAACAAGATGAAAACAAGAAGGAAATCATATCTAGGGGTATAAAATCTCTGGTCTAGCCAAAGTAATCCAAGAATGTAAAGGTGAATGGAAAGGAAAATCGTAAGCATGAAGACCCATCGTCTCTCGGAACCCATCACCAAATGACCATGTATCGCTGAGAATAGCAGAAATAGAATGCAGCAATAAAGAAATCTGACAAACAAAAGTTTACAACGCGCAAGAGACCAGCTCTATGGCACTTCCCTGTCCCCTCGCTTGAGCCCACCTGGAACATCAATTGCATCTTTGACCCAGCCCAGGGCCGCAATCTCGTCCAGGCCCTTTCGCCTGGTGTTGCGCTTCAGGAGGCCCTCGACGCACTCACGAGCACCTTCCAGGTCCTTGCCCTTGACAGGATCCCACTCGCCATCACTGTCCGCATATCTATACCAGGCCCATTCGCACCGAGCGATGCGGTGGGGTGTCCTGGCTCGAAGTTTCTCGGGATCGCCCCGGGCACCCGGCAAGGCATCAAACGGCAACCGATTCTCCATCATGGCGTAGAGGAGCACTCCGAGGGCCCATGCATCAGTCAACCGTCCGTCGTATGGTTGTCCCATCAGAATCTCTGGCGCCGCGTAGTCTTCGCTTCCACAACGGGTCTGAAGCAACGGACTTTCAGGAGGCTCGGGAATACGTCTAGAAAGACCGAGATCGCTCAACGTGACAACAGCGCGGTCATATGTGCGCCAGTCAGTAATCTTTTCCATCGCTGTGGGAGGAAGCGTGACAAGCACGTCTGTGCAGCAATCAGTCAGCCGTTTCCGTCACAACAAAAGGATCTTGATTAACTTACTTTCGAGTTTGATGTCTCGGTGCACAATGTAATTCCCATGCAGATACCGCACTGCGTCCACAAGTTCTGCAAAGATCCGGCGGATGAGTGCTGGGCTCATAGGCTTGACACCCGATGCAGCAACATCGAAAAGGTCGCCACCAGGACAGTAATCTAGAACCAGAAGTGCACGCTTCTCGTCGCTTCCAAACGCCTTGAGTTGCACAAGAGACGGATGGTTGACGGACTTGAGGATCTCCACTTCTCGCTTGAGGGAAACTTCCAGCCGCTCTTCATCTGCACCGCCAGCCGGTCCATATTCAATAACCTTGACAGCAACCAACTTCTGAGTTGTAGGCGCTAGGCCGTACATAACAGGACCATCGTGGACTTCACTGCTTTCTCGGTTCTCCATGCGCACTGCCAGGGAGACCTGACTGAAAGTACCCTGGCCTAATTGGCGCAGCTTGCGATACTTTCTTGGTTGATCAGTACGGATGGAGCGCACAGAATAAATCTCCTCCGAGGCATCAGGCGACGGATATTGAAGAATGACAGATTCAACATCGCCCGCTTCATCGCCCCTGCTTCGGGGCGGGGTAGGGGCCGGACGGTTGGTAAAGCAATGCCTCGCTGGATGGCCAGATATTCTTCGCGGTGGAGGTTCGTTGACTTCGGATCAGTACTCACCGATGAAGTCATACCCTGGGGCAAACCGGCTCCCGACACCGCGATCGGACGTGGCTTGATGGGCACACTTCGACCGGGGGGCACATACTCGCTGAGACTTCGATTGCGCGTATGCTTGTGCGCCGTCTCTTGGGGACCCTTGTCGGGTGTATCTGGAGAACTTTCAGCTGTGGCTTTTCCCAAGCCGGGATATGGTTTGTTGCGCGATCGGGACTCGGCCGGCCCCAGCATCTGCGAAGAGTCACTCAGACGCAAGCTGAGGCTGGACCCATTCCGTGACATGGCTGAAGAGGTGCGCGATAAGGACTGTGAGCCGCGCCGATGTCTCCAAGAAGTCATACCACCAATTGGCGACGGCAAAGGTGTGATGTCGCCCATTGCCACTAATTGGGGAGATGATATTGACGCTGGCGAAAGCCCCTCTTTAGGGGCAGAGGTAGCGAGCATCGCGCGAAGACTTGGGGTCCGCCGGGGAATACTTCCAGGCGAGAGGCTTTGATTTAAGAAGGCGTCATTCTCCTTGTGAGCGTCCATTGATACTGGTCCTGCGATATCCGTGCGAATATGAAGTGATGGTAGGCCGTGGTGGTGGTGTTGAGTTGCATTCGCTGGATCATGATCTTTATATACTAGCGTCGAGTAATTCCTCCCGTCGCCATGGCTCAAGGACGGCGTAGTATTCGTCGCATTGTCAGTTGAAAGCGTCGTCACATCGGCTTCGTGTAACCGGGGGAACTGGTTCAAAGGTAAAGGTTGTGACCTGCCGGTCCGCTGGCTCGAATCCGAGTCACTCATCGAAAGAGCAAGAAAATCCCACTCTTTTCCTGGTTCCTCAAAAAGTGTTTTCTTTGTTACTGATTCTCACCGTGGGCCGTTCTTTGTCGCGCCGTTGAGTATCTGAACCAGACAAGAAAGATTCGTGTTTAGTTGTTGCGGGTGAGACCGGGCGCTTGGTTAGAGAATGTGACAGCCCGGGGAACTTTCGGATCAAGCTTTAAGCAAATCAAGCCGTCCTTGGCGGGAGCAGATAAAGAAGACCCTAAGACCAGGGGGTTTCAGGCGAAGATAAGGAGTCCAAGGAAACCTTTATGCCTTTAGTCCGACCATGCAAGCGTTCGAAACTCGGAGGGATGAAGGAGAGAAAGGACGATGATAAAGGTCATCCAGAAGCCGGGCAGATTAATGGCACTAAGACACTAACGCGTCCCTCTAATAGACTAATGATCTAATAATAATCTAACAGGAACATACTGGTCGTTAGCAGGAGCAGCTACGCTACTGCAAATGATTGTTGACTGATGACGCCGCAGAAAAATCCACGCGGGGTCAGCTGATGGCCCATTCTGGATCTAGACTAGTCGTGTTGGACCAAAAGGGCAGCTAGATACCCCGCATTCAGTAAGGCTTGGGCTGGAAGAGGTTAGTCGTTATCAGGTACAGAGGAAAGCGTCGTCTTAATTAGGCAGTCAAAGTATCTGGAACTACTCTGTGAAGAGTCCAAAAACGGAAACAGAATGTGAATTAAATATCTGAATACAGAGCTGTCCACGAACCCTCTTTAATCTCAATGTTGACAAATATGATTTATATTTCTATGTTCTTAGCTGCAGAGGTTGCGCGGACATCTCTGTCGAGTAAGCAGGCGCTAACAGAGGGACTGTGCCTTGCATATTAAGAATGAGGGGAGTCCTGAGGCTTACAGTCTGTGCAGATTTAGTCTCTCAACTGCTTTCCTAACCTTGGGAAAAGTCCACAACAAAGGGTACCCGCATTCTTTCCCAGAGTGGTCAAAGGCTACATCTAGTACGTTCCCAAAAAGGAAGGCACACGGTTGCCTAAGAAGATCGCATGCATCTATCCAGCATGAGGCAGTGGCAGATAGCTACTCTGTCTCGGTTGATATCAGGCAGCCAACATGTAGTCAGATATACTATGATCCTCTCCAAGTATTTATCTCTGCCAAAGTAAGTCATCGTGCCCCGATGGTCAGTCTCCCAGAGGATAAGGAGTCTTGCTACTCGGCCTCCTTTGTTCTGTAGAACTAACTGTAACTCTATCCACATCGATCTGGCGGAATATGCATATCATCTGCTAAGCTAATGCACCGCAGCATTCTTGGATTTTCGTAAACTCGATCGCCAAGACTACACCACTGATTTGTCAAATCATCAGCATTAACTAATGGACTCTTATTGCCATCTGGTGATTTTCAGGGCTTACAGAAAGGAGTGCCGCATTCTCCAGGTGTCGAGGTTTGAGCTGCATGATTCCTTGCTGCCTGCGTCTCCAACCAATCGTTAATCTTCTTTCATTGTCCTTACACCCACTATACTCTCCTGCTGGTCTCGACCATCGATCTCCGAGGATGTCTGATACGGTGTAGAACAAGAATTGAAAGGAAATTGCAAACGATGGATAATGGCCATGATGTTCTTAGTAGTTATCATCGCAGGAGTCATATTTTCGAAGGTGAGCAGCTGGTACACGTAGAGAGTTTATGAAAGTTGGGGAGTGTACTCTCCCTTATATTTGCTGTCCCTAGGTGCCCCCAGCATGTATTTCTTTACTGAGACTTGGAGGAAAGGTTTTCATGCAAAACAATATGCCTGAGGAAATAATATGGGAGCATGTCCTTTTAACCATGTCAATCGTTCCGTTGACAGTTCCATCAAGCTTGAAGCATGCAGCGCAGCCTTCAGACGGTGCTATTGAAGATATCAACTTGGTGGGATGAAATCCAAGCAGATAATAAATAACAATGTATTGGATCCACAATCCAGAGTGAGTCTGAACTGTCTTAACGCGGCTCTCCACGGACCCGTAGTTCATACTTGATACCTAGGTACCACAACATGTCGGCTAGCCGAAGCCTCCCGTATCCGAAAGCCCGTCCGAATCTATCCGTAGAATGAAAACATATCGACAACTTGAATCGACCGAATCTTTTCAGAGGATACGCGTTGTAATGAAGATCGAATTGCGTAACAATTTGTGAAGAAGCCCCTCAAGAAATGCCTCTTTGGAAGTCGAGGTCACTGAAGTAGGTGGCGTTCTTCGGCAAGCCGACATAAGCCTAACCCGGGCTGGATGTGAACTTTCCACAGTGGCTGAAGTGCAGAGCCCTCCAAGGAACAACGCCTGCATAGCAGTCCATAATATCCCCTATTTTCTAAAAATGTTCACGTGCAACCTTTTGAATAGTCTAGAGAGTTGTGACGTGAACAGAATGTTAGGAAAATTCCGGCAATAGAAGAAACACCAGGGACTGTTAGATGCATAACTATTCGGTCATTTGGTTGTAAAGCGATCAGCAGCAAGTTGCACGTCACACGTAAACGCCTCGAAAGTGCCTGCCGAGCGTTCAGGTATAGTTGTATGTCAAGTTCGGGCGTGCTTAGGGATAGTATGCTTACGACATGAATCACCTTCGTTTCGAGACTTTTCATTTGAGCTCCTAAATCATCCAATAAGCAGATCAATGCTCTGACGGAGCCCTGTGCAAAGGCTGGAGGTGACTATATGTACAGAAACCGTAAAATATGAAAAAGAAAAACCCATTATCATGCCGGTCCCAACTCACGGATAATGCAAAAAGATGGATACTCTGAGCGCCGGAGTGAAGAGATTTGTGATGGACGAGAAAGCCGTTCTAATACAGTCGGGAAAAGAAAATAAGACGAGAATAAAGGAGTATAGCATGAACAGCATCCGCCCGTTTCGCTGAAATAAAGCATGGAGTTTGTGGGTTCTGCGACCTTGCGATGATTCATTTTCGAGTCGACATGGCTCAGGCGCACAAATTGCAATCGAGCAAAGGTTGGGTTGGTGTTTACAGAAAAGCGCGTCGGATGACCTATGTAATAGTTAGCGAACAACGCTACTAGAAGAAAGAAATGAGAATGCACGTACAGCCCAGGTACCAGCGATACTAGCCACAATACCACCAGAAATCATCATGGGCTTGAGACCCCTAGTACTCTTGAAGAGCATTCCACTCAAGCCACCTGCAACAATGCTGTTGGCTGAGTCATGCTTTCCCCGTGCGTAACCCAGTCCCGAGTTGAACCCGTTGTATACCATGGCCACCACACCCGCGGAGTTTCCGAGAAACGGTCCTCTCCTGGTAATGGAGTTGAGAACACCGTTCAGCCGAATCTTGGGGGCGCCGTAGCTGGTGTACGTCTTAGACCTTCAGCAAGACCCCAAGCACCTCCTATCGTCAGCGCAGTAAGGTAGGTAGTTCCGGTTCCGTAACACAGGTCGTCCGACCATCCACGGGATGGCAATACCGATCGCGACCCCGGAATTTCGTCAAGGGCGGAGTCTTCGAGGGTCAGATAGTCAAGAGTATCTTGGTTCAAGCCAGCAAGAGGATGAAGCTGAGTAGGATCAGGTATGAGAGCTTCGGAGAGGAAGGATGTGGCATCTTGCGCGGTCGAAGGGTCGAAAGCCTCGGATCCTTGGGCCTGCTTGCGGCCGCTGATTGAGTCCCAAATCGCCATTTTGATGTAGGAAAATAATTAGATTAAAACACGGATAAGAATGTAAATAGGAAGTAGAGCGAAAGAGGTAAAGAGCACTACCCCGACAGCGCAACTGGCCTTGATGGCAGGGTTAATGATGACAGATGAATTAATGGAAGACCGGAGAACAAAAACTTCAGCAGTCACTGATGTCCGTCTCTCATGTCGTTTCCGCCGGGCCGGCATCGGGAAAAATCCTTGGCCGGCGCTATGCCTTTTTTGGAGACCCGCCTGGAAAATCCACAAGAGCAAATAGAGTATGGCAAACGTGGGGAACGGAAATTTTGAGGGTGCGAGTAGTCAATTGATCATTGTCGGAGATTTTGATGAGCCGCAGCATGCAAATTCAGTAGAGGTCATGCAGGCTTCAGCTGTCTCCAGCGTCTCGGCTGACGGAAGACGCGTAGACATGGAGGAGATATCGCAGACTATACAACTTCTATCGGAGGATACTTTGAGCGAAATCTCCAAGGGACCATTGGTCAAATTTACACAGGAATGTGATAGCGTCGAGTAAGATACTGCTTTTAGGCTCTTTTCTGGACACTCTCTAGTCAAGATTTTCTGACATTGCCATAGGAAGGTGAGCCGGGTATGGCAGAGCTTGCTGAAGACGTTTTCCACAGCATCCATTCCTAGTTCTCATATGACAGCATCATGTAATGCTGTACGTGCGTTCCTTGATGCGGCTGCTGTGTCCAAGTGCGAAGGCACTAGGCAGCTTGTTCTGTCACCAGATACGTGGCTCTCCGCATTCGAGATGTTTATAACTCGGTTTGAAGATGCGAAACCCAAGTCGATGAAGCAGGTTCTAACCTCCTTGGTCAAATTATTGGCCAAAAGTCGGCAAGAACCTAGCTCTCGTTTAATACAAGCTGGTCTGGTAGATGCTATCCTCCCTAGTATCATTCTCGGTGAACCGCGTGCTCGACTTAAGGCTTTCCTTGTCTCGCTTGAGATTAGCACACGCAAGAACGCCATCTTGCCCCACGAGTTGATATCCATGCTCCAAGTATGGCTGTCGAAAAACAGCGAGAAATGGATTTCCATCCTGCAAGAGGATTGCAAAGCCTTATCCATGGATGTCCTCCTGCTTTCCAATGAAGTTTCCTGCAACACTAAGAGAGTAGAATCCAGAGGGCTTGCTGTGCAGATCCTGCTCCTGGGGCTTCTGAATCAGGCGAAGAACCCAGAGCTTGCCTCAAGTGCCGGTGACGCTATAGCTGCATTTTTTCAAAAACTCAAAAGTGATCCTGGTCTTGCACAGGATGAGCGCGCTCTCCTTTCGGTCTGGATCCCTCCCGTCAGGTATATGGTTCTACAGAACCTGGACAATTTGGAGCCTCTGTCGAATTATGTTCTTCAACCCCTCTTCCTCAATGACCACACTGGATTCCATTCCTTCTTGGACAGTCTACCTCTCAAGAATGTATTTGCTGGTGATATGGCTGACGCTGCATTGCCGGAGCTCACTGTCCTATTTGCCTCTTTACAAGTGGCCAAGAAGACCGGCCTGGTTGACGAAGACTGTGAGTAACCAAATATTGTTTAGATTGAATATGACCGTTGCGTACTAACTGTCCCTTAGATGGCTCTTCCAAACAGGGAACTGGCCAGAAACTCTCCCTACCGAGTGAGGTCATTGGACAATTTTTATTCCATCGAGAATTCAGCATCAGAATAGCAGCACTCTCACTCCTAATCTCAGCACCTGCCACTACAAAGCCTCTTTCATCTGCCGCGATGCGTGCAATTCTCAGGGGATTGCCCGCTATGCACGCTGAGTCTGACTCTTATTCTCGAGGGGAGATCGTCAGCTTGCTCCGTAAATTGATCGTACGTTTGAAGGGTGGTATACTGGATAACCAGGATGGTCCCGGTCAGGAAGAGCTGTCTACAGACAGAAAGCAGCAGGCAAAGTCTGCCCGGAGCGATTCGGAGTCTCGAGCATGTCTCACAGCCTACATTGGTTTTCTCAAGGCAGACATGCGGCCCACCGCCTCTTATCCTCGCCATATCATGGCTCTCAAGACAATAAATCTCTTCCTCCAGTCTGGTCTTGATTCCCGTGTGAACTTGACCAAGCGTGCCAATATGGAGGAGGATAAAGTTCGCTGGAAGTTCAACATCGAGGTGTTCGACCCGGATCTTATCCGATTGCTCGTGGATCTTCTGCTGGACCCCTTTGAGGAGGTGCGAGCCACATCTTTGACCATCCTGAACCTGGTTCCCCGAGGCATGCTCTTGGGCGGCCTTCTACAATCTGCAGACCGATCATCGGCCATGCCATTGCGACTGATCGATGCCCTGACAAAAGCCGAGCAATTGGCCAGTAATACCAGCAGAGCTGACCATGCTGATACCGTCGCCCGACTATACCATATCGTCTTCTGTGCCGCTGCTGAGACTCATTCGGAAGGCGATTCACAGTGGTGGGAAACCAAGAAGGGAGTGGTTGATCTGCTTCTGACAAAGCTCGAGGGCAAAGTTTCCAATCCTGGTGGTCTTTTTACCACCTCGATGCGGGACGCTCCTCTTCACGGATATGTGTCTGCTCTAAGGTGCGTAAATTTCTGCTTGCAGGTATTGATGGACGACTAACTTTTCCAGATACATTGTTTCGACGTCAAATTTCCATCAATTGATTTCAGATCATGTGACAGCAACCGGCGATGACTGGAGGCTTGTTCACACAAGAATAGTATCCATTTGTGACCGAATTTGGGAGGAAGTCAAGCCTGTTTTGTGCATCGACTCGCCAGAAGGCCACAGCGACGAGCCGATAGAGGACTTCAACATCGGGCCAAAGGACATACTGTCTTATTCCTGGCGTGCTCTTCGCGAGTCAAGGTATTTTTGCTCCTCTGGCAACGTAATTCGGCCGCTAACGTAATAAAGTCTTCTGCTTCATGCGACCCTCGCCAATGCGACATATGCGCCTCAAGGGAAGTGCGGGTTCACTGCCGACGACTATGAGAAAATAGGAATGTCCAGCTTCACTCAGCTTGCTGAGCTTCGCCACAGAGGAGCATTCTCGACCGTATCTCAAACTTTTGCTACTTGTTGTCAACGATGCAGCCAGTCAAACGATCCCGCCATCTCTGCTCTGCCTCAGCGATGGTATCAGGTAAGAGAACAGTTACGGCGGGGAAATTCAGAGACTAACAAATCTTATATAGGACGCGAGGAAAATTATATTTGAGGCAGCTTCTCAACTTACAAGGCGCTCGGCAGGTCTACCAGCCTTGGCCACAGGGATCCTTCTCTCGAAGCCAGGAGGGCCGCTCTTCCGACAGGTCATGGATGAGCTCCATGAAATATCCCACCTCCCTGCTGACCATGATCGTATCAAACAGAAAGTCGAACTACCACAGGTCCATGCCATGAATTGTTTGAAAGACATATTTACGAATACCAAACTCGGTCCTTTCACAGAATCTTATATCATGCCTGCCCTTACTCTATCAGCTGAACGGCTAGGATCTCCTATGTAAGTACAAGCTTTCCTCGAACGTTTGCTCAGAAAGCTAACCGGACTAGATGGGCTCTTCGCAACTCTGGACTGATGCTTTTCCGTGCTCTCTTGACACGTATGTGCCGCCTACTGACAGGAGCCAATTTTGGCTTTGGCGGTAGCTCCGGATCAGAGCCGGGTGCCAGAATTTCGTTCCACAAGTATCCAGGTCTTCTTCAGTTACTGTCAAATCTTCTTGCTCCAACAGACAGGAATCAGACGAGTCAATCTGGTGATCATGGCATTGTCACTGAACGGGTGTTCCCAGCGCTGGAGTTGATCGCTGAAAAAGTTCCGTCTGTTTCTGACGATGACGATATCTTGCTTCGGATTCTCGTCCGAGAGCAGTTCAAGAGCCCCGTATGGGGAATCAGAGAGCACTCAGCCCGAGTATACGCTTCTCTACTGAAGCGCGCCGATATCTTGACAGAGATTCGGGCTCTGTTGGAAGTCGACCGAGGCCTGGAGTCTCAGGACTTTCTTCATGGCAAAGCGCTTTGTGCCAAGTACGCTCTGCGCAGATTTGCATCCATCTCTCTTCCATTCTGGAATAGTATGCTCTCTGCCATGTTGCATTCGTATATCATATGCTAACAGGGCATAGATCACTTGAGCGAGGTAGCATCCGTCATACAGGATATCCTTGCAGCATTGTTTCCCTCTGCCCACTCCCCGTTTGTCGCCACTACATTGATAGAAATTCTCAATGATGCTGTCGAGAAAAGCATTGAATCAGGCGCTGAAGGTGAGTTGAACCAACATTGATTGTCAGGATTGTCACTAAGACCAACCAGATTCAGCTATTCATATCGTCAATCATGCGTCCGACGTTTTCGCTTTTGAAGATATATTAAACTTTCTGTTCGATTCATCCCATCCTCACTGGAGAACTCTAAATACAACTCGTGTCGCGTCTCTACTCCGACGAGTACTCGCTTGGACCGCAGTCCTGCGGATGTTAGTATCCGGTAATGTGAAGAATTTGGAATCATTCTTCCAGAATGTATCGTGCTTCGATTCAAATGCCTGTCGGTGGATAATTGAGCAGATGCAAGCTGTGCTGGGAGAGAGGGGACGCTATAGGGAACCTGTGCTCACATTGTACTCTTCAGTCATACGGGGCAGCTACACAGCAGAAGTCAAAATGGCGGCGGTCTCTTCACTTGAGACAATTTCGCGTATCCTTCTTGAGTCCCGGGAAAGTGGTTTGAAGGAAGTTGGACTCCCATGGGATGCTCTGCACGAGCAAATAGACTCCAAGCCTGGCGGGCAAACACCCAATCGAGACATGTCGAACGTTCAGCTGCGTCTACAAGGATGTCTCTTGACTATTAGAGCATCTCTGAACCATTGGAAGGGAATGGAGAGAGACATTCGCCGGTGGGCGACTAGACTCCGTTTCGCGATGCAGGAGGAGACGGTGAGCCATAATTTATTCCGTCTGGAACGCCCAGAGCTGACAGAATATAGGAATTCACAACACGTCATGCTGCGGTGACTTCTCTGACAACTTTCGGGCGCATCTTGCGGCCTGTTGGCAGCCCTCCTCAGGTCGACGCTGTCTTCCTGGAAATTTACCTCATTCTTTATGACATGTTAAATGAT